TGAAATTTTCTTCGGCGCCGACACACAACCTTCGAAAACAAGGGAGCCTCACCATACTGCTGATCTCATTCTCAAAGCCTCCTGAGGTTCTGCGTCGATAGACTGCATCATTTAAATCATATGCATGACGCCTGGCTTGGGTCTTCTGAAGCATCGACAATGGTGCGTGGTATGATGCCGGCTTGGGGATGAACGGATCTGGCTCATGGTAGGACGCTGGAGACTCTGACAAGGCGTGAAATGTGTTTGGGAGTCGAAGATGAACAGTACGGATGAAGGATCGAAAGAGGAGTCTTACATTTACCAGGTAAGTACCCGCTGTCCACTGCCTCATTGAATGGGTTGAGTATGAACAGTTCACATAGCAAGTGACAGCAAACGTAAGTGACAGGAACAACAGTGAAACAAGAACGAAGGTGACGATAAAGTAAAGTCTCCCAATGTGCCAAGAAGTGTACGTAAGGGAACGCCTGATTCGATTTATGGTTGGTGGCTGGCCCCGAAATAGAGTTAGCGGAGCTGTTCGACTTCTTTGTCATCCACCGAACGAATCACCAGAATCAATCCCTCTCCTGATAATCTCATTGTCGACAAGGTTTGAGCACCAAGATAGCAGCAAATTGCTTGTTGGTATTAGCCAAACACTCTTGGGGTTGTCCTATAACTCGTTTCCCAGACTTCGGTGAACCGAACGAAAACTCAAGTCCCTGGGTGTGTCGAATCGACGACCCGGAAGGGCTTCCATTCTCGTTGAAGCGAGGTCAAGTGGTGGCTCGCAGCCTGAACACTGCATCAACAAGCGGCAGCGGTAGCTTGAGAGGATCTTGGGTCTTGTCTGATCAGGCAGCGATCAACCGAGGTGAGCTTGGGCCTCTCTGATCGGGAGTATCTTCTGAGCAGCATACCGCCACATGGGGATGGACTCTTGGTGAAGACGTCCTTCCGGCAAATAATACCGTTGAGGCTTCGCTTCGTGCTGTGGAAAACTTCTCGCAGAAAACTCACATCACTTATAGCATTCTAAGGGGGCTCCGTTGCCGATCGAGTCGGATTGGAATACTGATTGTTTCTGGTGCTCTCATGTAAAGTCATTGCCAAACTGCTGTCGAGCGACGCGGAGAGTGTTGCTGGGGTTAATAGCAATATCGGGTCTCGTGCTTGGGGCGCATCAAGTTGGTCCCCCGCTAATTACCATGTCCCTTCATAAAGGAGGCACTAATAGTGCTAGATGCTCTTCAACTCTCCCTTGTGAATGTTGAGGGGCTATGTGTGAGTAGCGTGATGGTCAAATCGCCTGCCCATGGTTGGCATTTGTGAGCATCCGCAGGCCTTCTGTTTCTGGCTTGAGTATGGAACCGTCGGGTATTAGTCAAGACTAAGATCGGGCCTTTCATTGTAAACGAACATTCAACCGAGTATAAACCTCGATGGCAGTGTTTTTGGCCTGAAGAGTAAACTGTGGCGCTGTGGCGCCGTGGCGTCTCATTTGTGGCTGGTAAGAAGTGGTGTGAGTCGAAGCTCTCAAGCCACCGACCAATCAGCGGCTCCCGTAATTCAATCGCAGTTTCACGCAACATTGACCTCCTTTGCTCACAATTCTACATCTATCAACACCGTTTAACCTCTCCACTCCCTGGGCTATCGCCATGTCGGTGGCACGCACAGCTTTCTCACTGGTCAGGCGCGTGCCTTTCCAAGCTGCACGGGTCGCTCCCCGAACTTTCACGACCGTCACGGCTCGTCGTACGTCCATCGAAATCCCAAAGCTTCAGACAACACCTCCGGGAACCCTATCGCTGCGTGGCCTACGCCTTGGAGCCATGCTGACTGACTTATGCCTGCAGGAGCAAGCAAATATGACCCGAAGCCCGGTGATCCGGAAGGAAAACTTCTCCCTTTCGAAGGTGAGCTACAAATCATGGTCTAGGAGGAGCCGGCTGCCGATAGTCAGGTACATTAAGCAGCCAGCTAACATTGTATCTGTCGCCCGCCAGAAATCAAGACCGAGGCAGATCTCATCCCTCCCGGAGCTGCACGCGGAACCGTTCCTACCGATCTCGAACAGGCCACCGGTCTCGAACGTCTAGAAATCCTGGGAAAGATGCAAGGCATCGACATTTTTGACATGTCTCCTCTACCGTCAGACCGAGTCGGTACATTCGATGACCCTATTACTGTGAAATCCGCTGGCAATGAGTATCAAGTCGGGTGCACAGGCTCACCTGCCGACTCGCACAACGTCAAATGGCTCGTGGTATGTCTTGCCTCCAGTCCTCGTCACCGGAGGAGATTGCAAGAGCGCGAAGCAGCAAGTGTGGCTAACAGTGAACTGATAGCTGTCCCGTAAACGACCTTTCGAGCGCTGCCTCGAATGCGGAAGTGTGTACCGAATGGACTATGTCGGACCTCCAGATCAGCACGATGACCACCATGGCGACCACCACCACGGCTTCGAAGAGCCCAAGACCATGGCAGATTTTGTCAAGCCAGAGTACTGGTACCGATGAGCCAAGAGTGTGTGTAGAGCAGAAATCGGTATTGTGCTCGGCGAGCGTTGCCTGAGGGAAAACAAAAGCTGTACATAAAGACACAACTTCGGGTAAGAGAATCATAACTTCGCGAGCATGAGTGCTAGTGGTACTTCGTGCTTAGTTCTATCAATGTGGGCTCGTCGCATGTCATCTGAGCAGAGCGTACTGCACCCCCTTCAAGGGGCTCTGTCTATTACGACATGCCCACGATCAGTGTAGCGTTCTCTCCGTCTCGGCGCAAGAGGTCGATGGAGGGCTGGCGCTTACTTTACCAACTGCGCAGTGTTTACCCAGCTGTAAGTGTTCATATATACAGCAGAGTCTTTCTGACGGTTATAGGTCTCACCCGCATTCCAGAAAGGAACCCCTGACAGCTATCATCTTTGGCCTATCAATTCGTCGGCTTACGGTCTCCTGCAAGCCTCGCCTAACCTCTTTCCTCGACCGCGCTATCCAACCTCTGCGGTGAAGTCCACAACATGCTGTGCGTTCCCAACAAAGCTCGCTGGCCGCCGATGATCTGTCTGAACCACAGCGACCAGCGACCAGTCCGTCACAAACAACATATCTCTGTTCCCCCAGCTTGAATTCCTTATCGCTGTCTGCATGTTCTATTGTTTGCGAATCCCGCACAGAGTGACGCTGCCTTCCGTGTCTAAGCCAACGGCACGCAATCACCTGTTCTCAATGAGGCATTTTCTCAGACTGGTGCATTTCTTTTCATCTGGCGATCAATGTGACTATTGACTAACAATCAAACATGCTGGTTTAGCTCAAGACGGCGCTACAGCGGTGCTTTGAGCTTGATACGCAAGATTCTCCTTGAACCTGTCCTTTCACTTTATTTATCGACCCACGGGGATCAAAACAAAGAGAAATACCTACCCTCGTGCATATCCTAGACCGGTGAGGAGTGAGTGAAAAATCAGCTCAGTTGTTCCAAGTGAGACCTAAACTCTTAATAGGCAGAGATGGGAATCGTCGCTCAGCGAGAGACGCGCATGAAATTACCGATTGCTCACACCAAGCGCTCTCCATTGACAGCACCACCCTTCGAGCACTTTCGACGACGACAGGTCTATTTAGCATACTTTATCGCCGATCATGGCAGGCAGGAAACCAAGTCTCACCAGATTCGCCGAAGTACTCCCTGAACCATGCTTCCCTTCCAGTGCGCCGTTTGACTTCCTCGGTGGACACCCATCCTCCAATTTCAGCACTCCCCTTCATCGTCTGGTTCCCATGGAGTCTCCTCTTCCAGCTATGGCCCGTCGTCAGTCACCGAGTATGGTCAGAACCGGTCACCATCAGACCTCTTCATTCCAGGATTTCCTTCGCTGCCAAGGCGGACGCCACCAAGTCCGTGATCAAAGAAGCCTTCACGAGCTTCCCATGGACGCTCTTCCTGACCAGAGCCCCGGAGAAAAGCTATTAACGCACGAGTCCGGGCCGGAAGAGCCATACGGAGGTCTGATTACCTAATGAACACAGCCGCACGAAGTACGATAGACACGGCAAAGACAAAGCGACGTCAAGGCAAGTTTTCACTGATCGCCTTCAGAGTCGCTCTGTCCCCGTTCAGTTCCCATGAATTCGAAAGCCATAAATTAATCCTGTCCTTCCGCTGCAAGCCGTTCGAATCAAACCCGGATTATCCCTCCCCCCCACACTTCCAGAAATATCCGACGAATGTATATTTGCCCTGTACACTGATGGTATGCCTTCATGGCTCTTTGACGAAAGGACCGCAGGCCTCAGGTACGGTGTGGACACGAGACTGGCCCTGACGGGGTGGCACCCCTTCCTGCTGTGGACAGCTGGACCTATCCAATCACCGTCGGAGAACGCAGCAGTGGTATGAACGAGGAGCTATACCGCCGGGACAATACTTCAGATGTGTTTCAATTAGTAGGTGGAACACAACATGGTTGTGGTGAAACGAGTCCACAGAGTCGACTGCCTGCAATGCAATGAGGTGTTTTTTTGGCGTGGTCGGTGTGAACAGGGTGTGCTTCTTCTTCAAGGGACGACGACTGCCGCGCGCTGCCATAAATCACGGGCTGGGCAGCATGGACCCGAACCTTCAGGACAGGTCGACTGGATTGTGTCAACTACCGCCATCACCCTAGAATCGCCATATGTTGCTTCTGCTGGGCCTTCGATACCTCACCGGTGGGTGAATGCCCGACGTTTGTTGTTCAAGTTCGTTCATAGGTCGATCCGAGCCAACCCAATCCAATCTGATCTATCCCGCCAACTAGCTAGCCAGCCAGGTAGATAGATAGGGTTGACTAGTAGGAGAACTAGAGATATCATGGCGCAGGAACTTGAAATCCAGCCCAAGTCTACCTCACTGCGAGGTGAGTCACTCGTCTAAGTACGTACATATATATATACATACATTCATACATATATACATACATACATACATATATACATACATATATGCCCGCCCGCCCGCCTGCCTGCTTACTCCGTCCTCATCGGCTCCCTCCTCTCCAACCCCCGACACTTGACATGGAGCATGACCAAGCTCACCACACCGTCCATGCCCGTGATCAGATGAACATTTTCCTTGAACGCGTCGGTCTTCCGAAACGCCATATGCGCACCAACGCTGGGCCACCCGATAAACGCGATGAATAACGCTCCCGTCCACCGTCCTCCCTCTGCCTCTACCTCTTCCTCTGCCTCTGCCTCTTCCTCTGCCTCTGCCTCTGCCTCTTCCTCTGCCTCTGTCGCTGCTCCTCTGATTGGAAAATCCGTCTCGACGCCCCATCCACACCCCACACCCTTGACGTCCTCGCACTGACTGAGCGCCACGTCCGCGAACCGCTCGAATCGCGCACTCGCTGCGTCTTTGCCGGCCGGCGAAATGTCCGAGGGGAAATAAGCCAGCATCACCTCCGTGACAGGGGATAGGAGCACGAGAGGCGGGAACGGCGTGACGACGACGTGTTTCGAGAAGACGCTGTGCGTGAGGATCTTGGGCAGATCCTTGACGGCGTCACGACCGGGACTAGAATCCGGCAAGGGAAGAAAGACGACGAATGAGCCCGAAATTCTGGTCTTCACCACTCGCCATCCGCGACATATAGACATAACAACAAATCTCACTCACTCACATACATACGTTGCCTTAATTATTATCAATGTATTACTGTACTTACCCGTTGGCGAACTTCTCATGGTGTTCCACGCTGTCAAAGTCGAAGAAGGCCCAGAGTTTGGGCCCATCGCTGGGTCGGACGTCGGTCTCTTCGGCGGCGGCGACATTGGCTTCGATCTCGACACCCCAGTACGCGCGATAGGGTCCGCCCGGTGCGGTGATGACGGTCTTGTAGGCGTGCGTCAGGATCTGGCCAGCTTCGGTGGTGTCGTCCATAACGTCGAGGCCGGGCTTGACGCCCATGCAGCCGACTTCGGTGACGGGCATTGTGTTCGTGGTGGTGGTGGTGGTGGTGATTGTGAGTGAGTGACGAATGACGAGATGGGAATCAGTGTGTAAGCTGTATTACAATGCAGGATAGTTAAAAGGCGGGGAATGCAATGCAATGCATGCAACGCAAACAATAACAGTGACGGTACTGTTGACGTTACTCGATATTATGCATATGTACGTCGATCAGGCAGCCAATACTGTAATTAATTAACCAGCGTCGATGACGGTGATAGCCCGATACTATGCGGAGTATAAGAGGAAGAACCACGACTTTACGCGTCCTTGCAGGCAGCCACGATGTGAATTATGCAAGGAGGACTCTCCCTTCAATCTGGCCAGCTCTTGGTTTGATTTGCGTGTCTCGATCGATAGAAGGCAGCCCTGCCAGACGTCTGGAAGCGATATCGGATTCCCGGGAAGACAGATCGAGGTTAGAAATTGTCCCGCTCGGTGGGAAGCTTAGCGCAGCGTCTCGGCAGCTCCAGGGCTACCTCTGCGTGCTATGAAGGCGCGTATACGGGGTGTCTGCAGGCAGCAAGACTTGGTTGGATATTCTCAAGGAGCAGTTTGCGCCATGGCATGGCTCGCAGAGGGTGGTGCAGTAGGTACAGTAGGGACGTAATGGTACCGTGGGTATGGCATAACTACTAGGTAGTCTCTTACAGTCCCAGATCCTCCTGCCATGTGCCTTTGAGTATCTTATCACTTCGAACGTCCAGCTCGATCTGGGGGCTTGTATGGCAATCCGTCCGAAGAGGTCGGAAGAAATGCACTCCTGCAATCACTATTCGTGGAAGTCCGTGCGAAAGGCCTCTCCGTCTGCCTCCTTCCAAAGCACATATTCCTATGGCTCGAACATCTACCCAGACCTGAGTCTCATGCTTTGGAGACTTCAGCCGTCCTGCCACGCAACGATCCATAGATTGGATTGGACATCAAGGCTCGCTCTCAGGGACACACCATCCCTGCACATGGAACCCATGCACGCACAGCTTGCGTGGGACAAACTATATATTACAAAGTCTATTTGAAGTCCGGGTGAGTGTCACCTAATGCCTCCAACTGCTCGTGCTCGTCAAGGTCAGCGACGACTCGGAGCAAGTCTTCTCGACTTTTGATCTTCCTCTTACTCAAATGGCGAATCACCATCATCTCCGCAACGATCAACACCGCAACGGTGCAGACCAAGGCCAGGTTGAAATGCGCCAAGAAGGAGTATTCAGGAGCACTCGAGCGTGGGTACATCCATGGAAGATGATCCCGCCGATGATGGGGGGCTATCTGGTGGTCACCGAGGGTCAGCGATGCGAATTTGAGATTCGGACAGTGGTAGGGGGGTTTGGCGGCAAAGTCAGAAGCGGTTATACTTACAAATGACATGGCGATAGCGGTCGCTCTTCCCGCATGGCAAGCACCATTACTCAGAATCCACGCAGCCAAGCACAGAGCAACCGCATACACGCCCGTCACGATGAGGATGGGAGCCGTATAGCGCTGAGCGACGTTCGCCGGTACCGATCAGAGACGCACGCGGTGGCAAATGCTGCGACAAAAGCCACAGCATAAGGTGGCACGGTGAGAAGCTGGATCTGTGCCAGCGAGAGTTTGGTATCGAACGAGGCTGCCAGCGATGCGACAATGCTGGGCGTAAAGTAGGCGAGACCAAAGAAGGTGGCTCCCTCGGCGAAATGACAGAAGATGACGAGCCAGACGTGCAGCGACGTGAAGGCAGACAATCCCCTCTTCAGATCGAAGTGGGCTTATTCGGGTAGTTCGCTTGTGATGTCCAGGAGGAGGCGGCCTTCACAACATTCAACACGCCGAGTCTTGAAGCTCCAGACCTGTTGCGGAGTGTCGGGGAGAAGGAAGAAGGACAGTGCGCTCCGTGCAACCGTGAAGAGCCCTGATCCGAGACTAGCGAAGCGACTGCGGAGGAATAGGTAACTGGGAACGTGCCCTCGAGGCAGAATATCCTGTGAAGGAGTTCGATGATACTATTGCGGAGGGTACACGAGCCTGACTTACCATTTACATCCTTCCATGCCGCCCACGCCGTCCATGCCGGCAATGGCGGCAGCCAGGAGATCGGAGAAGGCGCCTGCCAAAGCGACGGTACAGAAAAACCAACAGACGGGGAGTTGCAACTCATGCCGTGTAAAAGCCTGCGAGTGAGTTAGATGTCTTTGTCACAAGTGCTTGAATCAGGATAGTACACCGGACTGGTAGAGGATCATGCCTGAGAGGAGCCCGCCTTTGAAGAGCCCCAGAGAGAACCGGCAGGTAACCAAGCCACCGAAGTTCGGGAGCTGGCTTTGTAGAGTTGTGACGAGGCCCCAGGAAAAGCACATGCCAGGCAGCATAAGCCGCAGACCAAACCTTTCAGCACCAGATTCTGCATGCTTGTTAGGACCGAGATGAAGGACAAGATGTTGAGCAGGGGCCTCATTCCAGGATTGACGTTCTGAGGAACAGAGTGACTTATGAACGGCAGTTCGGCGACAATGTAAGGGATGTATGTAACCGTTAGCACTCCCACGGGGTCAGCAGAACCATGTCGAGGTATGTCGTTGGACCTACCGATTTTGTATTGACGCTCAGTCAACTCAAGTTGCTCAAAGTCACGAGGATGGCGCCGACCCGAAAGTATTTTCTGATCGATCACTCAGCATGCAAGACTAACCGCTCAGCACAGAGCCATAGAGCACGAACTCGTCGCCTGTCTCGCCAAGTAGACCGGCTCCAGAATCCTCCCACCACCAGCGACAACCGGGACAATCACAAATCCTTTGGGGATCGCCAAGGAGCTGCTGGGCGAAAGGAGCAAGGGGTTAGACAGAAGCAAGCGACATTGCAATGGTCATGACAGCCTTGACCACGAGTGGTACAGCCAGCAGTAGCCATAGCCCTGAGTCCTGGTTTTAAGAATCGCTGCGACAAAGCACCCTCTATGTCAGTGCATGGGATTCACTGACGGACAGATGAGGCCTTGTTGGTGGCGGAGTTCCGGTAAAGTCATGTTACGGCTAGAGCTCGACATGATTAGGATTGTTCTCCTGCAGTATCAGGTGAAAGGATTTCATCCTGTGAAAAGAAAAAGAGTTGTCAGACAGCAGAAGTGATCAAACTTGGCACGGAGTGCGTCAGCATATGACTTCTGTATTGTTCATGGCTGAGAGCGATGAGGACGATTGCTAGCATTTGACTTGATAATTTATCTCTTTGATATGATATGTAAGTTTGGTCCCAGTCTCATGACGTCGTGTTAAGTGTCGACTCTTGCGTAAGTAATAATAATTAGTTTGGATAGTGAATCTGACATATATGGTGCTGGTGCTGGTGTCGGTGCTGGTGCTGGTGTCGGTGTCGGTGTCGGTGCTGGTGCTGGTGTCGGTGTCGGTGTCGGTGCTGGTGCTGGTGTCGGTGTTGGTGTCGGTGCTGGTGCTGGTGTTGGTGTCGGCGACTCGATATTTATTATCCACCATGACCACCACTACCACTAGCTATACGAGCCAAGCATATACTCCACAAGGAGTTAACTCTGTTCGTGCTGCATGTCGACTGGGTTGCACCAGTGCAGTCGACATGTGATAACACTAGTTTCATTCCACCATCGCAATATGCGAATGACAATGCTTGACAACGCAGACGTGCGTCGGTACGCGTGGCCAACTGGGCCCGTGTTGCTGGTCTCGGTGGTGTCCCAGCTTTATCATTGTGCGACATGACGCGAGTCCCATTGTAAGAACAATAAATATACAGATATGTTGTATGCGGTTTCCGTCCTTTCCATTAAATCGGCGGAGGGCGTCCGTCCTCGTTAAAAGTCCCGGTGCGGTATAATTCTGCCTAGGAGCTCTCCCATGTGACTCCTTTGTTCCTGGTTCGCGCTTCTGGCAAACAGCTGCTTTGGTGATTGCGATAAAGGTAACGTGGATTTGGAACCAGCATCAAGATCTTCCCTTGCCTGTACCAGAGCGGGAGACAGCCTCGGTGGAGCTGCTTGTCCGATCGGTGGTGGAAAGCCAAAATGTTTTCTTTTGATCGGTTTCCTAGCGACAGAAGTCGAACAATACGTGTTGCATTTTCCCGCAGGTATGAGAGGTAAGCATATCTGACGGACGAAGTTGACGAATACGAGTCCGTCGACATTGTCGTCGGGTGTGTTGCGCTTGCTGTCCGAGCGGCGACATGGGGCTTTCTCCTCTGTTGACTCGATTCGTGATGCAGAGGCATTGTGATAAGATAATGTGAATAACTCAGTGAAAGGGTAGTTGTGCGAGCGAAGTTGCGGTGAGGATAGCGTACCCCTGGTTTTACTGGGGCGAAAAGAAAAGCACCTGTGTGAGCGAGGTTGTGATGGAGCCGGCAGGTTCCCACCCATATCGGCCAGAATAGCACCCCGTTTGTGAGCGAGGTTGTGCTGACCCCAGTCTCCTCCGTTGTCGACCGGACGACACAGGATGCTCTAGAACCAGATATAATTGATGACGGCTCCCACCAACGGCGCCGTGTGGAGCTGCTTGTCCGACTGACGGTTGTCGAACAAGACAAGACCCCTTTTCTTTCGTCGAAGCGGTCGCCAGGAGGTTGCGATGCCAGCCGCTGCTGTCACCGGTAGGAGCTCGACGTGTGTTTGTCCAGTTTTGCTTGTTTGGTTTTGTTGGATTTAATTTGCTTTGACATGCAGATTCGGGGGAGGAGCAGGATTCGAGGCTGATGGCCGATCCACCCTGCCACACTTGCAAGATTCTTGGAGCTGTAGTCTGTTGCTGGTGAAGGCCCAAGGCAGTCCATCGAGGCAAGCTCAGATAGCCAGAGTTGAGTCCAGAGTCTTCCGGTTTAATCGCGCGTAAGAAGATTTACTGTGCAGTAGTTTGATGTAGGAGTGCACGAACAGCAACGAGAAGATGCAGAATAATGAAGAAGAACGGTGGAGGGGCAGAGAGCAGTTATTTAAACAAAGAGGGGTTGGCATGTGGTTACAGTCGTTGGCACAGCTGAGGACCTTCCGACGCTTGGACCAATTGCGGTGGACCAGCACGACCGAGTGCTCGATTACGGTGGACTGTGACTTACCGAAGCGCTTATCATTACGGTCGACCTTAGCACCGGATCTGCAAAGCCGCGAAAGACACTTTCCACACTTTCCACAACACGACATCACCTCAACGGCCTTGCCTCCTGTTACAGGAGCTTATCTCGCAGTACAGACGAGCGGCCTTTATGCTCTCGGTCGGCTCCCTCGACAGGGTTGAACCTATTCCACCTCGTCCGCAACGCATCGAAATGTCCGTTGACGTTCAGTCCACCAATGCTGATGGTACGGCCGTATCTCGACGTCACTCGTGCAAGCCGTACGTAGGGCCTAGCTCAAGAATGAGCCTTAATCCCCCTGCGAACATATCATATGCTGTAGCCGTCCCTGCTCAATAGTCCGCTACGCACGAAGTATGGCACGGAGGGAGAGTTGTCCCAGTCGCAGGGTGAGTCGACGATGCTACGAGGAAGGACATTACACCGGTGTTGAGTTCGTGAACCGAAACCCCCTGGCGATCATGATATCACTGCAGCACGATGAGGCCGGAAGATATATATGCGTCCAGGGAGGGAGAGAATGAAACCTGATACATCTACAAAGTACCCAGACTGTATTTAAGGACCAGGATCGACGCAGCTTGATTGATTTCCGAGTTCAAAGCGCACTCACTCATCAACGCATCTTCCAAGAATACCCGTGCTCAGAACGCCTTCACCAACGCAGCTCCAAAGAACACCCGTGCTCGGCGGCGCTTCCGTGCTCACCATGTCCTTCACCCCTCAGTCCATCCCCTCGCTCTCCGGCCGCGTCTTCTTCATCACAGGCGGCACCGCCGGCCTCGGCGCGGGCACGATCTCCCTCCTAGCCCAACACGGCCCAGCACACATCTACTTCTCCGGCCGGAACGCGCGCAACGCCCAGTCCGTCATCGACAAAGTCAGGCGCACCAACCCGGACGTGCCCGTGACGTTCATCCAATGCGACCTAGCGGACCTGTCGGCCGTGAAGACCGCGGCGGCAGAATTCCTCGCGCAAGCCCAGCGCCTGGACGTGCTGTACGCCAACGCGGGGATCATGGCCCTCCCGCCCGGCACGACGCGCGACGGATACGAACTGCAATTCGGCACGAATCACATGGGCCACGCGCTGCTCGTCAGGTTGCTTCTCCCGCTGATGCAGCGCACGGCCAGGGAGCAGCAGCCGGGCGCCGCAGACGTACGCATCATCATCAGCTCGTCGGTCGCGTACAAACAAGCTCCGCGCGAGGGAATCGCGTTCGAGACGCTAAAGACCTCGCAGGACGGGCTGGGCGGCTTGATCCCCGGCGGGAAGTGGTGCAGGTACGGGCAGAGCAAGCTGGCGAACATGCTGTACGCGCAGGGTCTGGCGAAACGGTATCCCGAAATCACGTCCGTGGCGGTCCACCCGGGTTATATCAAGACGGATCTGTTCGCCAACGTGTCGTTCATGACGGCGCTGCCTGTGCGCATCATGGCCGCGGGCCAGTGGACGTCCGTGGAGGAAGGCCCGTATAATCAGACTTGGGCGGGCACCACGGCCAGGCAGAACCTCGAAAATGGCGCGTACTATGTGCCTATTGCGAAGAAGGGTGCACTGGAGACTGCGGCGGCAAGGGATGCAAGCTTGGTGGATCGGCTATGGGAGTGGACGGAGAAGGAATTGGCGGCATTTTTGTGACCGAGGCTGCGGATGCTACTGTACAATGGATGACTGAAAGAACCGCTGCATGGGCCATGTTTGTTTTTATTCTTCTCTAGATCAATCAACTACTAGGCGTATCGGACCATGAGCCATAACATGCCTTGGGCTTCTTCTTACCGTCCGTGCCTAGTCAGGTGTGCTCGAGCTATACATAGTAAACGACTTCTGGGAACGATTTGCACGGCGAGAGCCTTGAAACCGCCAAAGTCGGATTTGCTCTGCTTATATATCCATAGCAATGATACCAGGATCCGGGTTGATCAGCTCACGCCGTGAAACATGGTCCCCTACCTGTACTGAGACAAACGACAGGCTCAAGTTCGGGCGCAAGAGACTGCTGCCCACCTCTGGATACTACTCAGGCAATCCAGAACCAAATCCTCTCGAGGAAGTTTCTCGCTTTCACCTCCGGCCACGTCCCCTCCAACCGGTCGACCTCAGCCATACCACTCCACAAGTCCATATCGCTCAACTTGACGAAACTGGTCCGTTTGATCACCTTGTAGCCGATGAAGAGCGTAGCAAAGATGGGAATGTCGATGTATGGCGGAATGAAACTCTTGGCACTGAATCTTCCGGGGAAGAAACAGTCATAGCCGTTGAAAATGGCCACGATCGTGCAGAAGCAGACTGCGAAGTATGCCAGGAATGGCTGCAATGGTGATTTGTACGGAAGTGTAGATCGAGGGATGCCGTTGTATTTCAGTCCGTGGTAGAACCGAATGTACGTGATGCAGACGCTTGCCCACACGATGAGCGTGCTCACTGCGGAGAGATTCGAGATCCAGAAGAAGACTTCCGCAGAGCTGGACGAGACGTTGAGGTAGACGAGGAGTGAGAGCAAAGTCGTAGCTCCGACGCAGGCGTACGGCACACCGAACTTCTCAAAGCGTAGAAAAGCTGGGGCGCGGTGATCCAAAGCCGTGGCATACAGAATGCGGGTTGAGGCGTAGAAGAACGAGTTCCCTGCCGACCAGGCTGAGGATAGAATGACAGCGTTGATGATTGACGGAAGCGCTGATATCCCACCGTTGGTAATTGCAATCACGAACGGACTGGCTGCTGCACCGGGAGCTGAGCTGCTGATCGCGTTCAAGAGCCTTGGATCTTTCGCGGAGACACACATGCTCACCAAGAATAAGGCGAGCACATAGAAGATGGCGATCCGCCAGAACACTCTTCGCACAGCCTTTGGAATATTTCGTCGAGGGTTTTCACACTCTCCAGCTGCCACCACTACCATCTCGCTGCCGCCATAGCTGAATGTTGCCTGAATGAAGACTTTCCAGAATGCTAAGAAGCGGCCTAGCGCACCTGTCTCGAGGTACTCGAGCATCGGACCTGGATTATCCCAATAGCGGAATCCAATCCTGTCGTGGTTCGGTGCGCCTCCCAAGGTGATGATGAACATGAGCAGGATTAGTCCCACAATGGTTGTGAGCTTTATGGCGCCAAAGACAAACTCGGCCTCTCCGTAGATACGGACGGGAAGGCAATTGACCACCACCATGGGAACAAGCAGGATTGTGATCCATACCGCATTCGAGACAGCATTCGGCCAGTAATCAATAACAACTGCAGCTGCGGAAATCTCTATCGGCACTCCGATTGCGAATTGGTAGAAATAATTCCAACCTTTCCCTTTTGTCAGACAACGAAGAGAGCGTAAGAGGGGTTATCACATACCGAGAGTAAACCCCAGAGCTGGATCAACAAATCGCGCCGCATACACAGGAACCGCGCCCGGCAGCGGCAAGTACGTTGCCATCTCACCAAGACTGTTGATCACCGCGTAGAGGTTGAAGCCAGTGATCAGGTAGGCCAGGAAAGTAGAAAGCGGTCCAGCGAGACTGAGGGCTTGACCACTGCCAACAAAGAGACCTGTCCCGATGGCGCCAGAGAGGGCAAGAAACTGAACATGTCGAGACTTGAGACGTCGCTCAAGGGTGCCCACATTACGATCTTCCCGTTCGAGGTCCTTCAGATCTTCAACATCTTGATGCGTATCAACCACGGTGTCAGCCGCTTTGCCGGTTTCGATATCCTTGGCTTCGCCCTCCATGGCTCCCTGGTGTAAACCCTAGAAGCTCACTCCAGAGCAGGTGGCCGACTTGGGTGGTGTCGCGGGTTGCGACTACCTGGCAGCGAGCGCAGACAGCACCAAATGTCTTCTAACATGAGGTGCCGCGATAGAGCGAGGGATACGGACATGAGCGTCTGCGTGCATCGCTCTACCACCCCGTGCGATGCTACGTTGACGAAAGTGGTTGTATGCTGCGTCGATCATTGATTGTCAAGGCCATCACATTGGTGCGGCTGCAAAGAAGGATCAGGAAGGAAGCTTGACTTGAGGGGAATGCACCTTGACCTCGTCGTGCGCTCGGCATATTTCGAACCGATGAAGCCTATGAATTGGTTCGTTAGTTCAAGTCCTCAGTGCTCGGTAAGAAGTGACCGAAGCGTCGCTGCAGCGCGGTCTACCGTGAACGAAACCGCTCTGACATTTAGGAACACTGTCTGTAGCAATCGTGTTGGCTGTCGAGTCATGCGAGCTGCCCAAATTGAGTATGGCCGCTGTTGAGAGCGCGTCGCTCGCCAGCACGAGAAGAACAGCATTCGAAACTGTACAACACATCCAAAGGAGACATATACAGAGCAGCAGGAGCCTATTCGACTTGTGAGAGTAGAGGTGCTTCACATCATGACATGGTTGGCATCGTGAATGTGAAAGTCGACGCAAGACACAAATGATCAAGGAATGAAGGTGCGACACTTTGATCAGAGCGAGAAACGTCATATCCGAGCAGCTACGGTGGAACATACAGAGCATAGCAGATCTTCTATCGACGCATACAATCTCATCAAAGGTTGAAGAAGACAACCTCTGACAAGTCCGAGTTGCAACATCTTCTCAACCTCACATCACAGTTCTCGTACGGACAGACCGAAAAGATGGCAGCTAAAAACACTCCCATCCGGTCCAGCTGTCACTGCGGCGCCATCACCGTCACAGTTCCACGACTGCCCGAATATGCCAATAGCTGCCAATGCACCATATGCAGACGCTATGGCGCCGCATGGGGCTACTACCATCCAGATGAGGTCAAGATCGAAACCAAGCCAGGCACGATAACCAAGCAGTACATCTGGGGAGACCGAGACATATCTTTCAACTTCTGCGAGAATTGTGGATGCGTGTAGGTCACGCAACTCCTCTTCCACAAGGCTAAGAACTCATGTCGTGCCGTGCAGATGCTATTGGTGGCCGCTTCGGCCTCCCCTTACTGATGGAGCAGAGTATCAAATGGGGGTCAACACTGCTAGCATGGATCCGGAGGTGTTGAGATATGTCGATCGCAGGGTTGACTATTCGGTCTTAAAGAGCCCGTTGCGGTCCAAAGACACCGCGCATCCTGACGATCGGGCGTTCTATTGAGCCTGGTCCTCAAACATCTGTGATATCCTGCCACAGAGTGTCATTGCTCAATAGCATTCTCACGATAACAAGTGATGGCGCTGGTAGCTCTCTGCCTTAGATATGCAGAAAGTCTCAACGTAGAGACGCACTGTAAAGTAGTCATAATCAACATGTTTTGAAGAAGTCGGGAAGGCTGGTACTCTGGGAAAGCTGATCTACTGCTCTAGCACGTTACGCCCTAGCTAGTTACGGCGCGATTGCTCAGCGTCCGCAACTTCTCTTCGCTGAAGCGCGAGGATCGCCTAAGCCGCAGATGGACTTCCGGGCAACGACTTTACGAGGAGAATAGTCTGAGCTTCCATGAGAGAGTCGATGTCAGGAAGCATCACAAAGTGAAGAAGCAGACCGCCGTAGACGTACCCCGCCGGATCTCCACTTGTGTGCCCATACTTCACCGTAGCGGCGTCTCCGGGTCGCTTCAGCCATTTGCAGCCGTTCTTCCTTTCTCATCGCTACACATACAGCACGAAGAGCATATCGACCATATCCTGGACTAACTCAGCGCCTCATATACCGCGGCGATATAATCCCTCGCCTTGCGACTCCCCAACCCCACGTCCTCCATCCTGTTCATCACATACCCGATCGTCAGCTTCCGATCTAGATCCACCACCGCCATGCTCCCACCATATCCTCCCCAAGTACATACCCTCCCTTCCGGCAAGAAATCAATCCACGTGCCCGGTCCCGTCAGTCCAAATCCCATCCCCCACCGAATCGGCCTCCCGTCCGTGTCAAGGACGTGATCCAACCCCTTGTACTGTTCCTGGAAGATCAGCCCGATGGTCTCGGGTGATATGAATCTCTCGTTCTTGCTTTCGTCCCCGACTTGACCATTTCGCGAAAGAACCGACAAGACACGCGCCACGCCCCGTGCGTTGCTGTGTCCGTTACCGGCCCCGATCTCCGCCCGTCGAAAGGCCTCGGAGTTCGCAAAATCAGCCTTCATGCCCGGATTCGTCATGACGCGCATCCTGATGGACGCGGGATCGAGGCCAGGAGGAGAGGCACCCCTCGGAGGCGGGGGAATCACATCGGACCTTCGCGTCTCGTCTTGCTCAGGACATCCCAATTGAAAATCCGCGTTGAGTGGCGCCGCGATCTCCTCTGTAATGAACTGCTTGAGCGATTTGCCTGTGACGCGACGGACGAGTTCGCCCAGCATGTACCCCTGCGTGAAAGAGTGGTAACCCGATGCGGTGCCGGGTTCCCACCAGGGCGCCTGCTCCGCGAGGAGAGCCGCCATTCTGGGCGCATCGCAGATATCCGGGACTGTAATGGGGGTGTCGAAGCCCGGCAGGCCCGACGTGTGCGACAAGATGTGGCGGACCTCGATGTCTTGCTTCCCATTGGCAGCGAACTCTTGCCAGTACTGGCCGACCTTGTCGTTCACGCTGAGAACACCCCTGTCGACGAGCAGCAGGATAGCGAGTGCAACCACGGTCTTGGTGGTCGAAAAGGTGTTTGTGATGGTGTCTTTTGCCCAGGGGCGAGTGCGGTCCTGGTCGGCGTATCCGCCCCATATGTCGACGACGTCTTTTCCGTCCACGTTGACGGTAATGGATGCGCCGAGCTCATCTCCTGAGTCGACGTACTTTTGCAGTAAATCCTTGACTCGCGAGAATTTGTCGTCGCAGTGGCCTTGAACAGTGGTTGCGACCGTCATGGTGGGGAAATAATGCCGTCGTGGTAAGAACGTGGACTCGAATGTAAGAATGTCATGCTAGAAGATCTCGACCAGATACGGGGTTGACCACCTCCACATTGCCTTACACAGTCCGAGTACTTTGCGTGCGAGACCTTGAGCCCCACATCACACAGTACAACAAAGGATCGACTACCACGCCACCCCATTCGTACCACTGACACTGACATTAGAACCTCACACTCGTACTCCCGGTGACGTTGAAAGCGTCTGATTGCTAGGCCTCGACCCCGTATTGTACGGACTCAGCACTACTGCACGTACTGTACTCATACTCCGTACTCCGTACTTAGTGACTGCTGGGACGGGATCGAACCGAAGCAAACCGAACCGAGAATGCCGGAGAAAGATGTCTTAAAAAGATACCCGTGCCAGATCTCCGGGCACAGTACGTGTTTTTCGTCCGGGATCCGTCGTCCGAAGCCAGCAGCCAGGGATCTGTGACCGTCGTATATACCTCGTATCATTGGCGATTTTATGAATATGCTTGTGGTGCTTGTGGTGCTTGGTGCTTGATGTTTGCCTCGCCGCGCAGCCGGGACTGTCTGGAATATATGTCCCGACTCCATGATAGGCTGATGCTCACGCTCGGGCCCAGTCTCCAGATCAGAATTACTCGTACGCAATCGGTCGGTGAGGCGACATGGCACATGGAAGATCAGAGCCGGGGTAATGACGTCCAGATGAAACGATCTGGTGTCATCGATTATTCCAGATGGCCGCTTCCGAATCATTTCGAAGTGAAGTATGTTATCCTCCTGTACTCGTGTCACTGCACCAGTACACTACAATCTAGGCACCAGAAAGGATATCTGCTACAGAAACCATGTCGTCGCACAACGCGGTCCACCGTCCGGACATGGCCAAACACGCTGGTCCCGGTCCCGGTCCCAATCCCGATCCCGACCCCATCGCCTACGAAACTGAAGTCTATCAGAAAGGCCTGCACTACGAGAAACCACCATTCACGTTCCAACCTCTGAAATGGGAGGAAATGGCCACGGCTCGCATGTCCGCCGAGTCCGCGGGCTATGTCGTCGGTAATGCGGGGATTGGCGAAACGGCGCTCAAGAATAGAAAGGCGTTTGAGAAGTGGTCGATCGTGCCGCGCCGGTTGGTGGGTACTGACGGCTTCCCGGATCTGAGCGTGAAAGTCCTGGGAGGACAGAGGATCCCTTTCCCCATTGCTGCAGCGCCAGTCGGCGTGTTGAGGATTTTCAATCCCGATGGGGAAGTCGCGGTCGCAAGGGCCTGTGAGAAGTGCCGGATTCCGTATATCATGAGTACGGCCAGCAGTACCAGCATTGAGGAGGCGGCCAAGGCGAACGGAGATGGAGTTCGGTGGTTTCAGCTTTACTGGCCTTCCAGGGAAAATGATAGTACGACCATTTCGATGCTGGACCGGGCGAAAGCGGCTGGGTTTACGGCCTTGTTTGTCACGTTGGACACGTATGTGCTGGGTTGGCGGCCAAGTGACATGGACAACGGGTAAGTTGAGTCCCAGAATAACAGTTGCCCCTCCCAATTCTGATGGCCGTCCAGGTATAACCCGTTTCTTCGCTCCGATCAGATAGGCGTGGCTGTAGGCTTCTCCGACCCAGGATTTCGAGAGCAATTCAGAGACAAGCACGGCATTGAAGTCGAAGAAGACCAAGGGAAAGCCGCTGCCGAATGGACTCGCACCATATTTCCCGGTATGAGCCATTCTTGGGACGACGTCAAATTCCTGCAGAAACATTGGGACGGTCCGATAGTCTTGAAAGGCATTCAGACAACTCAAGATGCTCTGATGGCAGCCGAGATCGGCGTCCAGGGAATCGTTGTGAGCAATCACGGAGGGAGACAAGTGGATGGTGGAGTTGGCTCGCTTAGTGTCCTGCCGGGTATTGTCGATGCTGTAGAGGACAAACTTGAAGTCATCTTCGACTCGGGAATTCGCACTGGGGCAGACATTGCCAAAGCAGTTGCCCTTGGAGCCAAGATGGTTCTTGTCGGAAGGCCATACACATACGGACTGGTTCTTGGCGGCGAAGAAGGTGTCACCCACACGCTTCGAGCGCTCTGTGGTGACTTGGATCTGACCTTACATCTTGCTGGCATCAAATCGGTTTCGAAAGAACACCTCAATCGATCAGTGCTCGTTCGGGAAGATGGGCTGTAATGTGAACACGGCCGACCGCGGGCTAAAAATATTCGCAGAAGACGGTTACCATAGACAGAGTACAATTGTACATATCGCATGGTTCAGTCCCTCTTCGTCGGCCTCTCGACGTCGTCCCACCTCGGGAGGGCACAGGTCTGGCATCTCGCCATGTCTGGCGTGCTATCCGGGCTGATGTGTAGCCAAGTTTCGCCTTCCTCGGACTTCCGAATCTCGTCCCAGTACTTCTTCTTCCCACCTGGCGTTAGCCTTTTCCGCGTCTCGTGCTCTATCTTCAGGCGAACAGCGGTGTAGTTCTCGTCGGGGGCATGTTCCGTTGGTAGATCGGTCAAGATTTGCGAGTCTAGCAGCTTTCTCTTGGTCAACCTTCTCAGGAAAGGCTGTTCATGCTGCACATCCTTGGGCATGACACGTGAAAGAAACTCCAGTGATGCATCGATGTTCAAGTCGATAGCCCTGATGGGATCGATGGTCATCTTCATGAGCCAACTCGCCAGGTGCGGGTACAGGATGCAGAAGTCAGACTGAGAGATGTGCACCGTCCCGCGGACAGTCATCAACCAAGCTGGATGGCCAGTCTCAAGGGCCTCCATGGTGACCTTTTTGGCCACTTCAAAGTTATCCTTCCAGTACATGAAAGCTTCTGAGTTGATCCCTAGCAACGGGACACGTATCCGACTGTCGCGCTCCTCAGCTGTTGGTCGAATCGGCATGCCCCAGACATCGTAGATGATCCCCTGTGTGATGTAGCTGAATCTTTGTTTCTGTCGCAGCACTTCAACGGTCGTCGTCGCTCCGAACGAGTGTCCGACCATGGTGACGCCGTTAGTGTGAAATCGTTCTCGCCAGCCCGACCAGTCAACCCCTTTAAGACCGGCTCTTGACGCACCAATCGCGCCATTGACTCTGAGATTTCTTGCCGCAACCTTCTCGCCATCCCCAGCACAGATTTCCAACATGATTTGATAGGCTTCGTCAATCTCAGCCAGTCGCAGATCCACTTGCGCATTGCGCAATTCTTGGTCGATTTGGTGACCGGGACTTGTATCGTGTGTGTCGTGTTTCGGAAATATGAAATCAACTTTATCATAGGACCTTTTCATGTCGCTACTCTCATGCTCCACACCACCCTGGGCTTTTGTGAAATGTCGACTAGCAGGACCGGCGTCGGGGTGCGTTACTAACGTCCTGGGGCCACTGCCATCCCGGTGTTCGAGCGCTACGACCACGAACCCATGGCTCGCGAACTCGCCACACACGGACGAGTAGCAAGTCCTCGTGCCTCCAAGCCCATGACTGAAAATAATGAGGGGAAACTTCGGTTTCGCCGGTCCCGTCGTTGGAGGGTCGCCTTCATTCGCAGCAGGCTTGCGGTGATTTGTGCGGCCTTCCCCGTATGGAGGCCAGTGCTCCGCGAGTCGTGCATTTTTGTAGGCCGGTAATTTGGTAAACCATGTCGTACAGAAGAACCATGCGATCATCAGATATGCTGGTAGGCCCGCAAAATATGCGTAGCCTCGACTCGTTTGATCTCTGGGTCGGCTCAGCCATGTCGGTCGGTGCCTTTGACCTGAAGTGGGTGTGTGGATATCGTATCGGGCATTCAGATGGGCTGGATAGTAGATTGTCATCAATACCGTCTCCAATGCAAGCACGTGGACGCCGAGACGGGTGATATCTGAAAACGTCCTTGGGTTCTTTGCGGGCACCTCAAAATCAATGACTCCCACTTCATATGGTCCAGTATAGTGCGGCAGTCTTCCATAGAAAGGCACTCTATCCCTCAGGCCTTTTGGCGGTCTTCCCTTGGGCTTCTTTCTCGATGGCACATCTTTCACCTTGTTCTTCTGGTGCCTTGGGTGGCCGAGGACAAAATCCGGAAAGATAGACTCGGCGGGCATTGCGTCGAAGCTGATCCCTCACATTCGGCTTCTACACATTATCGTTTCCCCCGACTGGCCCGGCGTCAGAGGGTTCTAACGCATCGTTAGCATGGCTCACGATTGCGTTTACCCGTGATGCACAAGGCGGGACGCGAGAAAGTTCGATGACCACGATTGACCAATCAATTTTGATAGTCGTGAGAACTCTAGAGCGATCAAGGAATCGCGTCGATATGACAGAGGGAGGAAGTACGAGGTGTCTTTCGATGATGGTGTCGACGGAAAATCCGGAGTGTCAATCAGGAAGTTGAGGCACTGTATCCACCAATGACATCACTGTGACAATCTCGCGAATCCTGCCGCGTGGAACTTGTCCAATTGGAGATGACCAGCCTGATTATGTAAAGACAATGGTCACGTGTACCAGCGATGGCTGACTCAGCCTCGCAAATGGCGGAGGGTGAAGAGCAGCTTCGGAGATCCAGATCTGACACCGTTGTCGGTTCGTGGAGCCGGCTCGCCAGGAGAAATATATCGTGGAAGGAAGCCTGTGATGCTCTTCAGAGAGTTTTGCTTGGGCTGGTGGGATTTAGCTGTTTTCGTCGATGGCCTGGAATCTTTTGGATGCTTCAATCATCCCTCCCTGGGTGGGAAGGGTCTCTCATGTCTCCCCAGCGGAAGCACGTAGATGCTGCCTCGCCGCCTGCACAGACTTGGAGGTCTGTGGGAGCTGTTCCAGGCACTCGAGCAGCGTCCGGTTCAGATACCTGTACGCTTCCAGCTTGATCTTGCCCTGGCTGTATTCTCTGCTCACCACTTTGTTCATAAGTTGGGCGGCCGCAACGATGTGGTGCGGATATGGATCGATGGCAATAAAAGAAGCCGTAATTGTAGAATTGCCCGCAAGATTTTGTAGATTTGATGTCGATCCGGGGAGCCGACATGCCCCGTTGATGGTATACTGGCTTTCGAGGCCGAATTTCAAGGTGTTGAAAAGCTCGTGCTCGGCCTCGAGCCTTGTCTCGGAAAACTGCGACAACAAATCCGTCCTTTCTGCGGCCTCCATCGCGTCTACCAAAATGAGGATGCCGAGATAATAGTGAAGCATGAGTTCGTACCAGTTCAACCTCTCTACCTGCCCAAGGAACGGAAGTCGCCTTTGGCAATCGTTGAGAAGCGGCCGGAAAGTGCCTCGGAACATGTCGATAGCTTCGAGGAAAGCCGACCAAGCGTGTTGCACCTTGTCTTCCTCGGAGCCCTCGCGCAACGCCTCCTTCACGACGGAGATCATCTTCCACACATACAGCTTACATGCGAGCGCGGCAGCAATGACTTGCAAGACTTCGTCTTCAGTCATAGCGAACGGGTTCCTTCGCCAACCTTCAGTCCGCGTGTGAAAGGATCCTGCGCCCATCTTAAGTGTGCGCCAACACGTCTCGGTCTCGACGCCGTGCAGCCCTGAGGTGATTGTCGATCTGAAGTTCAATGACAGTGACGAGGACGTGTCAAAGGTCAAGGCCGCCCAGTACGCGCGGGCTTCGGTCCGAAGGAAACTGTCGGTTAACTTCGAGCCGCCCGTCGGAGTCGCTAGGGCATCGGAGGCCAGCAGCACTTGAGAACCGCTAAATTGACAACTCCGCTGGCCCTCCCGCAACCGCTGGATCTGCTGTAGTCCTGCCTGAACACAGAGTTGACCTGTTAAGCCATCCATCTCCTCTTCTTCTGAGATCCCGACCGGGACTGGTGTCAGGCTGAACAAGAACAACGCAAGAGCGGATCGATAAGAGATGCGATTGATCACCTTCAGCATATCTCTGCGTGACTTCCGCCAAAATTCTCGCACGACATGCTCTGGTAACACACCTGCCCGTTCCGTAGATGGGATGAGATGGAACCAGCGTGCGGCGAACGATCTCTTTGCATGCTTGAGGGATTGATCTATCGGATGATCCTGTTGCTCGTTCCGACTGGACTGTGGGTCTGTCCGGCTGGCCTCTGGTTGTCGCCAGCTACCGAAGATGAAATCGTCCAACTCGGGAAAGTACCGGCTTGGAGGCAGAATGATTGCCGAAGTATTATCCGCGACAAGGGCACAGCAGTGTCGACCCATCCAGAAGCCGAAGACGTTTTCGAAACAGCACTCGTATATGAGTTCAAGCCAGTCGCCTACTGATGTTGTTTCACAGTCGAGAGGTGGGGTCAGCGGCCCGTACGATGAGGAAGGCGAGACCAATGTACGAGACTCGACGGACAAACTTCTGAGGCTGGGTCAGCATCTGTTAACAAGAACTGGACACTGACGCACCGAGTCTCCTGCGGTGAGTGCTGAGCAGTGTTTTGAGGTCGATTGTTATACAAGTTACTGCTCGCCTCGGATTGTAGAAGCTCGCGGGATAAAGGGTCCTGTTGAGACGATTCGCTAGTTAAGGACGATGATTTTTTCTTCCGTGGGCCTCGAGTTGCAGGCTTTTTGACATCGTTCATCCACTGATGTACAAGATATGTTCAGCCAAAGAGTGCACAAGCTGAGTGTAGGAAGAAACAGTGACGAATGGGTCATCCTACCTCGAACGTGCATCGCCGCTTGCGACGCATACATCTAGAACAAGAACCGATCCAGTCTGGCTTCCCCGGACCATATCCGGTCCGCGCGGCATCACACGCGAGGCGCGAGTTTCGGCATGCGTCGCAACTCGAGAATTGTGTCCTTCGAGGGGTGGGCCCAACAGGTTCTTGCATGGCACAATTGGACGGTGCGTTCATCAAGGAGTTGAGCATCAAGATCCAGCCATCATATGGAAGGATGATGAGACAGAGCAATCAAGTGATGAATACTAAGTTCGCGACGGGGTTGATAGCCTCGTGGGCAGCACCAAACAGGTGGATGGATACCCACAAGATCTTCGACAACGGACCCGACTTGGTGAAATCGAAACCGGGAGGTCCAGCACCGGGAAGGGGCGGTAATCGTCGTAGCCCGACTTAAAGCCGGGAAGACCGGGGACCGACTACGCGCTTAACTAGAAGCACCACACGAGAAAGACCAGCGAGAATCGCCTGGGAACGGAGCTGATCAAGGCTGATGAATGTTCGAGCCGCGGCTGAATGTTGAGACAGCGTGTCAAGCCTCAACCTTCCCGGCCGTATTAGCACTCCGCCGTAGCCGTAGCAGCGACATATATCCTCCGCCGTATGGCAATCCTGCATCATCTCGACGAGACATGAACTATTGCGGAGCACTGACGGTTCACGGACATGCATTCGGCGCAGGCGCTTGAGTGCATGGAAAGGGATCGTTCGTGTTACGGAGATTTCCTTTCTTGCTCAAAAGATTACAATCAACCGCCCGAACCTAGACTGGCCACCCTCTCTGTTTCGTGGGCTTCTCGTCTTAGAACTGGTACTTGAATCCGGGAGACCGATCAGTCCATTCCGAGTCCGGCACAACGATACCTTCGGCCTCCATTCTCGCTTTCTTGGCCTCTCTGTGCTTGTAGATGAAGAAAAGAATCCACCAGATGCAGAATCCAAGCCCGATGGAAGCCAAGCTCCAGCCGTGGCCGAGAAGGAATCGGGGCGCCGAGGTCGACCTGTAAATCTGTCCGGCAATGATTCCGCCGATGTTGGCAAGTCCGAGATGGACACCCATGGCGGCTGCGCGCTTACCATCCGGCGCGATGTTCATACCGTGCCAGGCAATGCTCGTGCCAGTGATAATGTAGCAGCTTGCGGCGATGAGGTACGTCGCACCGTACCAGACACTCGCGTGTTGCTTTGTGAGCAAGACCGCATAACCGGCGATTCCAAGTGGTGCTGCACACACGAGTGACACAAATCGGGCCTTGTATCGGTCTGAGAGAACGGCGACAATGAAATAGCAGACGGCGCCGACGATTTGGACTAGGAGCAAAGAGTCAGCAAAGGCAAGAAAGGATAGGCTGCTGAAGTACCTGGAATGACGAAGTATTGCGCCTGCTTCGTCGAGTAATTGAAGCCGTCTCTGAGGATAATGGGAAGGAAAGTTCCAAAACCTGACCGTCAAGTTAGCGCCCCCGACGTGGCCATAAGATAGACAAGGCTTCTTACCATAAATGATAGTCGACATGAGGATCTGGTTAATACCATGCAGCCAAGTCTTGATATCCAGCATAGCATTCTTGACGTCGTTCCTTGTGTACTTGCCATCGCCCCCGCTGTATGCTTCCATCAGCTCAAGTCGCTGCTTCTGCACGGCCTTGTCTTCGTCGTTGAAGAAATATGCCGTGGCATATGATTGTGGGATCAGAAAGTAGCAGACGAATGCAAATGCAATCGTAATGATGCCTTCAATAATGTAAAGCCTATTGCTCGGTCAGCCGCGAGCTAGTCATGCTGGGACTTGGTCACTCACCATCGCCATCCAGGGTACCCAGCTGTCCCATCCATGTAGAGAATTCCGAATGCAATCAGGCCACCGAAAGCTCCAGACAGAGCAGAACCAACTGCGAATCATGTGTTAGGCGACAAAATGAAGACACCAGGGGATAACATACTGTAAAGGTAACAGACACGTTGACCAACTTCTTCGCGTTTATACCAGTTCAACAAGAACATGGTCATGGAGGGGAACAGACAGCCCTCAAAAGTGCCAAGCAACAGTCGGCACACGATCAGGCCTGCGTAGTTCTGGATGAAACCCATGCACATGCACACGAGACCCCAGGAGAACACGAGGACAGGAATAACCCTCTGGAATTGGAGGCGCTTGACATACATTGTCGTCGGGAACTCGTCGCTATTAGCTGGGACCATCACGACATGAAAGCGTTCAGCTTACCTCGGACAGAATGTACGTGAGGTAGAAGATGGAGACAGCGGTCTAGTACCGTCAGAAGCCGATTTTCGCCAAATTTATTGAGTACTCACGCTTAGTTCATTGGCCTTGAGACCAATGTCCTTGGTCATGCCCTGGGTGGCTGCAAACCCAATGTTGCCACGGTCGAGGTAGCTGATTAGCATGAGGAGCAGCATGACCGGCGTGATGTACAGGTCAAGCTTCCGGACAACTCGCTTCTCCTTCTTGAGGAAGGCCTTTTGATCTTCAGTAAGTGCAGTCTCGCCATCGCCGACAACTTCCTCCAGATGTACTCTCCCCTTCAACTCGTCTAGGGTCTGTTGCTGGGCGCTCATTGTGACTTTTCTCCGGGCCGACAGTAAGGCGGGCAAGGTGATTGAGAGAGGAGGGCTTCACCGGAAGTTTCGATAGATTATGAAGGAAGGTCTCGACAAAGGACCTGGGGAAGGTAGAGACAATGATAAGTTTCTTGGGAGCCGAAGACACGAACCCCGTGGGGATAGAGTTCAGCCTACACGTGGCTTGTAAAGGAAATAGGAGCCCAGAGCTTTGGAGACCGCCTCGGATTGATGGAAATGGTCAGGAGTAGTCGCTTAGATCTCTGGCGAGAGCATTCCCCAACAGCAGGTGGCTATCAATCTCAGGGTGCAGATGTACCACGTTGCGTCTCGCAGAGGGAAGCTATCAGGTGGATGATAGTGAACTAACGCGGCAAGATCGGGAGGCACCTGTCGTCTAGGAGTTAGTCCCGCAGCGATACGAGGGTACGTACTTCGTTCTGCCCCAATACCTGGGGGCCGCAGCCGCCCATTTTCGGGGAACATAGCTTCATGCTGGTAAGCAAATGGAGAAGAGTAAAGCTTATCCCGTGGCAACGAGCAAGCCTCGTGTTGGAGAAGAAAGAAGTTGATGAATGGCGGCGGCTCCATCCAAAGTTCAGCCACGACAGACCGGACGCTTCTTATGGGGGGCATGTTCTCTGGGTGTGACCCGTCGAGCCGATCAGGTTCATCCAATCACAGCACTCACTCACTCCAACGGCTCGTGGTGCTTGGGAATTGCGTGCGTCTTGTTCAGATATCTTATAATCTGTACCGTCCTGGAAACTCGTTGACTTTCAAGTGAAAGAAAGTTGGTACGGAAGAAGCCAACACGTGACCCCTAACGCGTTGCCAAGCGCGTTGCTGACCAATGAACTGCACAGCCGGACCCAGCAGACGCAGCTTTCACTGACCGCGACACCAATGAGCAATATCACCTCGCTCACTTACACTTTTGAAAGGTCAATCGGCAATGTCGGCACCAAAAGGACGGCACGGCAGGATCCACATTCGGCTTGGTCTGGGGCAAGGGCCTCATTGGCGCGGGGGTGGACCGTCGTGCCCATACTCCGGAGTCGAGACCAAGATACAGGACACGCTTCCGGCGACTCTCCGGACAGCCATCCCTCTTCCCAGTTCGACGAAAGATCGACCTTGGACCTCGCCGTGGACACCGTCGAGCAGTTGGGGAAGCTCTCTGCTGTGCCCGGGTTCAACAGCCAGAGTTGGAGTAACCATCGACCACGCAGCTTGTCTCGGTTGTCCAGACTAACTGTGTGCGGATAACTCGTCTCCTGCGCACTCCCCCAGGGAGAGATCTGGAGAGCCGAATCGGATCGTGTAGGAGTGTTGCCCTCACCCCACGGCGCGTCGACCGAAATTTTTCCAAAGGAACAAAACATAAACACTCGAGCCTAGCCTGTAAAAAGAGAGAAAGCGAGACCTCACACAGTATATCAGCATTTGATCGCTAACAATTGACCAACATGTCGCTGCCTACCCGCCTGTCTCCCAATGATGCTCCCAACCTGCAAAATGGGGATGCCTCGCCCAAACCAGGCTGGGGATCCGACTATATCGCGCAACAACTCGCAAAGGTTCACATCCCGTACTTCGTCCTTGTCCCCGGGTCGTCCTATCGCGGCCTGCACGACAGTCTGGTCAATTTGAATGGCAATGCGGCGCCGGAGATGGTGGTCTGTCTGCACGAGGAACACTCCATCGCCATCGCGCATGGCTACGCCAAGGTCACAGAAAAGCCCCTGGCATGTGGGCTGCATGCCAACGTCGGGCTGATGCACGCGTCGATGGCAATTTTCAACGCCTTCATCGACCGTGTCCCGATGGTGATATTTGGTGCGGCGGGCCCCTTTGACACGACGAAACGGCGGCCGTGGATCGATTCGACACACACGGCCGTCGACCAAGCGGCCCTGGTGAGGAACTACACCAAATGGGACGATCAACCCGCGAGTGTTAATTCCGCTATCCGCAGCGTCATCAAAGCCACGGCCGTGGCATCGGTCAAGCCATGTGCCCCTACATATGTTGTTCTGGACGTGGGTCTGCAGGAAGCGCCGTACGACGAGAAGGACGTCCGCTACCCCGACACGGAGAGATACCTGACTCAGCAATCCGCTGGGGCGAGCCAAGCAGATATCAAGAAAGTGGCACAAGCCCTGCGGGAGTCGAAGAAGGCGTTGATAATGTTCGGCAGGATGAACCGCACGCAGAAGAGCTGGGACGAAAGAATCAGACTAGCCGAGATGTTCGACGCAAAGGTTATAAGTACGATCAACCTTTGGTATTGTTGCTGCATTTGGCCGCTCGTGAAAATCTACATACGTAGGCACAGTCCACTACAGACATATGCTGACTTGTGTCTTTTCCAGCCGATATTAAACAACCAGTCGCCTTCCCCACCACCCACCGATTGCACCCCGCCGCGCCTGCACTGTTCTTGGCCCCCGAGGCCGCCAGCATGATCCGAGAGGCCGATCTGATCATCTCCTTTGACTGGGTCGACCTGGTGGGCTTCTTCACCGCTGCCCACGGCGAACTCATCGAGCCGAAAGCCAAGGTGATCGAGGTCTCGGTCGACACACAACTCCACAATGGGTGGTCAAAGGACCACTTCGAGACACCTCCAGCCGACATCAGCATCTTTGCCGACCCTGACAAGTTCATCACCGATCTCGTGGCGGAGCTCGAATCCGCGAAACTCACGGGCTTTCCCAACTCGGCATGGCCCGCCACAGAGCCTTCGTCGTCGCAGAAGCCGCAAAACCTCGACGGCGAGGACATCTTCCAGGCCGACCTGGCGTCGGCGCTCTACGCGACGATTAGCCCTGACGACATGTGCATCATCCGCCTGCCCCTCAGTTTCCGCGGGATCGATCTGCTTGCGACGCACCCGCTCGCCTACCTGGGCATGGACGGCGGTGCGGGGATCGGCTCTGGCCCCGGGCAGGCCGTTGGATCGGCCCTCGCGCTCAAGGGGACGAAATACGTGCCTGTGGCGATCCTAGGTGATGGGGATTTCTTAATGGGCAACTCCGCGATCTGGACGGCTGCCCGGTATCGCATTCCCGTGCTGATCATCGTGTCGAACAACGGCAGTTTCTACAACGACGAGGTTCATCAGGAGAGGGTAGCCAACACTCGCAGCAGGCCCGTGGAGAACAAATGGATCGGTATGCGGTTGGATGATCCACTACCTGACATCGGGAAGATGTCGGAGTCGTTCGGACTGAAGACGCTGGGCGCACAGATCAGCAAGCGCAGTGAGCTGAAAGGAAAGTTCGAGGAGGCGGTCAGGTTGGTGAGAGAGGAGAAGCAGTCGGTCGTTTTGGACGTCAGGGTCCGGCCGGATGATTACCTGAAGAACTGGGGGGCGGGCAATGTTGTCAAGAAGTAAGGCCGTGGTCAGTCGGGAAACCAGACCAACATCTGATCTCTTTGGCTCTAGACAGGCTGGTGCATGGGGTTTGGCTTGCTCATAGACCGTGCATGGCGTGAGGGTTCAAAGCTCCGGTGATCGGTATACATGTAGTGCTGCTTTGATAGACTGGCATGATCCAGGCCAAGAAGATGACGCATACGAGCGATTGCCACAGTACGAATAAGTAGTGCGCTTGATATGCAACTTCAAAAGTCCTGTGTAGTATGGTATTTCCGACGACTGGTCAGCTGCCGGAGCATGCTGTCGCTGTGAAGATCGAGAGCCTCCCACGAGGAAGGCATTTTATCGCCCAAACTGACAACAGAAGCTCGAGTTGAATCATTGATTCAAAGACAAATCATAGCAGCTCGAGCCAGCCATAGATATACATCAACGTAGCCTATGGAGCTATACACACGCGCCACCACCCACCTACTCAGCCCCCGTAAGTACACTGCACTTTCTGCCCCTACCCTACTCAAGCCTACCGTACACATGGAACTATCTATTCACTTGCATCATCACATCTTGCGATATCGTATCTTGCATCACCGTATCTTGCATCACCAGCATCTCGCGTGTTGCACACAACCCCCCCTGCTTTCCTCGGGCTAGGTTGACCCTACGGCCCTACGGGCTAGAGTCCTACGAGCCTAAGGCAAGCCGACCCTCATGCTCGTCTTCTCATTCAACCCCCAAGCATAGCTCGAATCGTCATGGACGGTGGTCCGGCGCATATCGCGCCGATACTTGCCCTCGTACGCGCCACCGTGCGCGCGGTGCATGACGGAGGTATTGTCCCAGAGGATCAAATCGCCGGGGTTCTGCCACTCGACCGACACGACATACTTGTCCTGACAGGCGTGATCGAGCAGACGATTGATCAAGGCGGTGCTCTCCTCCTCCGGCAGGCCCTCGACGTGGTGCATGTGATTGCCGATGTAGAGCGTCTTGCGGCCGGAGCGCTCGTGGGTCTGCACGACCTTGTGGCGCGAGAAGTAGCCCTTTTCCGGGTCCACGTCGGTGAAGTACTCGGGCGCGGCTTTCCGGCGCGAATGCAGCAGCGAGTGCGCCACCACGTAGTCGTTGTCCTCGAGTTGCTTCTTCAGGTCCGCGGGCAGGTCGTCGTACGCGGTGCGGCAGTCCGCAAAGTCCGTGTTGCCGCCCAGGCCTTGGCCCGGCGGTGGGATTTCGTGGGCGCGGAGCAGTGAGAGGCCAGCCCGGCGTGGGTTGAATGACGAGTCGTGGTGGAAGAGGTTGTTGCCCTGGATGCCCGATCAGACGAGATGATACTGCAGAGCGGAGCGTAGCGTAGCAGAGCAGTCAAAATAAAGGGAGTGGTCGTGCAAAATCAAATGCAAACAGGGCCAGGCCAGCATGCACACGCACGCACGCACGCACGCAACATATACTTGTGTTTAAAAAGCGAACATACCTTGCCGTAATACCAGCGATGGCTTCCGGGCTTGACCAACGCGTCGTCCTCCTCGATGTTCCCTACGTCGAATAATTCCTTGTGCTTGAACCGGAATGGCCGGCCCGCTTGGATGTGAGGGAGCACGTCGTCGAGTTCGCCCAGCCGTTGCGAGAATTGGATGTGCAGCTCGTCGTTCAACTTGGCGTGCCGGAACACTAGGACCCCGTACTGTGGTGGTGATGGCCGTGTTAGCGTCGGGGTATAATTATCAGATCTTCAGATACTAATTGTTGATGTTGCAGATCGGTTGAGTCGACCACGTGCAAGTCGCCACGTACCTGGTTGACGGCCTTCCAGAGTTCTTGAAAGACATCTTCGGGCACGGGCCGTGAGAAGTCAACTCCAGACACCTCGGCAGCAAAGGTAGGATGCAGCTCCTTGACCTGGATAAGGCTGTAATCGACGGCGTGGGGCATTTTGGGACAGCGGAATGGACGCGTGACAGACGATACGAGAGAGGTATGATGAGTTCGCAGTACACGGGGTGAACCAGTCAATCAATCAATCAGTGCCTCTGTCAGAGTCCAGTGTAGTGTATAGTAGTGTAGTGCAGTGCAGTGCTTGCATTCAACGCTTCAACGCTCAACTCGCGTGCATCTTATCTCATTCTCCGAAAGTCGAGCCTCGCAGATAATGGCTCATCTCCAACAGTCTTACCGGTGCGGAACTCATCATGTCCAGAAATCGTGGTCCGACAGTGCCTCGAGAGTTTCTGTCCATGGTTCGATTCACTTAATTGACCGCGATCGGGGGTTCCGCCGAGCCTCGGAGCCTCGGTGGAGAAGCGTGGAGCGGCACCCCCAGTGGCCCCCTCCCCGGCCTATCCCCAATGCTCGGCAGCGTCGAGGCTTGGGGAGAAGGTCGGGGAAGCATCGCATCGCATCCCTCCCCCACGTGCTCGAACATGTCAACCTCACCTGACCGGCGAGGACCGAGAAGCCGGAAGCGAGACTGCACCTCCAAGCCTGATTCATACTGTACCCGGTACCCGTCATCGTCCTGGCCGACGTACAGTAGTAGCCTGTACTCCGTAAGTAAGATCAAATCCCAGCACCTGGCCAGCGCTTGCAAACGCAAACCCTCCCGGCTGTCATATGCCATGTCATTCCTCGGCCGCCAGACATGTCTCGTCCCAACCAGAAGTTCGCCGTGCCAGGCGGCGCCGTGGCGCGGCTTCGAATCATCGACTCGACCACCAAGATCAAGGGCCTTCCCCTCGACTACCTCATGACCCCAGCAATGCCGGGAATGGACGTCCTGCCCGAGGCGCCTACGTGGTCGTTCCTCGTGGAGAGTGACACTGGCCGTAAAGCGCTCTTCGATCTGGGTGTCCCGCCGAATTGGAGAGAATTTTCGCCTGTCGTGGCCACACCACTGCAGACGCGAGGCTGGGGGGAGCCTTCTGGCGAGAAGCACGTGGCTGATATCCTGGTCGAGGAGGGCGTCGATCTGTCCAGCATTAACAGTATTATTTGGAGGTGAGTACATGTGTCAAGTCAGAGCTCTTCCTGTGCCGGCCTCTCATAGGCTCCCACTTTCTCTGCCTGCCACTGTACCTACCTCACCTGTGCCTCGTCTATGGACCGGAATCGAAATTGCATTGAGGTCGAAGTCCAAGTTGAAATTGAAATGGACGTTGAATTGACGATGCCTCCCGCTATGGCCCCAAAGTCACTGGCACTACGATCATATAGGCGATCCGTCCACGTTCCCTCCGTCGACAGAGTTGATCGTCGGTCCGGGATTCAAAGAGGCCTTTTGCCCAGGCTGGCCGGCTAGACAAGACTCTCCTGTAAGGGAGAGCGATTTCGCGTAAGTCAGTGTGTCTGGCCAATCAGTTCAGGCAACGTCCGTGCCGTCTCGGGAAGTGTCCCTAACCTACCCACAGAGGTCGTCCCCTCCGTGAAATTACCTTTTCAGAACCTAATGCCCTTCAAATCGGCCCCTTCCCCGCCTACGACCTCTTCGGCGACGGGTCATTCTACCTCCTCGACACCCCCGGCCACGCCATCGGCCATCTAGCCGGCCTGGTCCGCACCACGCCCGACACCTTCGTCATGATGGGCGGCGACTTGTGCCATCATGGCGGCGAGCTGCGTCCGTCTGAGATGATGCCTCTGCCTGCGCAAGTCCAACTGCCCTCGCTGAGCCTGAACCCGAACCAGTACCCTGGCTGTGCGTGTATATGTCCCGGATCAGCCTTCCAGCACATCCAGGAGACTCGAGGCCGCAAGGCGGACGAACCCTTTTTCGACCCCGCCATCGGGTATGATATCCCCGAGACGATCCGGACGATCAAAAAGGTCCAAGGCGCGGATGCGGGGGAGAATATCTTCTTCATCTACGCGCACGATACGTCCATTCGAGGGGTCGTCGATCTATTCCCCGCCACAGCGAACGAGTGGAAGGCCAAAGGGTGGCGGGAGAAGGTGTTCTGGAGATTCCTTGAGGATTTTGGCGGGGCATTGCCCTCGGATCTGTCCCTGGCAAGGGTTGAGGAGGGACAGTAGAGTTTGTCTGTGGTTGGCAGTGTGACTGCAGTGAGATGGATGGACAGCAACCCGGCCCGACGGCTTTACGGCGCGACAAACACTGAGGGATCCAAAAGGAAATGGTCGAGTAGAGCAGGAACCAATTCAAAGTGGAACAGACCTACGACATACCGGCATAGCATAGCGTATTGGATGAATGGCCCGAGAATCTCAGCCGTAACTCCGGTAGCGATGAGATGGAGAGAGTGACGAACAGCGAGGAAGGAAGCCGAGCGCGGAGCACTTAGAGCCTCTATACTCCGTCGTAGTAAGTGACTCTCATCTCCCCCCTAAATGTCTGACCGTAGAATCAGCATGAATCCGCCAAGGTGCCCCGCCGTATCTCTACAGTGGACCACAGATGAACCGTGTGGACCCAATACCATTCTGACAGTATGGGTGAGAGCGTCACCAAAAGTACGCAGTATCTACAGAAGATGCAACACCGCGTCCTGCGTGCTACATGATACTGTACGTGTTTGAGTCTCTGCTGGATAAGACCGAGATGTGAGTATCCATTTCCGTATTCACCCTTCAAATTCCAGATCATGGCTCAAATTTAAATCCCGTATTTACTTCCTCCACCCCATCCATTCGGACGTACAACACTCATGCCTCAACGAATCGGCGCATCAGGCCCTACGATCATTCCCCGACACTCACCAAACCCAAGCACCTTCCGTCCACTGGCGTCCTCACACCATGCCGAGAGTACGACCGAATCGCCCTCCTCCAAATACCGCAGTTCACCACCGCCCTCGAGCGCCACTGGCCGCGAGCCATGCAGCGTCGCCTCAAACAGACAGCCTAACTCGCACTTGTTCCCCTGAGCGTCCACGCCATCGCCAGAAACCGTGCCCGTCCCCATCAGGTCGCCGGTGCGGAGGCCGCAGTTGGCGGACGCGTGGTGCGTGATCTGCTGATAGGGCGTCCAGTACAGGTATTTGAGATTGCTGGTCGCAAGGCCATGGCGCTTGCCCCCTCGTTCCAGGTGAACGGCGAGCTTGACGTCGAAGGTCCCGCGCGCAAAGTCCTTGTAGCGAAGGTGCTCCAGCGGGTCGGTCTCGTGTTTCGGAGCGGTCTGGAATGCTTTGAGCGCGTCCAATGTGACGACCCACGGCGAGATGGTCGTGCCGAAGGATTTGGAGTTGAAGGGGCCAAGAGGCGGCATTTCAAAGACTTGCAGATCGCGGCTCGACCAGTCGTTCAGCAGGACGAGGCCGAAGATGTGGTCTGGCGCGTCGTCGACCTTGATTGTTTCCCCGTACGGCACGGGCTTGGAGACGATGTAGCCTACTTCGAGCTCGAAGTCGAGATGTTCCTCGGCGCCATACGTGGGCACGCGCGTGCCCTCGTGTTCAGTCTTCCAAAAGACACCGCGCGGTCGACGGATTAATGACGGCGAGGGAAGAACACTGGACGCCCGGCCGTTATACGCGGAAGGTGCGTGGAAGAAGTTCTGGGGGATGCCGTCTTTCATCATGGGCGCGCACTGGCCGGAGTCAGCGAGAAGAAAGCAGCGAACAGCGAGCAGCGAGCAGCGAGCAGCAATCAGCACTCAGCCACCAGCCAGCCACCACCACCACCACCACCACCACCAGCGATCAGCCAGTATCAGACACTCATGCATCGTGACGAGTGACTCACATTCTTGCAGTGTTCCAACGAACAGAAAAAGTCGGTATATTCCGGAATCACAACAGGCAAATGCATCGTCACATCAGCCAACATATGCAAGCATGTCTCCGGAACCTTGCCATCCTTAACGGCCGAGATGATCTGCTCGCGCGCCGCCGTCCTGGTCTTGGCTTCAAGCGCCGCGAACGCGTTCAACGATGTCTTGACCCAGAGAACCAATTAGTCTCGATCGCGCTAATAGCACAGCCTCCAGAAATGTTACGGGCTGGGCTTTTACGAGGCTATTTTGTCGTACCTGAGACAGCGTGTCTGTCACGGACGCGTCTGCAAAGAAGCCCGCCCCAGCAAGCGCTCGTAGATCCAGAGCAACGTCGCCGATCGCGGTCGCGCATCGTGGCGTGGGATCCTCTCTCGTCGAGAATACGCCGAAAGGGATGTTATCGATGGTGAAAGCTGAATCCTCAGGGACGTGCGAAAGCGAGTTCATGTTCATATTTGGTCAACTCCCTACGAGGCGGAAATGTGTCGGCGGGAAGAGTGTGTGTCTCCGACTGTCCCCTTATATATCTTCGAGCGGCGTCCGAAATTATAGATCTTCGAGCGCCGCTCACAGTAGGTAGTACTAACGCCCACACCCCGATGTGAAAGGCCGTGGTTATTTAGTTTAATCTTTGCTTGGGGACTCCGATCTGGGGAGGCCCAATCAAACGCGAATGCCACTGCCTTTCGGTTCCGACTTGTGAAACCTTCGTACTACGCACCGCCTCCGATTTATCTGGCTTATTTTCGCTTCCGATCTGGGTGGGGGGGCATTGTAAAGATGCAAGGTCGGAATATCATGTGTTCGTCGGTGAAGTATAGGATACCGCCTGGAAATCCCCACTTCAACTTCATGCCAGCCGAGCCATAGCAATTTACAGTAATATGGCTTATTTGCATGTGCGCAAAGAGTCGCCAAAGAAAGTGCCGGACCGGCGCAGAGAGCACGTCAAGGGTGCACTTCATATAGATGCTTCAACCCCCGGTTTCCAGCTATTTTACCAACTCTCAACACCACGGGGCTCGGCCACAAAACTTTTCCGGGGTCTTGTGAGCTTGGATCTAAGTCAGATGGCTATACTTCCTCTGTAACCACCATGAGATGTGTAATTCGTGCGATGTCTTTCTCATCGCGTGGTAGGAAGGGCATCTTAGGAGGTGACAGGATTCCGGCATCGTCAATTACCACCCAGAGATAGAACTCGGTCATGTCACTGTCGTCGAATATATCCCGCCACAGATAAAGCTCTTGGACGTCATATTGCGTATGTTGAATGTACAGTGCATTGAGACACTCGGTTCGTGTTCGACCCAGTGTTGATGTCACCTGCAACATTCCCGACGCATACTGGACCTTCGACCAGGGCGAGGTCTGTTCAAACAAGGAGTGGCACGGCGTATTCCATTTTCTACATTTTTGCGGCATTAGGTATGTTATGGTATGCATGATGAACGCCAACCGAAGCAGTCCTCGATCTGGTTGATCTAGTGACCGCTGGTGACGAGAAGGTTGATCAGTGCCATAATTGGGACACTCATGCGGTACTGGAGAGCAAGATTGCAGAGACCCGCTGGCAATGAGGTCGATGAGCTTATCCAGGCCAAGGATAGGCTAGCGGTGGTATGAATGCTGCAAGTCCAGGTATTTGAATGATGGAGTGGGATAGAGAAGCTCGTTTGCATTGCCTTTGGCCATACGCGCCCAGAAACTCTCCTTCCTGCCAATTTCTGGTTCGCATTTCCAAATTGTCGCGGAGGGACAAGAGGACCGTATCCTAATTATCAGATATGGCTACAAGACGGTTAACCATCCTAGTTGATCCAATTCCCCGGGTAGAGCGAGAATCTGTTTCAAACCACCAATGTGCATCTCCAGGGTGACAATATTGTTCATCATGGACTATCCCAGTCAGCACTTGACTGTTGTTCATCCAGGCCAATTTCCGGACTCGCATCAACACCCATCAAAGCGATAATCGCGAGTAGAATGGCATCCTGCTCATATCCGTGTTGTGGATGAAGGACTTCGCGTAGTCTTTGAGGGTATGACTGTAGGGAAATAGGGCGTCCTTATCCGGCCCATCCCTCCGTCCTTGAACGCTGAGGTTTGCTTGTCCAGCGCGATCAGGGCGTCCTTATCGGGCCCCATCCCTCCGTCGATGAACGCTGAGTTTGCTTATGCCAGCGCGATCAGGGCTTCGAACATCAAGCTGCTCCGCAACGCATACTTGAAATATTGTCACAAAATAGCTGCGCCTGCTTCGGCCGACACCAGCTCTGGGCGGATAATGTGGGCATGGCCATACCAGTGGAGGACTGTCAATGGCGTCAGTCAGTCGACCCGGACGAAACGAGTGGGCCGTACGATAGTCCACTGCCGCAGGTATAAAGTCGCGAAACTTGATAGGATATGCGCCGACGGGATCGTGGCTGTAATCATGTCCATCGTGAGCAAGACAAACATGTGCCCGAAGCTCGAGAGGAATCAGGCGAGGAGTTGCGGCTGCCTGACCCCGACAGCGTTCTTCCGTTCGGGGGTGTCTGGCCTTCCACAGTCAGTTCTCGTGGGAAGCGCTGAGAAGAGAAGTCGTTTGCTTTTGCAGTCTTCCTTGCCGACGGGCGCGATCTGTTGCGACAATGGGGTGCCGATGTAGGAGGCGACATGGCGCCATTTGCGGCGGTCTGTCTGGTGCGAAGGATGAGGATAGTTGACGAGTGTAGGATTAGGCACGTGGGTTCGGATCCACTCGATGCTGTTCAGATCCTCTCTTGACTGGCGTTGCACAGTGGTTGCTGCCAGAGAGCGTAGGTCCAGCACTGGCTTTATGCGTTCCCCGCGGACCAACGCGTTCCTTGTCCGCTCGTGTGTCTGCCCGGAATACCAGACCGGACTGCAATCAATACCGCGTCGCCAATTCATAGTTGCTTCACAGTTATGATTAGGGGACCGCTCGCTGGGTAGTCCGGTCGACGCGACAAGGGCCAGTATGAATAATGACACAACTCAAAGAGCAGTCAAAGGGGCGAGTTTCGAGCTTGACACGGGAAAGAGACTTCAAATCGATTTGTAATATCACTCTGCGAATCTCTGCCCACGACCAAGTAGCAACGTACCTATGGGGGCCAACACCAGCCAGGCACGCGGTGATCCATTAGCTGTGTTAGGGCAAATCTCACTTCAGCGCCGGCGATTCGATAGAAGGCTTTCCAAGCGGATGGACTGGCGAGTGCAACATCCCCCGTTTTAGCAGTGGTACCGTTGACGCTGAATGTATAGGCAAGCATCCAAACCACGCTTTGTCGGCATGGGAGGCCGGCGTGCTCGATGGTCATGGAACACCGTCCAGAGGCGTTGGTTGTGGTGTGACCCAGTGTCAAAGCTTGGAAGATAGATGGCACGGAAAACTATTCTCCATCAGATCCAAGTCAATCCATCTGGTCCACCAAAGCTGCACGCTGAAGTAAGCGCGGGAGGAGAACAAGCCACGGGTTAATTAGCGAAGATTTGTCAATAGCTTCGTGTTCCCGTCCGTGATCTTTTGATCCAAAAGGAGCCCGTCGTGTTCACTGAACCCGGGTCATAGATTCGTTGGGCATACATATCTCCTCGCTTTGTATACAAACTCCAGCTACGTAAGCCAAATGACCAGCGCCAATAATCTTTCTCCGCTCAAGCTTGTTGTAAATGCAACTGCCAGTTCCATCTGGCTCGAAGTACTGCGAGTCCTCCGCTCTGCGTTTCGACTGTTCGTCCACGGCCTCGATCATTACTGTCGGTGGAATTGATTGACTGCGATGATGACCAGTCGTCAGGTCTAGGATTGCGGTAATCCTCTGCACCGGGAGGAAGGACGGTACTCTGTTCGATCTCAGACATCGTGTCATTGTCGGGCTCTCCAAACGTCCACCACATGCCAAAGTGACCATCCGCATCTCGTGTGGCGATGGCTGCATTGGCGTTATGAGCGATCCATTTGTCATATGCAGCGCAGCGAGCGAGGTGGTACTGGTAAACCTTCCGGTCGAAGCTGGCACCTCTTTGTGTCGAGATGAAGGCTTCCTCCTGTGGCCACAGCGGCCGACAGAACTCAGATAAGTGATGGAAGAATATGCCTTTGAACGTTTGGCCGTCTTGACTGCACCAACCACGGTGGTCGCAGAACTCTTCCAAGACCCCACCTCGACCAAGACCCCTCCATATCGGGTCGCTGTTGGGCCAGCCAGTGGCACGAACCACATCCTCCACTAGAGCATGACCCTCATCCAGATAGCTCCTCGCCCCTGTAGCTAGCCAGAGGCCGCGACTAGCCGAAAGAACAACACCCTGATTGTAAGTATAGACCATTGGGTCGAGTTCATCGCAGTTCCCCGTGCCGGGGTTGATAGTTCCGTTTGGATATCGGTGCCATCCGGTGATGTGGAAGCCGTCTTGATAGAGTCCAGATCGCCAGCTCCGCATGTGGCTCCCCATGAGCCACTTGTAGCTCTTGATGGCGTTCTCCAAGTACAAAGGGTCATGGGGCTTGGAGAAGTCGTCCGGACCCTGCGTCAGATATGGCGAAGTGTTGTTGTCGCCAGGGTGGTAAAGATACATAGCAATGCTTGCTGTCGCAAACAGCTCATTGGTGATGGCGTTCTTGTACGGGGTCAGGTAGGGATTCCAAGTCATACCACCTCCGCAGAGTGATTCATCCCAGCCAGCGGATGCCAAGTCGTAAAAGATGCGAGCGCGGTGAGCGGCCATCGGGCTAATCTGAAGACCATGCCATCCAATGCCAGAATCAGGATGTCTGCCGGATTGTATGAAATCCCAATGCTTCAAGCTGTACATTTCGGCAAATTTCAAGTTCTCGAGCCAGCCGAGAACAACCCACAGCATATCGTCGTACGCTTGATTTCGGAGCGCAAATGCATTCTCGCCAAAGTAGAAGACGGTGGTATGAGAGTAGTATCGATCTATGATGTTCTGCCACGAGAGCATGTCCGAGCAGGTGGACATGGCGGACGCATCCAAGGAGGAAACAATGCTGGCCAGTGTAGCAGAGATATGGGTGCCCATGACAGCCGATGTCCAGTCAATGGCATTCGGCCAGGTGCCCGTGAAGATGTCGAAATATGAGTCTTGCATGACCTCCAGCGCGTTCAGCATATTGCGGAGGGCTTGCGGTAGCCTGGATGTCCAAGTTTCCGTCGCCTTTCCTTCTCTTGAGTCCGGTGTCAACTCCTTCTGACCGGCAACTCCAAAAGTGTTTCCCAAGCCATACTGGCTCCTTTCGATCGCACCACTGAGCACAACGCCGACGCAGTGGCAGAATGCATAGAAGAGGATTATAGCGTGCATCGTGGATTCAAGACTTCGTGACGCATGGTCGCATAAAGAGAGTCAATCGGCCGGGGACGGGACGGAGGCTAGGAAGTCATACCCCAGATGCGAGAGGAGGGACACATCTCAATCAGCTCAACGAGGGATGCAACAAGAAAAGAGCCTTGTGATCATTCTTGCGAGGACTTGACGCAGGAGGACGATGGTGTTCTCGGCGTGAGCGGCCAACGAGACCCCAGAGACGGGATTCCAGGCTTTCCGACACAGCTAATGACAGCCGTGGACGACGGGGCACTGTGGAGAGTCACGTCGACAGGCCGTAAGCGTAAGCGCGAGTTGCAGAATGGCTTGAATGGCCTGCAAGGAACAGAGAGTGCAGAGCCAAGGAAGCACGTTATCGATGCCACCTGACCTCGATCCCCACGATCGTCTCACGCCTGACTCGGATCCTCGCTAACTACCCCTGCAGCAGCAGCCAGCAGCGCATTCCGTTTCGCCGTGCTTAACCGCTGTCTTCAATATGACTTGCACTTCGGTCGCATACTTGTGAGCTACTGGTGGCCATCTAGTTCTATGATGAGTAGATTCAAGCTCAAACCGTCGGAGCTAAGCTAGGGGAAGAAAAAATGCAAGCTCGCTTTCTTGCTATTTGACAGTCATTTCCTCTATGCCGACCGGACTAACTACGCTGGAGTGCCCCTTGCACCGGTCGACCAGCGCTCACAGCAAAAAAGTGGACTAATACTATCCTCAGGATGGCTTGAGGAAGCACTAAAGCCTCGACCCGGCGAGAGGAGCTGGACAGCAGAGACAAAGAAGACGCGAGAGGACGAACAAAATGGACGCGAAATGGCATTTTAATGCAGCCAGAAATCTATGTGTGAACGGCATCTGATGAAACTAGAAATCTCTGTGTGTACGGCTTCGCTCGAATGTCTCTTGGAGGAGAAGTGAAGGGAAGCACCACTCACCCACAAACCAGAAAATCCCAGTAGAGGAAGGAGTGCGAACAGACAAAAACTCTTCCACAACCTCTATATAGAGGTTATGGTGAGTTCACAACAGCTGGCCACACTTCGATCGGGCTATATCCGGCGGTTCCAAACCAATACCGGTCTACTCCCAATGCGCGAAACATCCTGAGATGAACGCCGATTTGACTTCGTCAAGTATGCAAACGAATTTCGCTTCGATCGTGGGTTGGCGATTTCTCGGTCGAGTGTGGTGGGAGTCGAACTCGAGGACTGGGTGGTGGTTGGTGTGTCGCCGCAAGGATTCGTCTCTGGCATGCATTCTAGCCGGTGCTAGCTGACTTGTGCCAGTGAGGAATTGCAGCAGATTTTTGGAACTTTCAAAATATATTGTCATGAACAGTGAATGGGTGAATGGGTGTGATTGGAGGGCTGAAGGGTGAAAGTGAAGGAATGCGACGAGCCTCGGATCGATACATATGACGACGAGGCTGGAGACCCTAGCGGTCGTTGATATTCGCGGGTGCAGGGCGATCACAACATCGAAGGAAGGCCATTAGTCGGTCATGCGCCAGGGAGTATGTCCGAAGGCACTTTGTTTCGCCCGAATTGCTTGTGACTTGAATCGAGTTTCACTCATGGTAACCTTGATCTATCGTGCATGTTCTCTTCTACCAGAGACAATCATTGTTGCATAACGGCTGTAAGGTTGACCTGCGCCGACACTACATCAAACCCCCCTGGCGGCCACCTCAGCCTGATATGGTGATCGACGATCTTGACGGCTAATCACAGCAACTCGAGCTTCGGCCGTTGGACGTCACCAGACCCTCTCTGATACAACTCCAGGGCGAGTCCCTTCCTGCCGCTTCCCACTTATCTCGTAAAGTTATCCAGCGGGGCCTCATGCTTGACCTGGTCCCAAACCTTATCAATCCCCTCCACGGCCTTGCTGCTCAAGGGCCCCCTTTCAATGCCTGTAAGTGACTGCTCCAACTGTTCCGTCGAACTGGCCCCGACAATGATAGCGTCGCCCTGCTCCTTCTTCAGCGGGGAGTGGTAGGTGACCCAGCGGTAAGCAAGCTCGGCACGGGTAACGCCCTCCTCGTTGGCAATGGCTTCCCATACTGACAGCGCGTCCAGGTATGACGGTTTCATGTACATGTCACGATACATGCCGCCGAGGGCATCAGGGGCGAAACGGCTGACGCCGTCTTTGATTTGCTGAGCGGTCTTGGTGAGAAAGCCGCCAGCCAGAGGAGAATAGGCGTAGAAAGCAATGCCGAGTTTTCTGAGCACGGGAAAGAGTTCCGTCTCTTGGCGGCGAGCCACGGGGGAATAGTTGCCCTGGTAGACGGTCGGGAGCACGTAGCCCTTCTCCTTGGCGATATCGTAGACCTTCTGGACATCCGCCGGAGAGTAGTTTGACAGACCGAAGCGCTTGAACACGCCGGTCTTGTAGACTTCGTTGACGCCAGCAAGGGTTTCCTCGAGATCGATCTTGGAGTCCGGGGAGTGGATGTAGAAGATGTCGACCTACGTCGTGGTCGGTTAGCTGAAGGCGAAGGGATCTTTCTGGATGCGAATGCGCCAGGAGGATGCTCTCGTGGATAATGCCGCATGGCGCACACCGAAACAAGCAACTCACCTGTTTGACCTTTAACTTCTCAACGCTCGACTTTGCTGTGTTGACGATGTTCTCCTTGGTGGCCCAGCCAGGCTGCCATCCTCCCAACCACTTGGTGTCGATGATAAATTTATCGCCGGCATTCAGCTCACCGAGACGTTTCTCCGACTCTCCGTACAGCTGGGCGGAGTCGAGGGTGTTCACGCCGTGCTTGAGGAGAATGTCGAAGGCCTTTTCAAGGTATTCTTTTTCAATCCATGGCTCGCGATTGCCGATTGACGCGGCACCAAATACGACCTTGATTCCTTGGGACGCCATGGTGGGTGAGACAGTGGTTTGCAGGATGGCTGACGGGTGGTTGAACAATCGAGGGAGGCTGGATCAAATGAAGTTGACCTGAAGTTCAAATCATGATATCAGTCTCTTTATGTACCGATGTGGAGGGGCACCACAGGCACCCAACCGATGACAGAATCAGACTGAAAGGGGAAGGAGAATTGTAACGAAAGTAAACTCCGGGACGTGGATGGACAAGGGAGTTAAATCAAGGGCACTTGACTCGAGCCTTCCGATGTCCAACCTGGCCATCGAGCCATCGTAGATGCCTCGGTGCATTGCCTCTATCTCTAAGCATCTGTCCTGGATTTCGCAGCCAGTTGTGAACGGTGACCTCGCGCGCTGGAGATGGACTTGTGCATCGGCTGGTGCGAGTGGCACAGTGCTGTAAGGCTGATTTGTCATCAACGCAATCACGTAACTCCTCTTTGGGTATGGGGCGCGCGTGCTCACTGGACGCCTTGAGGTATGGAACCACGGCATCTGGGTGGCTTCGAGACCTGCTGTTCCGGTAGATGGTTGCCCGTCTACTTCGGTCGGCGTGTCATCCTATTAGATTCGCTCACCGCGGGGTCCGAGGGGCAGCCGCTTCATGGAGCCTCAACCGTCTCAACGAATTCACCCGCTCCCGGCCAAATCATTCATCCGACCGTCGTGCGACCATCGACCCTCAACGATTAAGTTTGCCTGAAGGTGAAAACAGACTGTCTCTATGATTGGCCGAGCCACGTCTGCAGAGGGTGAAAAGCTTGACTGCCATGGTCGCCCAAGCTCGCTATCCCGCCTCTGGCGAAATCCAAGAGATCGATTCTCGCCATGCTCATCTGGAGCCGCTCTGTTGACAGTATTGGCATATCCAGTCGTGCGCACGTCCTCCTTTTGAATCACGGAGCTCTTGCATGTTTCGTCCGCATTCGCAGTGATTTGAAATCAGCAAGGTCCGCGATCGGGTATTGCACAGGTTTGAGCGGAGGCAGGCAAGTAAAAACCAACATCCTAGCGGAGGGTCGAAATACGATTGCGGGCTCCATGCCGTTTGTCAGAAAGACAAGTTTCAACCTCAAACCAAGATATACTGCTTGTCTTGCCACCTCCATTCGCTCAGACTCTTGGATTTGAATGTTTTCCAGCGCAAGCCTACGATGAGCGAGCACGGAAATCGTTTGTTTGGGTGAAAATCTTGGGTGTTACTGAACGCCTTGTCTCACAGGTCGATAGAAGGCGACGATCCCATCTCTCGGAGTCGAGAACATCTCAGGGCAATACTACCGTGAGTGTCTGTATTCAAACAACGCGATGCCTGAGCGGGACGCTGAAATTGATCATATATCGTTGAATTTCCGCGAATGAATTGAACAGCTGTGGTTGAGACATACCTCAGATGGAGTTGGTATCAACGGAGAAAGGAGATTCGTGACCGGTCATTGGCTGCCAAAGCCATATATAAAAGTCATGTACAAGAAGTCCACGCATGAGGCGTTCCGACCTCATCGCAGAGTGTCAAGGATGGCCTGCCCATCAATACCTGCCTCCAAATGGGGAAGGGTAAGGTCGACCGTTCGCTCCAGTCTTCGTAAGATGTGTCAGTGGTGTGGAAGTTGGAATGGCTGTAGATTGGGACGTATGGGAGGCTCCAGTATAGTAATGCGTCCCAGTCGGAGGGCGGGTCTCTGGGCGTCTATGCTCTTTGATCCATGTTCCAGACATTGTGCGTATTGGCCTAGTGCCATTATGAAGATGTAGCTCTCTTGATACGCTCCTGATTTCGCTCTCCCCCAACGGCCCGGGCATCGACGTGCTTCGTTGATGGTGGAATGTGTGTTGCAGGAAGGTCTGAAAGTTTGGCAGCTTGTGTTGGCTGAGCGAGTCACCATTGGATGGATCTTTTTGTCCTTTGGCATCATCGAGGCCTTTATCGACAGGAGTCTCGCTGGCGGAAGGGACTCTGGACAGGGAGGAAGCATCACTATTTTCGGAGATGTTGTCGTCGTCGAAATCCTCTGTCCGCTGGCCATGCCCTTTGCGCCCAACCGTCATATGGTGATAATGGAGTCGGCAAGCCAACTCTGACTTGTCCAAGCGGTGCGCAATATTCTTGTAGGATAGTTTCTGGCCTTGGGTGCGACTCTGAAATAGAAAGGATTCCTATCCCCTGTCAGCAGCGGGCCGAAACTGGCGCACGACGTTGCGCACCTCCTCATCGGTCCAACATCGAATCAGTTTGCCTTGTCGAACTTTGTCTCTTCTTGATGGCTTGGGCGACTTTTGGATGCCTCGGGATTGTGAGGCTGCTTTGACTGTGGGTAGAGGCAGGACAGGCGAAGCCATCACAGCTGGTTGTATGACCGCAAAAGGACAACGACGGGTCCTCTATACGCGAGACCAGCTTCTTCGACGAGATTGTGCTTGCATTGGAACAATATTTCAACTCGCCGTGTTGACCCAAGATATCGAAGATGGAGAGGGTACGGTCGCCTTGCTCTGGAAATCGGACATCCCAAGCCGCAATTCCTCAATAGTTATAAGGGCAATGGGAGTGTGGAATGCAACTACAGTCTGCCTCCGCGTTTCGAGAAGGCAGATTCGATGTCGGCTTTGCAGTTATGCGACCTGATAGCGACCGTGTAAGAGTGGAGTTATTGGGCTGGTCAAGGTGGGCGTTGAATTTTCGATCACTCTGGAGAGAGAAATAGCCGCCGGTACCGTTGTCAAGTGGCTTGCATATGGGGTTAAAGGGCCACCGGACCCTCTTCAGCATGCAGGTAGTGAGAAATGCAAGCATGGGTGTTGGCGATGGGGATCGTCCAGCCGAAACTTTCAGCTGACTGTCAAGCAATTCCTCGGGAAGGCTGCCGTATACCGTCTGATGGCCGGGCAGCGAACGGGAACACCCTTCTCATTGAGCACCTGATGGAAACAAGAATGCCATTTCCATGCCGAGAATGATGGAACACGGGGATGGGATCTCGATTTCCTTCAGTCTCTTACCATTCCTCGGCCATACGGCTGAAGTTGCTTTAGAATCCGCCAACTGGCAAAGTTCAGCCACCCGGCAGCAGATGGTGCCGTTGACGCACATGTAAAATGTTCCGAGATAATCCAAACTGAGCACTGGCCCATCTCAAGGACTGTGCGCCATTTCGTGCTGAGTGTCTGCCTTCAGAGTCCGGCCGGCGAATGAGAAGGAGTGCGTTGTGGTCCAACAAGCGCCAGAGCGAGCTCCGGCGGCTAATTGCCGTTGCGAGGCCATACGACAGGGCCAATTCGACCAGGGCCTGGGAATCCTATGGGCGGATAGCTGGGCCTCGAGAACGAATTTGACCAACGGCGCCCTTAGCTATCGACGTCGTGCCGAGCTTGCAGACGGTTGTGCTGGATGAGGAACAAGGACCAAGACGAGTGATCCGCTGCGGGAACACCCATCGCAGGGGATGCCGCACAGTGACCACAGTTGATTGCTCGACTGCATTAATTCTCCGCAGCACTTGTCCTGTCAGCTCCTATCGCGGTTGAGCGTGCGTGGAGCGACAAGGATGAGGAGGTGCTGTAACCCTTGGAGTGGCTTTTGTTTAGAAGCGATTGTGTGGTTGCGCCGGACTTCTAGTTCCTTAGTCCTAACGCAGCAACGGGAAGTCACTTACTGGCAGCCGAAAGTGTTTCGTTTCTCGCTGTTCCGGTGGTGGCAGCCTCCAGGAGATCAAGGATGGCATCGCCATAGTCGGAGCACACGTCGCTGTCGCAGAATGCTGATAGAAGATGGAAATGTCGGTGGAGACGCGCCTCTGAGACGTGACCAGGTCGCTTAACCGTGACGGCCTGTGCCTTCAAACTCGCCACGTTTGGGGGCGATGTCGTAGTCGAAGCCCCAGCCACTAAAGAAGCCTAGGTGCCCTAAAGGAGGCTCATCCGCCTTCCCCCGGAGGCTGTCGAATCTAGATCTCTTTCGGCCACACGCTGGGAGGCGACGCGTGGGGTCGGAAGGCTTCATTGCAGGCCGCGCTTAACTCAGATGAGCAAATCGCCGTCAACTATGAGAACGGCCGTTCATGCGACTATTGGGCCCCAGTGCGGTGTCCTGTGTATGGGAGGGGAGAAGGAGGGCGTCGAGTCCTTCTCGGAGGTCGATATCACAGCTAACCGTAGAGGCTATTGGTTGATGAGTGCGCTTTTCGATCATTAAAGTCTTGTAGGGATTATGGGGATGTCGGTTCGAGGATTGCCCAGTAAGCACCTTCATTGCAGACCAATTCAGGTCGGCACTACTGGGTACACTCGAGACGTCGCCGCCTTGGTTTGCGTGCTTCGGGCCATATCACATTCCTGCCTTCACTCTCATCCTACTTTGCTTGCTTGCTTGTAGAGGACACCCTTCGTGCAAATTTCGCCCTGCTGCGCCAATGCGGAGTATTAGGTTAGCCTTTCAGTTAAGCCTGAGGAATGCTCAATGACAGTTGTGATTAAGCCTGAGGAATGCTCAATGACAGTTGTGAGAGATGTTCCAAGCACCGTTGGGTTTATGCATTCTTGGCCAGTCATGTCGATCCATAGAGCATGGGTTATTCAACGCTCTGCCAAAATCTGAAAGATGGCAACGGACAGATAGAAAAGTTCAGTGTCGGAGTAACGTTCATGCAAGAGAATGATCGTCGAGGGTCGTAAAGGGTTCGCGCGGTTGCGCGGCGCAGGCCAAGATAATCTCCGAAGTCGCTTCCTCCTCACTCTTCATTCAGTGTCAGCTCACCACCTCATCAGGCTGCGCAGTTCATCGAGCCAAGCCAGGTATCACTTGACCAGCTGCGTGGTGTGGAAGACCTTTGACTGATGCCTGGAGTGAATAAGTCGCAGCTAAACCCATCCTCCTGAATTCACCTCACCTATCACTCAGATCTCTTCTGAACCAGAGGAAATCCAGCGGGCGCCTGTGATGTCCCTGCAGCAACGATGAATATGAACATCTTCCGCATTTTGGGCGATGTGTCACACACAGCTTCGAAGTGCATCCTCATATGGGCCATTCATTCGAACAAGAGCTCTGAAGGTAGGCGTGTCGCTGAAACTGACTTGGGACCGTGAGACTGATCAGCCACCAGGTGTCTCCTTGCTGACCCAAATCCTCTACATCGTCGTCTTCGTCACCCGATATCTCGATCTCTTTTGGGTACCTCCCACAGCGTCATGGTGGAATTTCATCCTCAAGAACTTCTATATCTGGTCGTCAATCTATATCATCATCCTGATGACCAGGGTCTTTGCACGGACGCGGGAGCGAGAAAAAGCCTGGAAATGGGGAGCCTACGCAACCGCCGCTTCAATGCTGGCTGCGCCGCTGGTGTGCCTCACCTTCAATGGCCCACGCCGGACCACACTTGTTGAAGTGCTATGGACATTCTCTATCATCCTCGAGTCTGTCTGCGTTCTCCCCCAACTGATGCTTCTCCGCCAGACCACTGTCCCGACTGTTATTGATTCTTTCTACCTCGTCACCCTTGGCTCCTATCGAGCATTCTATATCCTGAACTGGATCTACCGGGCCTTCACTTCAAGGAAACCGGATGCTATTTCGGTCATATTCGGCATCGTGCAGACTGCCTTCTACATCGATTTCGCCTGGGTGTATTGGACGAGACAACGGGTCAAGCTCAGAGGAGGTGGAGTAGTGGATGCGGACGATATGCGGAAAGGCTGGCTAGTCAACAGAGTCATGAACCCCAATGGACAAGTGCCTGAGGAGGACCCGGAAGCTGGCGGTGTTGAGCCTGATGCTGGTGGACAGCCAAAACCGCCGAAGGTCAATCGCTGGGGCGCACGAGGCATATCAATATCGGCGGACGACACGTTACAAGATCACGACAAAGGAAAGAGAGTGGCGAAGAGCGCAGTACCAGAAGCAGATCCCATGCTGGCGGATGACGCTTTTGCCGACGAGGAAGACGACGTTCCGGAACTAGACGGTCCCAGAACGAAAGTGTTGAACAGCGATGGCGAATGGCGTGATTGATTTCTTGGGATGGACACCATATAGCGATCCTCTTCTATCTGTATACATATTGGCTGCATCAGTGACTATAAGATGACTCTCTGAACCTCTTGTCAAAGCGCGCAAGCCTGGGGAGGAAGACGGGACCATACTCGAGCTGGAGTTGGGGCCACCTACAAGGCCTACAACAATGCCGCCAGGAGCCGCCGAACACCATTGGAAAGTCCATGATGAAACGAGTGATCGCCGTCCTGACCACGTCTCCGGCCCGTTCGATTCTTGCCCCGAAACTGTGTCAGGGAGTCTTGCAGACTGCATGTCCAACGTGCTGGACAGTACTCCGCGAGATGTATGTCTTGCCTATGTTCTTGCTTCACCGGGACAAGGTGCAAAGGAGAAGTTCCTCAAGCAGTCACGTCTAACGTCGGCGTACAGTACCGAAAACATAGAGACTTGAGCAGGTCGTCTGGTCTTTCAATGGGCGGCCTGCCCAGAGCAAGGTCTCGCGCCCAGCTACTCTTGCGGTATCCTACTGCTTGCATAACCCATGCTGCGAGCCTTGCTCGACACACGATTGGGTTGGAGACAACCATCATCTACACAGTCGCTTCTTGTAGGCAGAAGCCTGCGTTGCTGGACTTGACGGCTGAAGGTCCCAGGACATCCATCGATTAGCTCACCCTCCGCGACCTCCTAAGGTATAGTTTCAACCACGAAGTCAGCGATGAGAGGTCGGAAGGCGTCTTCGGTATTCTGCCATCCTGCTTGACGACTGGGATTGTGTGTTGCCCTTGTCCTGGTGGTTGGATGTTATTTTGACATGGCATTGGTGTAGACATTGACGGCACATGTGTGTCTGCGGGATAGCTGCCGTTATTACCAATACATATTGGATCGTAGAGTGTTGGGTACCATCGCAGCTCGGCGTCGTGGACATGTCCCAGGGCTGGTAACCCGGAGAGCCGGACTTAAGCCACCCGGGATTTAGCTGTCAAGCAACTCATTGACGACATCTTCGACATCTTCGACAATCTCATCACCTTAACACATCTGTTTCCTCATACTCGGCACGCCTGCCCATACTTCATTCAATCCGCACGCCACGATCTCGCACCTCGCCGATGCCATTGCTTCGTGGAGGCATAGCCCGTATTCAAGCCCCGATCCGAAGCTCAGCAGCGGCATTGGCGCGAAACAAAAGCACGATGGCCTCTCAAATTCCTGCCAAATTCGACATCAACACGACCTACCGTATGAATTCAGGCTATGAGATTCCTGTGCTCGGCTATGGTGTGTACCAGACTCCCGCGGCGCAGTGTGAAGAAGTCACGCTTCATGCATTCAAAACGGGCTACCGACATGTCGACTCTGCTCGAGCCTACCGCAATGAGCAGCCCTGTGCTGACGCAATCCGCAATTCCGGCCTGAAGCGAGAGGAGATCTTCTTCACCAGTAAAGTGCCGCCCAAGAGTATGGGCTACGAGGCGGCAAAAAAGTCCATCGAATCGTCCTTTTTCCAGACCGGTCTCGACTATATTGACCTTTACCTCATTCATTCTCCGTATGGCGGCAAAGAAGGCAGACTAGGAGCCTGGAAGGCACTTGCCGAAGCTCAGAAGGCCGGCAAAATCAGATCCATCGGCGTCTCCAACTACGGCGTTCATCATCTAGACGAGCTTGAACAATACATCAAGACGTCGGATGTGGGAGGTACTATCGACGTTGGCCAGTGGGAAGTGCACCCCTGGCTTCCGCGAGACGATATTGTCGGATGGTGCCGCCAGCGCAATGTCGTCGTCGAAGCATACTGTCCCATTGTCCGCGGCCAGCGAGCCGAAGAACCAGTTCTCAAACAGCTGGGTCAGAAGCACGGCAAGACGTGGTCGCAGATCTTGTTGAGATGGAGCCTGCAGAAGGGCTATGTTCCCTTGCCAAAGAGCGTGACTCCCTCCAGGATCGAGGAGAATGCCGCCATCTACGACTTCGAGCTCGATGACCAAGATATGAAGAGTCTCGACTTTCCCGACTCATATGCTCCGTGTGCCTGGGATCCTACTACAAGCAATGACTGAGGGCGTAACTCCAACCTCCTCTTTGGGAGCGTCCTCTTTCGTGGACTGACGCCAGAGCATACTCTCAGATGGCCCCAGCACAATATCAGTGACACACGGCTGCCGTAGCTCGGTTAGATGATTATTGGTGGTGGACACGACTTGCTTTGGGGCAGCTCTTATCATACAACTAGGCACTCACTACATCAGCGGTGCAAACCCCAAGGATCTGAATACATGTATTTCCACGAAGGGAATTCAATCTCCTTCGCTCGTTGTGGTGCATTTCAAAGCGTTTCAGACACCAGGTATTCCGGCTCCCATTCCGGACCTGGCGCCTCCGATTGTTACTGTTCGAATTTCCTGTTGTGTAAATGCCAGTGTTCGACCTTCAGGCTCAAAGCGTCATGGCATACTTCCACGCAAGACCGACTGATCCGATTCGAACCTAGGGGACCTGATGAACTCCATACTGTATTCTACAAGTCGATGCACAGAGGTCAGCAGCTTACATCCAGGATCTCAGCACTCACAGACCCTGATCAAACATTGCGACCCTACCCACAGCTATTGCCCTTGCCTGGTTGCATTTTGACTGGTAAAGACGACGAGCACAGCGCAGTACCTAATCAGTCAGCCATCAAGCTTTTCGCCATATCGGCCGGGACTCACGCCGCCGTTACGGCGAAAACCTCCTGCCTTTTGGCATTCGTCGCCGTGGAGCAAAGCAGAGCAAATGATGCGGTGAATATCACCGCCGCTGCATTACGGACGTACCCATTCGAATCACGGAGTCTGTACAGAACCATTACCGGGCCCATGACGAGTGTCACAATGATGATAGTGAACAGCACGTTGACGAACTTGTTGAATCTCCTCTTCTCGTACAGGGAAATGCTCATCCTGTCCTGCTTAAGCTTGAGCCTTTGGACTTGGGTACGAAATCTATTCTGTCAACAGCCACTCTGTCAGCTTCGCTGCGCGGCCATAACTTCCCAGGGTATGATTACCATCAAGATCGGCCCCGTGTGGTATAGCAGATATCCGACAAACCAATGGACCCAGCTGGCCTCAGTATCGGCGTTGAGGTAGACGAGGTCGTCCGCATGCAGGATATACTCCCTGTCTCGCTCCTTGATGGTGCCGTCACTCCAAATATGGTTTACGACGGCCTGCCGATGCTTGCTGGGCGCTTCCTCGAGCTGGTATATCTGCGCCGAGCGCTTGAGGAGGCTGTCTGTGAAGCATCACTCAGGACTGAGGACCAGCCGGAGCCGACCGCATGTGCACTCACCATATATCTCAAGCTGACTCTCTATGTCTTGGAACAGGGCCTTGCGGGGTGAACCCTGTCGTAAGTCATCCTCGCGCCTACTCGAAAGGTATCTTTGCATTTCTGGCGACCGAGCGTCATCACGATCCAGCCAGTCCAGTTTCGCCTCCATTTCTGCGAGGATATCTTGGTGGTATAGCAACAGACGAGTCCTGAGAAAGCCGAACCGTCGATATATCCTGAACGTGGAATCGCTATCCACGAATGCGGCGATGCGAGGCCAGCCACTCGGCCCGGTACCAACTAAAGTCCATCAGCCTGATAAGGTCCTAGCAGAAGAGTCCAGCTCTTCATACGTGCGCGGGCCATCATATGTCCGAACCACTCTTTCTGCTGGGGTTTCGGCTCTTGTGCTTCCGGGTCGGAAATTCCATGGTCATCTGGAGCAGGAGACTTGTGTCCATTCTTCCACTGGGTCATTTGATGACCGTTGAACCCAATATCTGGTCTCTCGAGAGGCATATCGATCGGGTACGGGTCGCCTGACATATGATCAAAACCAAGGGAGCAGAGGAGACATACTGGGAGCTTCGAGTCATCGAGTTGAGGGTTCAAATATCTGCATACTGTTACACTATGGGTTACACAGTAGCTGCCTTGCCGTCAGCCTTCGGGCGCAGCCAGGGTGGAAGTACGACCACTTCTAACGCCTTGCGACTGTGTAACTTTTTGGTTGACCCGGCTTGGCCGAATACCACGGCTCTACAATTCTGCACATGCCACTATCAACGTCGCCATTCTTGGTGGCCTTCCAACTCGTCTACCATGATCAGGTCTCTCCGGCCCCTGCAGTCATTCTCTCGTTCTCTACCCTCTCCATGTCCCGGTGCTAGAGCCATGAGCATCGTCGTCGTCATCCTTTCGCCTCCGATTGCCACCCTTCAAGAGGTCCAGTAATGCTTCCGCCTTCCGCTTCCACTTTCCAGGCTCCTTATTTTTTGACCCTGTTCCATCGTTCGACACACTACTCCCACCACTGCCGCTGTTTGGTGTGGCCCCCGAACGGACATCAGAATTACCGTGGTGTTTCTCCTCTGATCCATGGTCTCTGCTTTCCTGCTGCCAGTTAGTACAAGCATCGAATTACTCGCACAAAAGAGCTTACAAATCCTTGCTGCTGGCGCGAACGATCAGCATAGGAGTCCATGTTTCGTGGTCGGTCGCGAGGCGGGACGGAGGCTGTGTTGTGGGCTGCGTCCTGTTGCCCTTCCGAGAGCCCTCGTCCCTGCCACGAAATGCCTCCTCGTCGATCGATATTGTGCGCCGGGTCTTGCTGAGAACGAGAACCCGCAAGCGAGTCACCGTGTGGAGTGTACGGATCAGAAGGGGCGGGATGTCGTCTTTGCTGCTGCCCAGCTTCAGCCGTGGTCGAGTATTGCTCCTGTTCGTCTCTACGCCGACATGAGCCCTGTCCGGATGGGGGATCCTCCCGGTCGAAGCGTCTCTGATCCTGCTGATGCTGGAGGTTTGCCTGGTCTCTACCATCTCTTTGCTGCCGATTCTGCGGCGGCGTGTTCGACCTTCCCTCGTTGTATCTGGACTCCGAAGCACCCTGGAATCCCTGTGTACGTCGTGACATGCTGTTCTGATCTCACAAACCCTTCCTGGCCCCTAGAGAACTACCGCGCCGCGTCGGGAGACCAGTTCCTGTCTTGCAGGAGCGAGAGAGATTGGGCCCTTTCATTTTGAAGAACGTGTTCGTCCTGCCTGTTTGCGCGCTGGGCATAAAGGGAGAGTGTTCGTCCCATTGAAGACGACTATTCACTGCGTTTGTGGGACAATGGCAAGAAAGATGAACGACTGTGGATACTCGCGGAGAGAGGTTAAAGAGGGAGACTGGCAAGCACATGGGCGTCAAGTTCCCGCATGGAAACACCAACAGGGGGCTTTGTCGCGGACTATGATGCTCGCTACATGTACTTGCATGACTTGTGATGGGAAGACGGGGCCAATGCAGAGAATGAAAGACAACCGTCATTGTATGCTCGAAGCAGTGCACACTGCATGGCGTGCTGGTGTTTGTTCAGGGACGTTGTTCTTTGATTCTTACAACGGATGGACAATCGGGAGTTTGAGGCCCAACAACGACGATCTCTTTCAACAGGCAGATTCGTGTCTTCCCGCCCCACGTCTGTGTAAAGAGACAGGATACATGCGCTGATGGAGCAGCGTTTAGCAGATGAGGCCAAGTTCGAAGCGTATTAGTGGCTTAGTGCGGTCACAATGATCTGTTACCGGAGCAAGCGAAGTAAATGGTAGTGCTGGAAGTAGAGAGCAAGCATGCAAGCACTATAGTATCCAGTAGGTAGTATACATTCTGAATCCTTTCACCACCAAGCAAGGCTGGATTGACAGGCATCGGTCAGCGGGGCTGCACGGGGACTACTTACTCTATACGAGACAGTACTCAATACCCCGTAGTACTGTGTCATCGACCGAAGCATTTGGTTTGGCTGCTTGCAGCAGCTATACCGTCTAGGGTAAAACGTCGTCCGAAAATCAACACCCACGCTAACCACAATCCTTGACATGAGGGAGGATTCCACCCTTATGTCGAGATTTGTGGCTAGCGCGGCGCGGCCAGGGGGCGGTGAAGGGGGGGTTTGATTTTGTGGCAACGTTTTTCCCTTGACAGGTTTGGCCGACACTTGCGCACCGGACTGCCATCGAAGAGCTGCAAGGGCTCTTGCAGCCATACTCAACCTGGAGGACATGATTAATTCAGAACGGTCTGAGGCGGCGGTAGCCGATGGGTGACTACTGTATTAGCCAGTAGCCTGATGTCGAGATCCGGGAGGCCAGTCTGGGGTGGAACCACAGGTGGTGCTGGTCCGTGTCGATGCAGCAGCACTTTTGATTTGGGTTGTACACAATATACAGCCAGGCGGATGATACATTCTCGTCTCGACCGCTGTATAATAATGGCGTGCCATGCCCACAGTCATCGTCCATGTATTCCTGTTCTCATCTCCGTGTAGCGCAAGGCTGAGATATCGACCAGCAAGGCTGAACCCACGGATAAGTCTTTCATTCACTCCGCGGTCTTATCTTATCGCGAACCGAGGCACCTCCATCGCTTCCCCACACTTGACGCTCGAAGGGCGGATACATAGGGCGGGCTCACAGCTTACGGTTGACCATGTACCTGCGGAGACCCCCCGGGGCTCGTCGTCCACTCCATACAAAACCCCTATAGCCTCTTCGTCGTTTGTCCGAGGTGTTTTCTTCTTATATAGGACCTCCTCCTCCCGCACTCCAGGCCATCCGCACCCGACACAATGGCCCCCTCGACCGCTGCCACTGCTGCTGCCGACGACGCGCCCTGGAAACCCATCGCCGCACAGAAACAGCGCGACCGAGCATCGCGGATCCCCTCGAAATGGCACATTCCTGCGTCAGCCCTCCCTAAAGACCCTCCCACCCTCGCCGACGGGCCACAGAACGTGCTGCACCTCCCCCGCCAGTTCCTCACGCACGCGGAGATTGAAATCACAGAAGGATATACCGTGGAGACGCTCGTCTCGGCGATCGCGCAAAAGAGACTTACGAGCGTCGCAGTTGCCGACGCATTCTGCCACCGGGCCGCCATCGCGCAGCAGTTGACGAACTGCCTGACCGAGCCGCTGTTCAGGGAGGCGGTCGCGCGCGCGAAATTCCTCGACGACTATCTCAGCACGCACGGACAGCCGTTCGGACCCTTGCACGGCCTGCCCGTCAGCGTCAAGGACACATTTGACGTGCAGGGCGTCGACACGTCGATCGGCCTGGCGTACCTGTGCAACAAGCCCGCGCAGAGGAATGCGCCCCTCGTGGACCTCCTCCTCAGCTTGGGGTGCGTGGTCGTTGCGAAGACGAACATCCCCCAGACGCTGGCCAGCCTGGACAGCGTGAACAACATCTTCGGCCGCACCATGAACCCGATCAACCGGCTCTGCACGGCCGGCGGGTCCAGCGGCGGCGAAGGCGTGCTCGTCGCCATGAAGGGCTCCATGCTCGGCATTGGCACCGACATCGGCGGCAGCATCCGCGTGCCCGCCATGTGTAACGGCGTGTATGGCTTCAAACCGAGCAACCTCCGATTGCCGTACGGGGGCCAGGCACTCACGGGCGCCGAGGGCACGAGCCGTACGAGCGTGCAGGCCGTGGCGGGTCCCATCGCCCGCAGCGTCCGGGACGTGGACTTCTTCCTCGCGCACGTGATGCCCCTGGCCACGGCGTGGGGGGAGGACTGCATGCCGTGTACGTGGACGTTGCCGTCGCCGTCGCTATCCGAACCCCCGCAAACGGCCGTCAAGGGGAGCGGCCCGAACGGCGAGCTCGTCATCGGCATCCTGCGTAGCGACGGCAACTGTACGCTCCTCCCGCCCATCACGCGCGTGCTCAACGAAGTGGCCGTCGCGTTGGCCGGCCGCCGCGTCATCGTCAAGGAGCTGCTCACGCCGCCGGCGTGGACGAAGGCGCAGTCCGTGATGAGCAAGCTGATGGGCGTGGACGGCGCGACCGTCATGCATAAAATGATCACCGATTTCAAAGAGCCGCTCGTGCCGTGGATGGCCTCGCGCTTCCGCGCCGGCAAGGCCCAGCCCCTCGAGCGCGTCGCCGAGCTGCAGGCCCAGCGGTCGGCGCTGGAACGCGAGATGCTCGCCCTGTGGAGCGAGGTGGACGAGTTCGGTCGCCGGAGACCCGTCCTCGACGCGATCGTCTGTCCCGTGGCGCCTCACCCGGTACCGCCGATCGAGGGATACAACGCCGTGGGCATGACGAGCAGTTTCGTCCTGTTCGACTACCCGGCCGGCACGGTGCCGGTGCGCAACGTCGTGGCCGACGATTTGGAGCTCGGACGGCCCCTTGCCGCGGGCAATATCTTGAGTTCCTGGGACGTGCGGTGTCGCGAGCTGTGGGACGAGCATGTCACGGATCGGAGGGTCTACTTGGGTACGCCGCTTAGTGTGCAGGTCGTGACGCAGCGGGGCCGGGACGAGTGGTTGTGCAGAGTCATGGGCGTTGTTGATGAGGCTGTCAAGGCCGAGAATGCGGCGTCGGCGGCGGCAGCAGCAGCGGTCAAACCGCGGTTGTGAGTACGTACGTAAGTACCTTGTCGTACTGCACCGTGTGCCTGAAGACGTGAGCTTAGCGACGCCATGACTTGGTGAGGTAGATTCTCTGTAGATAAAGATGAAAAGATCGGTTAGGCTTCTGGCGATGAATGAAATATCTACAATTTATCCATTGCATTGACTGTGTCTTGTGGACCGCGCAGACAGACTGCCTAACTGCCCAAGTAGCAAGCAGGACTATTGAGCCCACCGAGTTGAATTAAGAAGTTGCTGAATACTCGCAGACCGCAAGCTGCTTCGGGACCGGTAATTATGCGGACTATGTACCCTGTATATCTAGCTCTGTATCCAGGCTATAACAGGTCCATGTCCATATACATGACATTGGCTTGAAGAGAGAGCCGCAGAAGCAAGATTGTCGCTCCTAACTTCGACGCTTATCAAGCCTGATGCAAGCTGGGTTCCCTAGCTGTCAAATGGATGGCGTCTTCAATACCACGGGACTGACTGAGGCTGTAGGTTCGAGTCGTCATCACAAAGCGCGCTGCATCCGACTTTGTTGTCCCTCCCGCCCTGCCCGACCGTGTAATTTATATTGAAGGGGCACTCTTCAGGTGTGGCAGGTCGCGCTTGTCACGAGCCGGAGTCTGCGCGATGGCAGGTCGGGCGACACCTCCACGTTCTGAGCCAATTTTGATGAGTGACGGTCTCTCTTCAAGCCATCGCCTTAGTCATATCGACCTTGTCGGTGGGAAGAAGTCACGCCTCCTCGTGCGTCGTCCTCCCGAGCAGAGTGTTCCAGCGCAGAAATACAGCAGGCTCGATCGTTCCCCACTCGTGGGAGATGTTCTGCTGCATCGTCCACTCTGTCGTCGTTTGTGCAATTGACCGTCCAATGCTGACCGAGAAGGTGCGACACCGATCGATCACCGAATCGGTCTGCCTCAGTCGATCGAATTCAAGAATGCGGAGGGCCGCGTCCATCGCGTTTGTCTCTGCGAAAGGCGCTTTGTGAGGTTGAATGGCTAGGAGAAATCGATTGGTCAATGCCCAGAAGGCTAGGAACTGAGGGTAGATGGTAGGACCTGCCGTGGCGAGAGTGGTGGTGGGGTCGTGAGGGACAGGAAAGTCATCGCGGACGAGACTTGCTTCCCATTTCTCTCGCCAGCTGGTATACCTGTCTAACAGCGCGGAAAGCTCGTCGGCGAGCTCCGCGATCCGGTCGGGTGGGTGGTGATCAAGGATGGCTTCGGTCGCTCTCTTGAACAATTCCGGGGCACAAGCAGCAGTGGCCCACATTGTGACAACGGGCTCGGATCGGTCGGGAATCTTGCTGTCATACGTTATCGTCGTCTGAAGGGCTTTCTGCCATGCTGGGTTGCTCAAGAAGCAGTCTCTGTTGAAGAAGGTTGCTTCGACGGTCTGTCATGGCGAACTGTTAGAGCGAGCTTAAGAGGAATTAAAGATGAGACTCATCTCCTTACCAGAATCTGACATTGTGCCGCGAGCAGGATTTTCTCGTAGTCTGATTTGATGTTGTTCGGACCTAGGTTCAAGAGGATATGCTTCGCGCCCTGCGAGTGGAAGATCCATGCCCGGTGACTGGATGTTTCCAGAAGCTGTATGTACCCATGGTCAGCCATGTCCGGCTCGTAACCACCCGGTCCAACCATACCTCGAACAATGCTAGTAATAACGTGGTGTACCACACGGTCCAGTCAATGCTCTCGGAAGAGTCAAGGGCGTGCTGCAGAACCTGGAGGGCGCGGCCGTAGCGCCTTTCTAATTGGGTCTGCGCAAGTGCCATGTCTGGGACTTGGATGCAACACTGGCGGACCCGCTCGGCAAGGCATTCGATTGCACAGTCCAGACACTTGCTATGGCCAATCATGTGCGGCAGGAACTGCAAGACGGATGTCAAACGACATATTTTGACCCATCGTTTGGGGTCGGAATTTACATCCTCGCTCGAGGCGTCGACGAGGAGTTTTTGGGATAAGCCCGGCTGCATTAGTAAGGATACATATTCAGGGGAGTTGCGGTTGTCTGGCCAGAGGGACAATGCCGCCCTGATAGGTGCGCGAAGGTGGTGTCTAGTGGACGGTCCTGTGGAAGACGAGGGCATCCAACGCTCGCAAGCTGAGGCCGAGGTCCTCCTTGCCGGCTGGGGTCGAACACCTATTGCTGCTTCAACTATTTCTTCTCGGTTGTCATTTCCGCGTTGGCCTGCGGCGGTAGAGGCCGGATCGGTGGTGGCTTCATTGACTAGGAAGTCTGGGAGCTGCAAGGTATTCACCCTTGGCCCTTTTCCTCTGGCTTTTCGAGTTGCTGCTGCCGCTGCGTTGGACACCTTCCGGACAATCCGACGGTCTGTTTCACTCAGGCCGCGACGTTTCGGGTCTTGGTGGATGAATTGGATCATCGTCGGGGACCTCTTTGTCAGCTAAGCAGCGTCCGGGTTGACTATGTCGTGTCAACAGTGGGAGAGGCTGCACATGGTGCGAGAGGAAGTGACGACAAGGGTGCGCAGTGCCGATTCTGGTTCACATTGACCAGGGTTCGTCTGCCCGAAAGAGGATAGTGGCGCGGGCTAGCCTCATCGAGCAGGTTATCAAGTCTACAAAAGGTCGAGTGCCTCACGGTGCATGGAGATTGAATGGCCGTCTCGATCAGGCAACATATCAAACTACACCCGCGACGTCATTACCATGTTATTCATCATTGACTATTCAGGTCAGCCAAGACACGGAATTGGCGTATATCGCAGGGAGTTGGACTGTTCGAACGGCTTTTGAGGTAGCGTCGTGGGTGGTGTAAGGTGTATATATAATGATCGATCTCAGTCTGTGAGGAGAGGTCTTCACAAGACAACATCGAAGACAGGACTTCAGACTCCATAGTAACTAACAACCGCATCAGCACTTTCCATCCAGTCCGCACTTTCCACCCTCTCTAGAATGGCCTTGAACGCTCAAGCTCTGATTGATCGCCACACGTAAATCAATGCCAGGCCCCTTGGAAGCTGTTGCTGATATACGCAGGGCAAGCGTCAAAGATCATCAGCCCATCCCTACCTTCGAGGAGATTGTCCAGTCAGGACACGATCTCCCCAATATCCTGATCAGTGAGTCAAGCATTGTCGAGTGATGTTGCTGCTGCGACTTTTTGTCCTGACATCCGTGGCAGTCACTTGCGCCGATCCCCGATGCATTCCTGAGCACATCTTCAAGCTGCAGACCGGTGGTAGGTAGGCCAATATATGAGAGAATGACATTAGTTGACGACCAGTGAAGAAGCGGTTGTGTTGCGGGTTGCTGGTGGAAATGCCCAATACGTGCTCAACCATCTGCTGTCAATCGATAGTCTCGTCCATTTCAAAGAAGCCATTATCGTCCAGCACACAGGTGAGCGGTTGCAGCCGACAAATCCGCTGTGATGGCTGATCAAGCACAGATTGCGGAGCAACACATTTCAGAGACGCGGTGGTCAAAGAGGAGCTGAGGAAGCGGGCGCCAAATGCAGGAGCAGAAATCGACAAGATGACATTTGGTGAGATCACTGGGTAAGTTTGAACCTGTATGCTTCAGTTGCGTCACTAAGGTGGTCAAATCAGATCTCTCGCCGACAATGTCAAGAAGAGCATCGCGTTCTTGAAGGAATCTTCTTTGGTCCCAGAGCAGCTGAAATCCAACATTCGGGGATTCGTGTTTGATTTGAAGACTGGTGAGCTCCAGGAGGTCAATTAGCAAGTCGTAGGCGGGTCCGCTAGCTATGCATTGAATGTATGCTGCAGGTAGTATGGAGTATCGAGTAAAGCACCAAGAGTGCCTTGTCCATGTTCAAACGAATCTTGGTGTTCGGAGGAGGTGGGAGTAGCAAGCGAATCGTGGTTTGAGATGAAGCTGTTATGTGGGCTGAGTGGGTCAGTCTTGGCATGATGTTTGCGCTGTTTGCACCATGTGCACCGTTTGCCGCATACGGAGGAGCACTGCTTCCCTGCAGTGACGGGCCTGACCACTCGTGCCACTCACTGTCTGCGCGGCTCGCTGCGACTTTGTTTGCAAATTCACTTCAACTTCACCCACCCTGGTCATATTGTCTTGCATATTTCACTTTCATCTTTCTTTTGGAGTTTAGGGAGGGTGAAGATGTCTTTGCCTGTTTCACACTTTCTTTTCCTCTTCTTGCCCAACTAATTCGTCCTGGTCGTCTATCGAAGACTCCGTCCTTGGCTGCCTACCCCATTCCTCTCAGCCACCATCTTACGAAATCGTACCGTCGAGATATAGAAACACGATCCTTGGTCCCTACGCTTTCGATTGCCCATCATGGCCGACTCCGAAGCGCCCAAGAAGAATGCAAAGTACGGCATGACTGGTCCGATGTCCTTGGCTCTCCCCGAACCCGTCGACAACCAGAAGACTTCTGAACTAGTGGAGGAGTTGAAGAAGGAAAAGAATTATGAGAACGAAATGGGGACGAAGAAGCGGATAGCAACACTCAAAGTGCTGAGCAAAGCCACTCAGGAATTTGTCAGAGAGGTCAGTCGCAAGCAGGGACTGCCTCCGTCACAAATCAACCAGTTCGGAGGCAAAGTCTATCCCTACGGCAGCTATCGCCTCGGAGTCTTCGGTCCTGGGTCAGATATCGATACTCTCGCTGTCGCCCCTCGGCACGTTAAGCGCGAGGATTTCTTCGACTACTTCCCAGATGTTCTCAGACGAGTGATCGAGCAAGAGATAGCCAGGGAAACAAGAGAGAAGGAGAAACCCGAGGATAGAGAATTGACCGCTGGAGTTACCTCGCTGGTTCCAGTCCCCGATACCTTTGTTCCCATTATCAAACTCATCCTGAACGGCATCGAGATTGATCTGATCTTTGCGTCAATCACCACTCTGCAGACGATTCCGCCGAAGCTTAACCTGAATGACAACAGCCTCTTGATGGGTCTTGACCAGTCATCCATCCGTGCAATCACCGGCCCAGTAAGTCCTCATTACTCTATGCCTGTTCTGGCAACATACTGACTCGACGGATGCAGCGTGTCACGGACGAACTCCTTGCTCTGATCCCTGAACCGAAGACTTTCCGGATGGCACTGCGCGCGATCAAACTGTGGGCCAAGCGAAGAGCTGTCTATGCGAATATTGTTGGCTATCCCGGAGGCATCGCGTGGGCCCTGATGGTCGCAAGAGTCTGCCAATTCTACCCGCATGCAGTGGGTGCCACACTTGTCGACAGATTCTTCTACATTATGACCGAATGGGGGTGGCCGACTCCAGTGATGTTGAAGGACATCGAGCAGCCAAAGCCTGAGCAAGCTGCGCAGGGCTTTAAAGTGTGGAATCCTGCCATTTACAAGCAAGACAAGGCGAATCTCATGCCCATCATCACCCCGGCATTCCCCAGCATGTGTTCGACATTCAACATTACCGAGTCGACCAAGAAAGTCATCATCCATGAGATCAGACGGGCTAGTAAAATCACCCGCAACATCTTTGCAGGCAAGGCACAGTGGAGTGACTTGTTCAAGCAGCATACTTTCTTCACGGCCGACCACAAGTACTATCTGACCGTGATTGCGAGCGCGTTCAATGCCGATGCTGCCAAGAAGTGGTCTGGTCTTGTTGAATCCAAGGTTCGTCACCTGGTCATGAGGTTGGAAGACATGAAAGACAGCATTGTTCTTGCTCGCCCTTTCACCAAAGGATTCAAACGTCTCCACAAGTGCAGGAACGAAGAACAAATTCGTGAGGTTCAAAAGGGAAGCCTGAAGTACAAGACAGAGGAGACCAAGGCTGTCGAGACAACGGATCCCCAGTTGGTGACGACGAATGGAAGCGCTACCCCACTGCCTCTACCGAACGGCGAGGACGGGGATATGGGCGTTGATACGCACACGGTGTATACTTACACCTACTATATCGGCATTGACACCCAAGCAAAAGGTAGCCTAAACCTTGTGCCTGCCTTCCAAGCGTTCAAATCCATCTGTTCAGCATGGAACAACTACAATCCCGAAGTCCATTTCCTGAATCTAGCTGTGTCAAAGAGGTAAGGTCCTATTGACCAGTGCAATTTTACATATCGCTGACCGTTACAGTTGGGAGTTACCCGAAGACCTCTTTGATGCCAAGGCTGGGGAAACTCGACCGAGCAAGCCGGTCAAGAAGGTGGTTAAGACTGGCAATACAGAGAGCAAGCCGGTAAGACGTAGCATCAACGATGTCGAGGTAACCTTGTCTCATCCCTTGATATGAGCTTCTCGCTGACCTCCTACCGCAGGGCGCTCAACCGGATGGCGAAGCTGCCACGAAACGACCCCGACTAATGACACCAACCGCCACACCCACACCAGCTGCTACACCAGCCTGACGTTATCGTGGGCTGACCCGTAGAACTACCCCTCTGGCGGCCAACCTCGGTATTATTCGAGGTTCAGCTGCGCCGTTGCGGTGATCCCTCCTCCGCTATCGCGCTCTTGCATGCACATTCTTGAAGGAGAAAATGCGCTCAAGCACCAAAAAAAGGGGAAAACGCCAAAAATGCCAAAAAGAAATGAAAGCAACCACAGCTTCGCTGTGAGATTGAACAAAACGAGGTAACAGACCTGATGAGAAGACTAACCAAGCACAGCACAGCACGACTAGCATCAGAGCACCCGTGTTCCCCTGCAGCAATGGAAGTCGCAGGCAGGGCTGAGATGAACGGTGGTTGGAAATTGATATAGGCATCATGGATTTGCTTTGCATGTCTTTTGAAGGTCACAGACCGGAGCCGCGTCCTGGGGAGGAGTCTAGGGCAGACGGAAGGACGAAGACGAAAGGGTGTGGAAGATGTGTCTGCGGCAAGCTGCTAGGCATCATGGCCATGCAGCACAGTCCGAGAATTGCCGATTTTGTACATATTTTACCAGGTGGGGCGTGGTGCATCAACATCATAGAGCCAGACAGCAACGAAAAGAAATACAGATACGATTTAGGGTCTCAGGACCTCGCCAAAACAACATCGTATCTTGCATTTGGCGTCTGGCATTTGGCGTCTGGCCACAGGCTGTTGAGGCTGAATTGCAGTGGAGGGTGAAGTGGAGCGACGTTGAGGTCAAATTGAGGTCCGAGTGAGTTCCAGTTGAGGCCAAGATGACCATCTTTTCAGGCAGCCCGTAGCCCGATTTCCACCACAGCTGACTTGACCCCTGTGCTTTCCCCCCTAAGGCCGCCAATCAGCCTCTGCTGCGTCTTCCTTGTCAACAAATGGTGCATCTTGCGCATTGGCAAGTGCTCCTGATTCGGACGCCGTGTGCGCAACCTTCGGCTCTGGTTGGCGAGCCGTTGACCGCGCATCAGGCTTTCGGTTCTGGCCCGGATCGAAAGGCAACCTAAATCATCGATTGTGGGAAAGCCAAGGGCAAATGCTGCGAGACTGGTCACTGCAATACGGTGCACCGAGTGTCAGCTGAAGATCGTGGTGGTCGTGTTTCAGCTCCACCACATTTCCATGACAGCTCTGACACAAAGGAGGGCACAAAGAACGGGCCTCGAAATTCGGTGAAGAGACGGTGTGCATGTTTGTGCTACCAGCCTCTTGGGAGCTGTAAGACGGTCATGCTTGTGTGGCAGCTGGCCCAACCTGGTGATAAATCTGCCTTCAAGACCATATTAGCCACGACTTCCCACGCATTACTCTCCAGGAGATTTTACGGCAACATCGACTCTCCAGGTATTCGGCAGTGTTCCTTTCAACTCTGGTAGGGGCTGGACACCATGGCACCTCCAGGACCGCGGAAGCGCATCGTCGTGTGCTGTGACGGAACGTGGCTTAACTCGGATGGTGACTATCAGACACCCAGCAATGTGACTCGAGTGGCTCGAGCAATTCCCCCCATCGGCGTCGACAAATCCGTCACTCCTCACCAGCCGATACCACAGATCATATTTTATCAGAATGGAATCGGTACAGGCTCCCCATCTTTGTACGACCGGGTCATCGGCGGTGCCACTGGCGAAGGTCTTGCGGAGCACATTCGTGAAGCGTACAGCTTTATCTGCCTCAACTACAACCATGGGGACGAGATCTTCCTGCTCGGCTTCTCGCGGGGCGCATTTACCGCCCGTTCAATCTCAAGCTTGATCAATGCCGCTGGTCTCCTCACCGCGCTCGGCCTGGAATACTTCGTCCAGGTGTTCGAAGACTGGGAGTACCAGCAGAAGAAAGACTTCAAGACCAAGTGGCCGGACTTGCCGTTCAGAGGCCACAAACCGCCCGTCGACCCTCACTATCAGCAGAAGCTCATCGACAAAGGACTGACGAGAAGGAACATCAAGGTCAAATGTGTGGCTGTATGGGATACCGTGGGTGGACTGGGAATTCCCATGATCGGACTGCTGCCACAACCGCCCAGCCGAGATTTCGCCTTTGTCGACACGCGTGTCGAGTCGAATATTGAGTATGCCTTCCAAGCGTTGGCGCTGGATGAACACCGACGGTCCTTTTCACCCACGATCTGGGACTGGCCGCACGTGGAACCACACGATCTGAAGGAACTGAAGCAATGCTGGTTTCCGGGTGTCCACAGCGATGTCGGTGGGAGTTACGACGACACGGCCCTCGCAAACCTCACTCTCGCCTGGATGGTCAGCAATCTTGATCCAATTCTTACCATTGACCACGACTACATTATGGACTGGATCAAGCCAATTCAAAAGGACGACCTGAGGCTCGTAGGCCGTCATCAGACATTTACGAAGAGCGGCGGTATGGCCACCGTCCAGAACACGGTGCCTCAGCCTCGGCCTTGGGGCCTCGGGAAGATCCACAATAGTATGTCCTTCTTCTTCAGGCTAGGCGGCTCTCGCACCCGCACGCCGGGCGAATACCGCGAACAAGAACTGGCCTCCCAGCATGGCGTACTCTTCTGGATGCTTTGGAAGATCTTTCATCGCGTCCTCAGGCCGTTTGAAGATACACATCATGCACTTCCACGACTCAGCCGTACCTGTGAAACCATCCACAGCAGTGTTCGCATCCGCATGGGCAAGGACGGCCGAGGTTACGACGACAAAGGCAAGTATGACTCCGAAGCATTGGAAGGCTGGGTCATGCACGGCGTGGAGACAAACCCGGACACACCCATTGCGAAGAATGCTCCGGGTCCGGTCGGGCAGATGAAGAACGTTGTCTGGAAGAAGAATGTCTACAAGGAAAAACTCGTCGAAGAGCCCTCGCCCAACGGCGAGAAGAAGGGGAAGGTTGAGATTTTTCAGAAGGAGGGGAAAACAGACGTGGTTGAGCTTCCAGAAGAGCCCCTCGGTGCATTTGAGCGAAGAATACTGCAAATGTGGCCGGATATCATGAAGGACTTTGACACGATCGGACCTGGAAAGCACCAACAGAGCGTGGATCGCGCGCATACCGTGCCGTTGCACGGCCACGCAGGAGGTGTCAGCAACGGTGTGGCGCCGGTGGTGGTGGATGACCCCCTAAGGTCGCAGAGTGGTAAGAGGAGGAGTGGGACTGCTTAGGAACCAGTCTCGCCAAAACCCAAGCTCAAAAGGAAGAGAAGCGTGCTGTTTGAGTGTAAGAATGGGTATTTCCATTTCGGACTTGGTGTCATCAGCGAAGAAGGTCGGGATGAAGAGAATAGGGCACTCTGAAGAGCTGCGGTCTTGAGGTGTCAACGAGGGCTTTGTTGATCCAATCCGGACTGTCTCTAGATGCCTTTCTGAGAGTTATCAGTGCATCGATATTGTGTTGTCGGTTATTTAGCAAGCAAGGCACAAGGCTATGACAGTATCAGCATGCCGGTTAATATAATGAGGTGTTATCCTTACCTGCTGCTCTCAGTACTCTCCCATGGGCGAGAGTAATCCGATGACCGACAAGAGATTCAACAGAAGGTACGATTCGAGGATATAGACCAAGGTGGACCTGTCCTTTAGAGCGGTCACGGACAGGAGTTGAAAGGGATCCTCGTTGCATTGGTACAAGCAGTGTATCACGTGACGTCCTTCACGCATTGCAAGGGCTCAGTCGTCAATATGCCACCCAATTATTAATATCGCAAGGCAGTCATGGGCGGTTCCGAAACGTCCGGAACATGATCCCTGTACTCCGTCCTCCGGCCAATGCTTTCCGCACCTGATGGCGCAGCCTCGTCATGACCCCATGGGGTCTCCAGACCAGCGGGGCAAGCGGTCACTGTGCCTCCATCCCTCTCCCCGCCGTGTTCTCGATGCTTTCGTGCTCCGTTATCGAGTCCTCTATTATTAAGCTGGAAGACACTGCTTGAAGTGTGATCACGAAGTGCGGAAAAAGCAGTTCCTGGAGCTGTTCATTAAAAATGGGTCGTACTCACAACCCACGTTCCCTGATTGCAGAGCCGACCACCATTCCACACCGTTGACCCTCTTGGGCTTTTTTCTCTTCACAATTACCGAAACCATGTTTGGGTCGGCACTCTCTGAAAATAGCCCTGCAAGGTTCATGCAGACCCTCTGGTCAATCCCATTTGCTTGGAAACTGACGTTGCCGATATTGTCGGTTGCCTGCTATGTATGTTCTCGCCACGACGGGTTCCGAGCCTGTTGGACTGTGGCTTTGCTAACGGGCGTTGGGTCAAGACTTTGGCACTGATTGTGTACCGACTTTATTTCCACCCGCTGGCCAAATACCCGGGACCCTTGCTGGCCAGAATCAGCAACTGGTATGCCGTGTACCATGCATACAAAGGAGACAGACATTTGGACATGTACTATTCACATCAGAAATATGGTGAGCGGGCCAGGGAGCTTTCAGCCGAGACCTTCTGATCAAGTTGAACCTTTTGCCAGGCAAATTTGTACGGCTCGCTCCGAACTTAGTCACCGTCAATGATGCAGCCGCCATCAAGGGTACGTGCGTCCGGGGTGGAGCCTCTCAGTTTCATTTTCACGCTCACGAGGGCCGGACGGACTGACCAGTGTCATAGAAATCTACGGGGTCAATCAGAACGTCAAAAAGTCCGTCTTCTACCAACCGGCCATTGAGCATTCGGGGATAGAAAGCACATTCAATGCTCGTGATCGACAGCTCCATGCCAGAAAAAGACGTGTTTTGGCCCCGGCTTTCACTGAACCCGCTCTGGCAGCCATGGAGGACTACATGCAATTCCACATTGGCCGGATGTTCCACGCAGCTTCGGGAGAAGAAACGTTCCAGAGCGAGGCGCAATGTTGGACGGCCGACATGGGTAAATGGGGCAACTATTTGACCTTCGACGTCATGGCAGATCTCGTATTTGGTAAAGATTTTGGTATGCTTGCTGGCGATGAAAGTAGGGAGCTCCCGGAGATCATCGACGGGGCCGTGCACCGTGAACTGATTGTATGGAAGCACCGTATCCCCTCCCCCCCTCCGGAGCCAGATTTTACAACGAGGCTTCAGACTAACTCGCACCGCCCGCCATAGGCCGGCTCAAGCCCCTTCGTCAATAGATGGGGGCTGGACAAGATCCTCTTTCCCGACATCGTCAAACGAGGTTCCCAACTGATCAAGTACGCCAAGCAACAGGCCGAAATCCGGCTCAAGGCCGATCAAAGCAGAAAAGACTTCTTTTGGTATCTGAGCACGGCCAAAGAGAAGGATGGCCGTCCAACTTATTCCGATCCGCGAGAGATCTTCTCCGAGGCTAGGACATTGATCATTGGAGGTAACGACATGCCCAGTAGCCTCCTGAGACGTGCTGACTGCCTCTCTCTCCGCTGGGAGGGGGTGAAAACAGGTTCGGATACCACGGCCACCCAGCTTGCGGCGAATTTTTTCTACATCACCCAAAATCCCAAGACGCTGGCGAAGCTGACCGCCGAGGTGCGATCCACCTTCCCCAATGTCGACGCCATCCGACTCGGACCGCTACTGGACTCGTGTCGATACCTACACGCCGTGGTCAACGAGACTCTTCGCATCAGCCCCAGCCTTCCTGGAGTCCTGCCGCGCGAAGTCCTCCCGGGCGGCCTCCGCGTCTGCGGCGAACATTTTCCTCCAGGTATTGACTTAGCCGTCCCCATCTACACTCTCCATCACAACGCCACGATCTATCCTTGCCCTCACAAACATATCCCCGAGCGCTGGTTGCCCGATCAGACGAGCGAGGACGCCGTCAGGCGATGCCATGACGCTCTGACACCATTCTCCTACGGAAGCAGAATGTGCATTGGATGGCGGCTGGCGCTGATGGAGCTGCGACTCACCATTGCCCGTGCCGTGTGGATGTTCGAGCTGAAGTACCTGGGAGGCGGAAGGGAAACCCGTTTGCGCAGCCCGGATTCGGACGCACTCGAATACCAGCTCTTGGATCACATGGCAGCAGCACGAAATGGACCCATCATCCGCTTCAGGAAGAGAGAGGCGTCGTAGCACGGGAACAGAACAGAACAAGCTGGATGCAGCTCCCTGCCGGATGACCATAAGTGGCGCTGAGATGAATTTGCGCGCCTCGTTCGGGGCTTTGAGAGAGCCGAGACGGTGATTTCGGTCGAAATAACAACGATGTAGAGCATGCCGGGAAACGCCACTGGTCCAAGGCAGAATCCGTAGAGTCCTGTGGACAAATAGTTATGAGGGCTGGCTGGCCCAGAAGCGACAATCGAAGCCAGCGTGAGTCCATGGCAGTCCGAAGTGACAGTCGAAGCCAGCGTCAGCCGATGCCAGTCGGGGGAAATAATCTCTCAAAAATAACGTATCTCCGCACAAAGAGAGTAGTAACATCCTCGCATAAAGAGAGTAGTAACATCCTTATATAAAAGGAGTAGTGATATCCTTATATAAGGAGAGTAGTAACATCCTCGCACAAGGAGAGCGGTGCCATCTTCGCACGAAAAGAGTGGTGACATGACATCCTCGCCAAATTCCGATCAACTCCCACTTTGCTGAGTCCAGTATATGCGCGCCGTAGCGGTGTCCGCTGTCTTTAATCAACGGCGCCGGTCAATCTCACTCCCTGGTACTATCACCGTGGCGAATGACGAAGAAGCGACCCGACCGCATGAGGGTCTTGCACTGAGAGCCATGAGGCGGCGACTGAAACCCCCCAACTGAGGCGCAACCTAAGAGATTCAACACCTCGCCAGGTTCAAGCTGGAGGGGTGCGGCTACACTAATCCTTCAGATTTATTGCGAACCTTCGGCACATGACCACATTAATAACGCCATCAGTCAGACATATGGATTGGACAACTCAGTCGACAGGCACACTCGCGGCCCATGCCCTGTCAAACAAGCAATTACTACGTTGGCCCCTTGGTGGAGGTGAGTTCTCAAGTCCATTCTGACGCGGGCCTGACGCGGGCAGCATGGAATGAATAAACGCCAGAAAGGAGGACCGCCTCGGGAGGACCACCTCGGGCTTGGAGACAGCCATTCATCTCTGCGATTGTCTTTGGGGTCGGTGTTTCTAAAGGTCACAGGCCCGAGAGAGTCCCACTGGTGCATGCTACCAGTATGCCAACAGATAGACACTTGAAATGAAACGCTATGAACAGATGCGACTTCAAGAGGAGTAACCAACAGAGAGACACTTGAATGAAACCCTATGAACAGATGTGCCTTCAAGAAGAGTCATAGCACCGCTGGTGCCACGAGCACGGATACTAAGATACTAGTTGGCGATGGCCGATGGATAGATCCATCGTGCCCCCAGTTCGAGTCTTTGCCTCGTCAGCCTGGCGCAAGAGATGCATCCAGAGAGGCATATACAGGGTAACCCCTTTCCACTGAACGTTCCTCAATCAAGGGAATAGTCGAAGTGAGCTATTATCTGACAGAAACTCAAACTCTGACAGGAGCAAGTCTCCGGCCCAGTCCCAGGCAGCGTGATCTTCGACAGGACGAGAGAGTCTCAGTCCTCCAGTGTTGGTGTCAGTCTGGCCAACGCTCATGCTATTTGCTTGCTCCACCGTTAAAGAGAAGTTGTCAGTACCTGCCTGGTCGGCTGGCTCACTTGCTGCAACTTGTCCTTGGAGTTCTGGGCCTGCATTTCCACCGGACGCGCTGTGTGATGTCGGCGCCGTAGTAAACAAATAATTGCTCAAATTCAGCTGAGCTGCCACTCCTCGCATGCGTTCCCAGAGATATTTGGAGTGATGCGTGGTCTCGGCCAGAGTACGAAGGAGGTGCAGCGAAACCAAGGAGCTCTGACGGGCTTTGAGACGAATTTCTTCCGTCATGAGGATCTCCTTTCCATTGGCAGAGGGATTTCCGCGTTTCGAAGAACCGACTGTGGTCGCGAAAAGCAGGACATCCAAAGCCGAGATGAGGAAATGGTTGAATATGGCCTGGTTGAAGCGGTATTCCTTTGTAGAATTATCCAACCCTGCCACTATTTGCACTGTGTCTGTGGCCACGTCCACAGAGGTGGCCCAAATATCTGCGGGCGCTGCGTCGCGGAGAGTTGTGCAGAGAAAGGCCCGGGAAATCAGGGTTCGAAGATGGTTCGCTCGCAAGGAGAGGGTTGTGCGCACCAAATTGAGAGCTGCTTTCCCCTTCTCATTGACTTTGGTGCGTTCCAAGTCGCTATAGGTGTATTGGGTCCATCGTTCAAGTTGGTATTGGAAAAATGCATACTTTTCTTGCCAATTATGCAAAAGTTGAGGTCTGGTGTCTCTACTGTCACAGAAGAGATCATCCGTGGCTTGCTTTCCGATCCGTGCGTAGTCGACCATGGCTGTCAAGAAGACTGCCCCGAGCTGATACACGCCATCAGTTAGCCACTTCCAGCGACCGGAAAGGCAGGGCTGCCAAGGTCGGGACCTACAGGCCGGGGAAATGTTTGCTCGAGATGGAGCTCTTGAGCAGCGTTTGCTACTCCCAGCCCGTAGCTGAGCTGGCGTTCAAGAACGTAAACTGTCCAGATGGTGTTGATGGCCCAGGAACGAGTTGATGCATCGGGGAAGGAGCGAACGAGCACAATCTCTCGATTCAACCCGAGCTCTAGAATGATTCGTGTGACGTTTCCTAGGAAGCGCCATCCGCGGCGCCAAAGTCCACGACGTAGATAGAAAATGCTCTGGCAGACACCAGTCAGTCTTCTCAAGGGTTGGATCTCTGTAGAAGGGGCCATCACCATCAATGTCATCGATACCAAATCTTTCAGGTCCACAGCATCGCTCCATAGCATCGATTCCACCTCTGAATGGACGCTTTGGAAAAGCCTCAGTGCCATCGTATTGTGCATATCGCCCTCTGTAAGCAGCCCTGTCGCTAAAACCAGCTTTAGAATGGTCAGCTCACTCTGGCATAATTCAAAGGTCTGGAACTCGGGTGGCCTTTGATTTGAGTAACGCGCCCGGGCGTCCGTGAAGCATTCCGCTATTCGCATAACATCGGCCGTATCGACAATGGGATACATGAGCCCTTCCAAAATCCCATACGATTCTATGGTTTGCATAATCTTGTTGTCGTCCAGCTCTTCCAGCGGGTAGATCAAGCTCGAAGGGGAGTGTATCTGAGGCAAGTTCATGTGTGACGCTGACTTTGGAGTATCAGAGGCATCGCTCGCGGTCATATCGCTCCATCCCCCGTCGATGATCTCTCCCTGGATGATCCAGAAGGGCGACGGCGCCGATGTGGGCATTGAGGCAAGTTGTGACGTTGGCTTGTAGGAGCCGTCGAACTGTTGTGCCCCAGAATCAATCACATTTATGCAAAACAGCGAGCTCGTTTGGCTGTGTAGCAATGGCAATGCCCGTTTATGAGTTCTTTCAGAACCGTGTTCCCTTTCACTCGGTGGGCCAGATAGCCTTTGAGCGCCGGTCAGCATTACCATTTGTCCTGTCAAAAGGTCTAGCCTCTGGCCCTGCTGCTCAAGGAGCGCTAACAGCGATGTATGAAAGGAGTCTGCATTGGCCTTGTTGAAGTCAGTTCTTGCTGTGCGGTTGAGAGCTTCGAGGCTGGGTAGGAGTCGTTCCCTGTCCTCTGGCTGCCGCTCTTCCACCAAGAAGGTCGGCAAATACTGTGCACTGTAGTGACACGTCGACGGGTCACGCGCCGCGCAGGCTGTACACGGAAGGCGGCCATCACAACGAACTTTGGCAGCTCTGCATCGATTGCAGGCGTGCGTGGTGTAAGGGTCTCTCTTTCGACGGCCAGTGGAATGTTGTGTCCCCTTTTTTGCAATCCTGCCACCAGTCTTTGCGTTGATGGTAGGCTGAGATTCCGATGGACCAGGCATGGTTTCAACTGTTCACACTGTACACCAACAAAGTGATGCTCACACTTGCCATCGACCCAAGACGACCGGAGAGAGTTGATTTGTCAGTAGGAAGGCGATTTCCTACCGTGGAAGAGGGGGACGTGCCAAGCGTCCAAGTCTGGGGAAGGAGGAGTGCGGACTTGCTCCGTGCCTGGGGCATATCAGCCTGGGGGAAGGCTGGCAGTCTGAGGCCGGATCCTATTCGCTATTCTGTTCTGAGAGTAGCTCAAGTCTCGCTATTACGCGCGAGTGGCTGGCGCCGCTGTGTGGTGCGGCAGCATATCAACAGAGGATGTCGCGAGCTGAGCAACTGTGTACAACTGTGTAGACTAGATGAGACTGATCTCCTGCCTTTAAAGGCACAAAATCTTCCTCATCACGCTGAGCAACGTCGCCGGGCAGTCCTCGGCCAGACTCCTGCTTCTCCACGCCACGAAATTGTCGGGACGAACCAAGACACAGCCGTCTTCGTTGACTTCACGGCGATGATACCAGTCATTATAGACGGCTTCATACTCCAGACCAAAGCCGACCGCAAATACCGCCACCTCTACGCCTAGGTCTTCTTTGACTTTGGCAGCAGCGTCCAGCCACATGTCTCCTCCATGGCCAGTAAAGAGAGTGAATCGGCCTTTGCCGCTCAGATCTAATGTGGACAACGGCTTCTGTGGAATGCTCGTGTTCAGCCAGGCATGTGGTAGTCTTAACCCTGGGTATGTATGGGGCTCGTAATATAAGACGGGATCTGCAGGTGGCTTCGGAGGCTCTCCTGCGTCGTCGAGAAAGATCGCCGACGAGTCATATCGCTGTCCCATATCGGATCCTTGCGCCAGGAACTCGTGACACGTATAATCAATCGAGTCGATGAGTTGCTGACGGCGAACTCGACCACGCTCGGATACTTCATCCAGGATGGCCAATTGTTGCTTCCGTTCCTGCAAAGAGGGGCTGAGAAAGCCAAGAGCTTCAAAGATAGGTATATGTTCTCTCAGAGAAGAATTTGCCCTGAAATTCGGAGCCGTCAGCCGCAAACGTCTCTATATTGCCGAAGGATGCGAGGACTCTACCGGCGAACCACTCCAGCTCCTACTGGTGCCCGCTCGGCAGTATAGCTGTCCAGCAGGGATCTCCCCGCAAGTCCTACCTCTCGTTAATGAGTTGATCTCACTTCAAGGCACCCCGAACCCCATAAGCAACTCTCTGGGAAATCAAACCTACCCTTCTCGACCAGGGCCACTTTCCATGCGAGGTTGGCAGCATCTTGGATGCAGGTGTTCGATCCGAGCCCATTCATTGGGGGGTGTCTATGTACCGCGTCACCCAGGCAAAATCTGGTCCTATTCAGTAATGTTCTGCAGGTTGACGGAGGGAGTGACTCTTACACCTGGCCTTTACTGTAGCACTCTGCTACAGTCTCGTTGATGATCCACTTGTCTATGCGGAGGATGTCGACTGTTGTTGACCCGTCACCTATTACGGCCTTGACCTGATCCTCAACCTGCTTTTTCTCAGGCATGAAATCGGCCGGACATGTTGGCTTGTACATCATTATCACTAGCCATTCGTACCACGGCTTTACCATTCTCATGATTGACCACGCGGCAAAGTCCTGCTGCTCCGCATCCGGTTGGATGATGTAGTGAAGATTCCCAGTTCGCGACTTCATTATGTCCGATAGATCAGCTCGAATCAAAACATTCAGCGCAATCCCTTGGCTCGGTTTGATAGACATTGGTAATCCAAGCTGTTTGACGACGATGCTTTTGGCACCATCTGCTCCGTAAAGATACTTGCATCTGACTTTCTGAGTCGTGCCGTAGATCCGATCTTCGATTTCTGCAAGGACGGAGTCTGGTGCAGAAGTGTCAAATCGGGTCAGTCGAGTGCTAAAGCGACAAGGGAATCCATGTTGAGTGGCATATCTGAGCAGGATGGGCTCCATAAGGGTTTGAGGGAACTCCAGGTGCGTGCAAGGGCTGTGCTGTTCGAAATCGCCCTGCGTGAAGCAAGGTCCCCGTCAATGAACTACACATGACATGTACCGTTGGAAAAGTAAGATACGCACCCTTCGCTTGGGACCACTGCCCCATGAATGAACCCGACCAAATTCTCTCCCTTTCATCGTGCTGCACCAACGCGTAAGCCCCTTCTCAGGGCCGGCGTACCCCAGCTTCAGGAACTCATTTTCGATGTCCATATCCAAGTCGCGAATGCATTCTTAGGAAATTCCCAAAGACCACGATTTTAGATAATGGAATCTCGGAGGAGACAGGTTGCCAACTTACCCAAGGTAGGCTGATTGATGATATGAGCTCGAGGTGTATTCGCAGACGACGGGGCGGAGCTTATGATCAATCCGGTCAATCCTATCGTCCAAAACACGCTGCCGGTTAGATGATCGGGAATGTGAATATAGGACCCAGTTCAGCCGTGTCGTTGAAACACTCACCATGTTTCCCCAGAAAACAAGCCAGAGACGCTCCAGCAGGACCTGCTCCAACAATCAAGTGGTCAACCTCCAAGGTATCGGTGCTCATTACGTGATGTTGACGCGTTGCTATGTCTGTCATAATCTCTCGGTATATTGGCAACTGCGAACGTATGCACAAGTCCTGAGGATGACAATGGGGCTTCAAAGCAATGAATCAATCTTCGAGAAGTCATCAACAGGTGAACATGGGGGAATTTGACAGAATCCAATATGTGGGCAGTGCCGCTGGGCAGCCTCAGACCACTCTGTTTCCTCGATGTCTCGACGCTGACGAGCTCCGGTCCGCGCGGGAAACCCCCCAAGTTCGTCCACTTGTTGGCAATTCCAGATTTCAAGAATAGGAGGGTACCTGGCCGAGCTGAGAAGTTGGTCGTCGAGCTTCAGGGACAATGATCGCCCCCCCCCCCCCCCCAACGATTGTCCCACTCGAGTTCGGAATTTTCCGAGACGCCGCATTTTCCGATTATTATACCAATAGAAAGCCCAGGAAGATAGATGGTCGGGATGTTTCCGCCCAGATTACCAAATCGCCTGCTCCTGATGCTCAGAGCCTTGCCAACTTTGCCCACACCCACGACTGCAGCCAGGACTAAAAGAAGAGACAAAACTGGGTTCACACATGCGAGCCATATATCGACATGCTGGACTTCTCACACCGTCATCACCAAAATAAACCTCCGTAACCAGAAATTCTCGCTAATTCAGGGACACATATCTGCGCCTCTCCCGAACCTCGAATCATGTCGCCCAACACTGCAGACAGCCTCATTGCAGCGGTTGCCGAACGCCGATCGGTCTACAAACTCTCTGGTGAAACCACCATCTCCAAGGAAAGGCTGGGAGAGATCGTCCAGAAAGTCCTCTTGGCCACTCCGTCCGCCTTTAACACACAAAGCACCCGCATCATTGTCTTGCTGGGAGACGAGCACCGAAAACTATGGGACATCGTCCGCGCCGGAGTGACGCCCCTCGTGGCAGCGGAACAGGCACAGGCGACCGAGTCCAAGATCACCGGATTTCAGGGAGCTTATGGCACGATCCTCTTCTTCGAGGACCCGACGCCGTTTGAGCCTCTTCAGGCGTTTAAGATGTATGCCGATAAGTTCCCCGGCTGGCGTGAACAGACAAGTGGCATGCACCAATTGCTCGTCTGGACCGCACTGGAAGCAGAGGGGCTGGGAGCAAATGTGCAGCATTATAATCCCCTCATCGACGAAAAGGTACAGCAGACCTGGTCTGAGAAAATCCCGCGTGAGTGGCAGCTATTGTCCCAGATGGTCATTGGGAAGCCAGTGGGAGAGATGCCGCCGGCAAAGGAAAAGAAGCCTGTTGAGGGGAGATTCGCCATCCTTGGTTGAGCCCAGGAACAGACGCGTTAGCCACCTTGGGCCCTGTGCGAACAAGTTCGAGAACCACAGAACTAGAAGAAGGTTCAGAAAGAAAGTTGACTTGAAGAGATATTGAATAGTATGGTGCACCTGAAGAATGAATAGATCCAGGGGCGACTGGATCCTCTGTCGTAGATAGCATCATAACTCACCCTACAATCCGGATCATTTCACGCATTGACGTAGAAGATGATGGGCGCCACAACCACCATGGCAGCATTCGCCGTCGGATGAAGGACCCAAATGTCCTCCCAGCGCAGAATCCTCGGGAAGAGCATCTTTGTCTCCGTGTGTCGATTCCCCACGACGTGGTGATCTCCAGTGGCGTGGACTTGGGTTCGACACACAAACCTGGTTTGCAGAGTACCTCGAAGCTTGCGAGTCCCCCTGGTCGACGAAAGACCTCCGCCAGTGTTTGTCACCACACCTCTCTCGGCATTGCTTTTCTGTTCACGATATTCTGTGTCATCGCATCCCGTCTGGCTGGCGGACACTATTCCAACCAGCTCGGTCGTGGCGGTTCGTAGACAGGGTGAGGACTGTGCCACAAGTTCACGCTCTCAATACCGCGGTCTGAATTCGCGAGCCAGGCACAAGCGCGTCGGCGGACAATCCGGGGTCCAAGGACACCTGAACCGTCCCGCCGCACTCAAATCTGCGGAGAAAGCTTGAGCCGTGTTCGATTTCCGTGATTCATTCCGTGAAACCCGGAAGGATGAAATTCCGCGATACCCGGAACGATGAGCCTGGAGGGTTATTAAGCATCTCCCTCCCCTTCCAGCCTGGCCGAATGCGAAACCCAATGGCCCTATTGAGGCGATTCGAGACTGGGTGCCGTCAACGACCGACCGAGATTCCTGGCAGCGGGAGGATGGACGTTGGCCGGCCTCAGCCATGGGACTCGGTATGTATCCTATAAGAGCAGAGGGGAATAGCAATCGAGTGACTCGAAAATGTTCTGAAGCGTCCGTTGCTGTATTCACCCACCGGCTATCCCTTCCCTTCTTTAAACACAGTAAATTTGAATCACCCGGCCCGTCTCACCGATGGCGTCCCAAACAAATGGCACCGAGGGGAACCCGTACACCTTATACCACCATTATTACTCGCTCTGTTCAATCATGATCCGCTACCTTCTGAGGATCCGGGGGGATCCCCAAAATGCCGCGTCCGCGATGAACGTCACGGAGGAAGTGATTGATATCTTCAAGGAGGAGCAGCTGTCGGAAAAATACCTGCTCGAAGTGAATCCGAACGGTCAAGTGAGAATATAGTTCAATTCAACCACCGGCCCCTTTGACCACCTTCTCACCGTGTTCTTGATTTGACTCTGAAACGTCCAAGACGGGGCTAATCGTGCATCCGCATGTCCCCCCAAGGGGGAGAGGATAGGCGGATGAGCTCAGGTTCCTGTCCTGGGCAGCCCGGTCGCCTTCTCCTTTCCACTGGCACAAACCACGGCCATCTCCAAATATATCGCGGAGCGATATCCCGCTCTCCACCCACCGGAGCACACGGACGACATCAAGAGACTGCTCGACGAAATGCACGCCATGAACTTTTTCACCCTATCCTTCGTCAAAAGCCCCAAACTGGCCTCCGGATTTGCCGATGCCGTGTTGAAACGGTTGGCGAATCCCGACATTAGCGACGAGTATCGCAAGGCTTTGGAGTACAAGCTCATGATGTCAGTCACAACCTCCACCTGTGGCGCCATAAGTTTTTGCCCGGGTTTCATGCTCCTTTCCCCACGTCCCCTGACACGTCGCGGGATGTTTATTTCGCGGCGCAAAATTCTGACCTGATAATGACAGTCTTCGACGAGACAAAGTGCATGCCCTCGAACCCGCCAAGATGCAGGCTGAGGTGGACAAGTGCCAGAAATATCTGAACGGGCTCGTCCCGCTGCTCCGCCCGGATTCTGGCCCGTGGCTATGGGGCTATCAAAAGCCCACGGCGCTCGACGCCGACTTGGTCGTCTTGCTCGCGAGGTTACAGGATGTCGGACGCCATGGGATCATTCCGCAGGAGCTCAAGGAGTACGCTGAAAAGGCATATCAGACTCCCGAGTGGATCAAGGTCATGGAGGGGAGGACCACGATGTACGATGGGGGTAACAGCGCTGCACCAAAGAAGTGAGGGTAGTGCGAAAACCCTGGTCGCCCTTGCTCGAGAGAGGACACCGAGCTTCCTTGCCTTGACGGGGCCTTATCAGAAATAAAAGGTAGTAAGCATGAAAGTTCCTCTGCCATCTAAGCCCCGCCTATCCTTCGCGGTCCTCGTAGAGCATAGATCTCACTCAACTCCGGAGGGGCGACCGCTCTCTCCCCCTCCCCAGTAGTCATGGTGGCCCAGGCCATTTGATCTTGTGGTCGCTGAAGCTTCGGAGGCTCCGAGTCCAGGGGCGGGTCGATTTCCCAAGCGGGATGGATGCCTCCCAGCCGCCGGACGGTCAGCCAGGAGAGCGGACTCTCGCAGCGGAGAATCAGGTGATTGTTCAAAAAACGATAGGACTCGTGAAAGGGAAAATGGGCCACAGTTCGACCAGGCCGAAATGCGAGCACGCCCTCTGTCGTGGAAAAAGGTCTGGTCAGTTGGTCCAGAGAGGAAGACAGGGGACCTACAACCAGCTGCCAAAATATCCCAATGGCCGGCCACGCTTCATGCGGAGTGGCTGCAGTGGGCAATCTCTGTGGTTGGTTGCATGGCGGAGCCCGAGTACTACTCTCTCTTCGCTAATCTGCAGGGTCAATCAGTTTTGCCACCCTGCCGCATTCATCGAATCTCATCAAGGCGCATCCATGGTGCTGGTCGTCAAGGGATACATCGCCAACGGGTCACGTAGACGTAGATCGGACTGCCGCATCAATCCGTGCCGACATAGAGACAGACTTCAGGTAGTTCTTCAGACGATGTCTCACTCAATGGAGACCGATGTCAATTTGCACCCCAAGTTGGATGAGATGGTGCCCCTTGCGAAGCGAAGAAATGCTTTCAATCTCAAGATACCCGTCCTTTGACAGCAATATCGCCCTGCGAAATGAGGAAACCGTCTCAGAGAAATGGCACGGACGCCAATTAAAGGGCGAAGGTAAGTCGGTCTATTACATCTCTTACATGAGTTGCGATCAAACGTCACTTTGCTGGTCCGTCCTAGAGAGCGGAACTCTCAAGAGCCGCTTCTGAAGGGCCGACTGACTTGTTTCAGGTCAGATAATGCTATGGTCTTCAAGGCTGCCCATCTCGAGGGTCGACGTCTGACCGAAGAATGCATGCAGCGAGAGGATTCTGCAGCTGATGGCGGGACACAAGAGACCGCCAGGCGTATTTGCCAATACCTTATTTGAGGCTTTAGCCACCATCGGTTTACTTGCATTTCAAAATGCTTTACTTGCAATGCAAGAGGCGGCATTTCGATTCACGAAGCCGCCCTCTCGGACCCGAGACCAAAAAATTTGAACAAGCACACAGCTCATTATAGCCACGAGGCTGTTACTTGAACGGGCGACATGCGGGTAGAGCGTTCGATTTTACCATGTTCGGAAGTGCGAATCGAGATCGATCGAATCACCACGCAGACTCCGCCGCTATTCTTTGAGGTATCTACGGATGTACACGTAAAGTTGCTGTCCCATGGGTGGGCTATATACATGTGAAGTGGGTGATCCAATGAGGGAGAGGCCCGGAAAGGGGACCTGAGCAGGACTGGCGAAGGGCCTGAGCAGGTCCTTTCCGTCTTGACGGACGGCCATGTTGTGAATAATACGCTCAAAATCGCGAGGCTTGTAGCCGCACAGCTGACAGCCCATCCTTGCTGTGCGGAACAGACCACCCATCCAGTTCGTGACAAAAGCAGATTCCTAGGACGTCATAGTCAAGAAGTTCGTAGATCTGCCGTGATTTCGGCACTCTCTTATACCTTCGTTTACAGGGACGAGGATAGACCGCATGATCCAGGAGGCAGCAATGAGCGTCAACACTATGTTAATTGTCACGATACGTCACGAAGTCGTATAGCGGTCGAGTTTTGCAACCTCAATCATAAGGCTGAGCATGCCGCTCGCGTACAAAGTACGTAATTACCGTTGTCACCTTTAGCGTCCAAGGGACGGGCACGTCGTCTACTTCATCGCAACCCAAAGTTACTCCGTGGTTAGTACGTCGAGCTGTCGTAGTGGCAGTTAGCTGCGCCTCGCCAAAAAAAATGGGTTCGTTCCAACTGGCCCTTCCAACCTCACCATGCTCATCACCACTTCTGAATTTAGATAGGTAGACTGTGGTTGGTGGACGGTGACTGTCACTGGTGACTGGCGGGGTGACTGGGGGGAAGGGGAATACTGGGTGGTGTGTTTAATTGCCGAGGGTGGAATTCTCTGCTCGAGGTCATCCACAAGGACGGTGCCCTAGCTTCGCAGAAACTCGTAGAGCGCAGGTTTTGGCGCCGAAATCCTAGTTAGTGCAGTATGAGGCAACGTCTTTGCCTTTGGGGTGCGACTGTTTACAGTATTCTTGAATCCAAATCGGGGTATGATCCCCCGACGAATGGTCAGGCGCTGTGTCGCCGGCAGGAGTGTCCGAACCATGCTCTACGAGTATGGGTGCTTCATGGCGAGAAGCCGTTCGGGTCGTGGTGCTCTACCAAAGCTGGAATGCATTGGTTGCGGGATGAGCAGTGACTGGACATACTTGCTGAAGCCCGGGCCAGACATGGGGCTGTGGCCATTTCACCGAGGAGATGCATTCCAGGTCCATTGGTTGTCACAGTTCAATCGAACCAGGTTACACTTCCTGCCACCTCTTTGAAATTCTAGCGGGATCTTTAGCTGCAGTTGGGAGGCCACGTTCGGGAGCTACTCCGCACTTCGGGACGCAGCGAACATGGAGTGGATAGAGAGAAGCGGGAAGACGGGATGATGTCGTGATTCTTGGAAGGACTCGCGACATGTTGCAAAGCTTGCGAATGCTGCACGCGCAACACCGACCGCACGCGCACTGCGCTGCGCAAGAGGGGAGTAGATGTACTGTGTGGTGCAGGAACAGCCTCATCGCGCCCGTCAGCCTTCTGGAAAAGGGGCGTTGTTGGGCCTAACGTGTCTTTAAATAGTGTGGCTGCTGACATGGCAACGTGGAGAGCCTCGGGCTGGTAGATCTGTGGATGACGGAAATGATCAGGGGCAAATGTTGGAGGCCGTACTCCGTATTGCTGTGAGCAGGCAGAGGTGAGGCGCATCTCAGGCGTCACAATTGTTCAAATTGCGTCGAGTGGGAAGAAGCAGGGGTCGATGATTGGATCGTCGCCCAAAAAATAAGCATTGCAAGGCCTGAAGCATGACTTCCTTAAAAGGTGGCTACACAGGTTGATCCTGAGCTTGTGACCTCGAAAGCGTGATGGAATCAGTTTCAGCGCAGCATGAACCAAAATTCGGGGAAGGTGGAGCTAACCTCAAACGCCTGTGAGTCGACCATAGGCCCACCGCATAGGCTTGAGCTTCAAGGCACTGGGTTAGACAGGCAGCGGCGAGACTGCCGCGGGCGCTGCCCCTGGTTAAAGGTTGTAGCCTGTTGTTCCTGTCCACTCTCCGCTTTCGCATGTTGGCACTGGAATCGGTCTCCCTTCTCGCGATGTGTGCCAGATTCCCGAAGGGGCATGGGGCCGGCAAGTTTCAGCCAAACACAAGGCCCAGGGGACCCGAGGTCCACAAAAATTTACACGTTCCCTTTCGCTCGCGGTGGCTATGCTCGCGAAATCTAACACCGTCCAACGCTTGGGCGAGTCGAGATCAGCTCGTCTGTGATGGACTGTGTCTGGTGGCACCGGGACAAACACCAGCTACTGACCCTATTGAATGTTCTGATTGCGCGTCCGTATTTACTTCTGTTTGCCCTCTGCCTGCTCCTGGACATCCCACAGCCCACCTCTTACACCAGGGTCACCTGCAACTCACTTTCGATTCACCCTGTATATTTCCCTTGAAGTCGCGACTGACTTCCATAAAACTTTATGGCGCCGGCTCTTTTCATTGACGCCCCTCACTTTATTTCCTCACACGTATTCCCTTTCTAGACAATGAGTTATCCTTGTCGCCGATCTAACGAGTATGAGCTGTCGAGGGCGAGTACGCATTCATCGGACGAGAGAGACGACTCGTCACCTTATGACGACGAGGATGCCGACCGCGATGATTTCCAGACCCATTTACTTACTGGCCAGTCGGTGTCGAGCGTGGTGAAGCCACCGATCTCCTCTCACTTTATCGCCCTAGCCCCTGCCTGGCTGCGGAAGCAGCATCTTTTACAGCGGCCTCGAGCCGGATCCAAACGACTTCCACGACGCTATGGCTGCACGCCGAGATCCCTCCTTCGAACCTTCATTCTCCTCTCTTACATCTTCTTCACCAGTATCGCCGCTATTGTCATTGTAGGCGGCATCTTCTTCCCCGGCTACACCCATCTTCCACCCCACTATCAGGCATTGAGGGAAAGAGCGCTGGCGTCTCAGGAACCAGGCCGGGTCAACATACATAATCAGAAGGTTTTCATTGCAGCGAGCATCTACGATAAAGGCGGGAAACTGCTCAGCGGAACCTGGGCACAGAACGTGCTGGACCTGATCGAGTTATTGGGATCCCAGAACACATTTCTGTCGATATACGTCAACGATTCAGGCCCGGAGGCGAAGGAGGCGTTGAAAGCGCTCGGACAACGGGTGCTGTGCGAGCATGCACTGGTGTTCCAAGACCATCTGAACATTGACAACTTACCTCACATTCACATCCACGGACAGGATCGGGTAAAGCGCATTGAATATCTGGCCGAAGTGAGAAATCGGGCACTAGCGCCACTGGACGCGGTCAATACCACGTTCGACAAACTCCTCTACCTGAACGATGTCTTTTTCCACCCTGTTGAAGCTGCCCAACTACTCTTTTCGACACACACCGTTGCCGATGAAGTGACTGAATACAGGGCGGCATGTGCGGTGGATTTCATCAATCCCTTCAAATTCTACGACACTTTTGCAACCAGAGATGCTGAGGGCTACAGCATGGGGTTGCCATTCTACCCTTGGTTTGCGGCAGGTGGTGACGAAACCAGTCACAACGATGTGCTTGAAGGTAAAGATGCTGTGCGGGTCAGGAGCTGTTGGGGTGGCATGGTTGCATTTGACGCACGCTTCTTCCAGAAACGACCGGGTGAATACGAGTTGATAACCGCCGGTAACCAAGGACCCAGCAATTTCTCCGCGCCTTATCGGTTCCGTGCGGAGAAGGATCAATACTGGGATGCTTCGGAATGCTGTCTCATTCAAGCAGACATTCAGAGCCCGGAACCACGGAATTCAGGCATCTACATGAATCCTTTCGTTCGGGTCGCCTATGATTCTACGACACTGTCCTGGCTGAGCTTCACTCGACGTTTCGAACGATTATATACACCCGTCCACTGGTTGATCGACGTCTCTACAAGCAAGCCGAAATTCAATCCGCGGCGGCATGAAGAACCGTGGCAGCAAGTGGAGGAGACGGTTTGGGTTCCAGACGAATCGCTACCGAACAATGGCTCCTTTCATCAGGTGACGAGAACAGCCTCACATGCAGGATTTTGTGGTCGTCGTGGGTTGGCCTTGATCAAAGAAAATGTTACTGAAGGGGAAAGAAACTGGGAATTGGTGCCGGTCCCTTCAGGGGCTTTATGATTTTGAAAGATGTATCGAGCATAGCGATGGCGTTCGGAACAACAGCTACAAGCTGGGAAAATGATTATCATATCGGGAAAATGAATGGGTCTGCTATCACAGCGGCACAGTCTTGAACCTGAGCTGGAGAAGAATTTCCTGCAGCGTCAGACAGATATGAAGACGAGAAATCTTCCCAACCTCTTTCACAACGAGCTATCTCAGCGCCCCTTTGATTCAACACTGCTGTTGACCCTTCCCAGCACTAAGTACAGGGCCAATGTATTGTTGTCGCGCTGAGACCAGCTCATGAAACCGCGACGACCCTTTCTGTCTTGGTGCCTCCCGTCGATGACATCGTCCAGAGAGCAGAGTGAGTAGTGACTGTTTAATGTGAAGCTTCTCAAGAGCATCCCCTCACATCTTTCATTGTCACGTTTTGCAGCTCTTTTCTTGCTCTTCCCCCCAAGGTGGACGTTTCTCTTTTTCAAATCTCTTTTTCTGTCAACTCTACCTCCTTCTAACACCCACAAGGATCGCTATCATGGCACCACAGTCACGGTTTGACGACCCGGAAGTTATCAGCAGGTTTCTGAACGTTGTCCACTCCCGTCCTCGGTCCTCAGTCGACGATGACGGAGCGGGAGCTCAGCGGGCGGGCTCGGCCCTGAATCCAGAAAGCGCGGTGTGTCTGACTCTCAGTGAGACTGCCCTCGAACTCAGGACACTGACTTTTCCACAGGAGTTTGCTCCTACTTCCCTTCGTATCGACAACAAACCAGAGTTTGCAAACTCAGAAAATGCCACTCGTCAACCCGACATCCCGGAGTCCGAGTCACGAGTCTCTACTCCAAGTTGGCAATCACCGGCGTCACCTCCTTTCCCTCAGATATCGAGCCTGCAAGAGCCCGGCAACGTCGACCTGGTCCAGGACGAGAACGGCTTCGTAACTGAAGCTTCAGCTCCAACTCCAGCGGTTCAAGAACACGTTCTGACTCCTCAACACTCTAACATTACGGCTCCTTACCGTGGCAAACCTTTGACACCTACCCAGCATCGCTTGCTCATGGGCAAGAAACCGGGTGTCGAGCAGCTGACCGAGAAGAAGCTTTCGGAAATGCAACAACAGACTCACGGCTACATGGACAATGTAGTCGAAGGCTTTCGGAAGGTTGGCCAGCCCATAGTGTCGGTGAAGCAATCCAATGCCCGAGGACCCGAATCACCAGGTAAGGAGTTTTCGCCAGCTGTTGTATGCCATTGTTAATGCCTTTGAGTAGATGTCAAGCACGACAGTAGCTCCGAGACCAGCAGCATCACGTTTCCGGAAATGGACGAAACTCCAATCGGCGCCGAGGTTCACCACATCACTCCCAGGGAGGAGAAGGCTTCGGCTATACCCTTTAACCATCCCGTGGCAGAGCCTCGAGGCAGCGGTGGTATGTTTAATCTGGTACCTTGGTTCTATGCTGATGTATACCTCAGCTGCACAACAGGAGAAGCAGCCACTAGAGATCCTGCCTACCTTCGACGAGAATATCAAGTTGTCCGACCATGGTTCGCAAGCACCAAATACCACCACCAATAAGACTATTACGAGAGACGTGGCAGCCCCGGCTGAAGAGGTCGCAACCAAAGAGCTGGATAGCCTCGACGGCGGTGTTGTGGTCGAGAACAATCCCAAGGCCACCGATGACATCTGCAAATACACACATTCGCCTACCATCGTGGTTACTGCCGACGCCGAGACAGATGACAGCGTCACAGAAGGAGACAATGGAGAGGATCGAGAGACTCTCGTTCGTTTCGAGACCTGGGGCACGCCAGCTGCTCGTAACACGCCCAGTAAGTGTAGTGACAAGGCCCGAGGATCCAAATTGATATTGTCAGAATCACGTCAACGTACCATCATCCTTTCTGGCCTTCCACGCAGTGTAGACCTCACGCTTGTCCAATCATTGATCCATGGCGGGGCGGTTGAATGTATGAAGCTGGTCACCAGTAGCCCAGAGAATCCATCTGTCTCCGCCCATGTTACCTTCACCTGCCCTGACGCCTGTGACCGCTACTACGACAAATATCCCAATGGCTTCGACGTCCGTCACCAAGGCAAGAAATGGCCAGTGCTTGTCGGCAAGAGAGACGGTGTCGATGTCGTCAGCGGAATGATGCAGGGCTACCTCGAGTGCGGCGCTACCCGGGTTGTCAAGGTGAACAACGCAGACGATGACTGGGGAATCGTGGCATTACACAAGCTCGCCGAAGGGAAGGCTGGAACACGTCGAGTTGAGGCTATCCAGGACACATACCATAATCGAGTGAGTCAATGTGTGTTGCTGCTATTCATGACTGACCACTCGAACAGACACGTACCATCATCTTCCGCTTTGCCAACATCGACCATGCTGTCAAGTTCAAGGGCATACTCATGCGCAATGACGACTGGGAAGGATGCCATGTCGAATTTGCAGAAGATCCATGTGCAAAAGCAACCGGGCCTCACAATGAGTAGGTAGCGGACTTGGACCTCATCAGGCAACTACAGGGGTATTTCAACCGCCAATCAAATGGTTTGGCTGAGACGGCGATTGGATTTTGCATATTACCGGAGAAGGCTTCGTGTACCAGTAATTGAGCTGGATACCTATGGGTTATTGGCTGAGTTCTATGATGACCTTGAGATATCGAGGACGGAGTGTGTCTTCGTGAACTCAGGCGTGAAGCTACTGTACTGTAGAGGCTAGCAAGGACCCTTGTGCCACACGCGTCCTAGTTTGGAGTTACAGGCATGACCCTCTCAGACGAGGTTTATCGCCCAATCGATAAGGACGGCGCGGCTTCGATTCCTGGCTGGCGCGATGCTCTTTGTCATCCGAGGCTCACAAACTACGAAGCACGAAGGATGAGATCATCCACTGATCGGATCGCAAAAAGTTACTTGCCCCACATCGTCACGAGCTGGCGAAGATTTCTCATGTTGCTTTTTCCTCCGTTTACGAAAGACCTACTTCAGCTGGTGAGAAGGTCCTAGCAGAGAAAGACCGACGACAGCATATAACATGGGCCTTCCATCGCAACAGGCGTCCAACGCCGTCATCTACACGACCTATGCCGCATTCTTGTACGGGATGAGACCCCGCGGCTTGACAAGATCTGTAACGCAGGCTAATGTTGATGCTACAGAGTCTTTGGCTTAGCCATCGCATGGACGCTCCGACACCAATCGAAGGGCGAATACCTCGCCACGTTACGGACACAGAAGGGTACAGCCGTACTGCCACAAGAGCACTCCTTGAGGGACCTGCCACCAAGAGAAGAGAGAGACTGACAAGTTCCCAGGCATACCTTTGGCCCTCAATTTCATCGCGTCGGGTGAGTGCGCTCTCAGGAGGGCAGCAGCAGCTTGAAGCGGCAACATCGAGGGTTGGCACGACCGAGTCGCATCCAGAAATGGCGCGAAGACATGAGATGGAATTATCAGGCCTGACCATACGTCCTTGTCCCGAGCGGCAGGTCTCCTGAGCATGACTCTATCTGAGGTTCGTACGCTTGCATCAACGCCATTGGTTCATGTTGCGTTTCCACCGGTGGAGGCCCTTTTGCAATGCTCGTTGCTTTTGCGACGGAGCTTGCACGACGACTTCCACTAGCAGAAAGCACATGGATCGATGCGCAGCACTACGGGCGCTTGTGTCAGACCGTTTCCCTCCTTCATCCAACTGCTTCCTCTCGAAGTAGAGATGAGCGAGTCCGAAACGCCGACAACACAATGCTGAGAATGTACCGTCAAAACTCGATCAAGTTAATGCTTGCGTGGGAAACGTGCTGCCAACCTCCCTGAATCCCCTTGTCCCCCTTCCTGCCCTTGCACCAAAAGATCCGGTATACTAACAGGGACGGATTTGTTTGTGGCCTTCAGCTCTAGGTTCAGGCGTATTGTTCTCATACCCGCAGATTTCCACCATCGCGGGTGTTCAGGGTCTTGTGGTGTACGCTCTGTCCTCGGCCTTGCCACTTCTTGTCTTCGGCTTTCTCGGACCCATTATCAGGAACAAATGTCCCGAGGGATTTGTCCTCACGGAGTGGACCCGCCAGCGATATGGAGCCATTGCAGCTTTGTACCTCTCGGCTTTGACGTACGGTTACCTCCTTGGCCCCTCTCTCGCTTGAGCATGTGTCTAATGAGTCTCTAGGCTGATCACGATCTTCCTCTACATGGTCGCAGAACTCTCGGCGCTCCAACAGATCATTACCGCTCTCACCGGTCTCAATGGCCTTCCGGTTGTCATAGTCGAATGTGCTGTCACAACAATCTACACTTCCTTGGGCGGATTCCGAGTTTCTTTCGTCACAGACAACGTCCAGGGCGCCATGGTCGTGGGTCTCATCATCATCGCGTGCATCACCGTCGGGGTCGAGACCGACATCTCCCACGATTTGATTGAGAAGAGCCACTATCTCGACGCAAGCCTGTTAGGCTGGCAATTGATGTATATCCTGCCCGTCGCGATCTTGACAAACGACTTCTTCATCTCGGGATTCTGGTTGAGAACCTTCGCGGCCAAAACGGACAGAGACCTCTGGATTGGCGTGTCCATCGCCACCGTCGCTGTGGCCATCATCCTCACCCTGGTTGGGGTCTCAGGCTTGCTGGCAGGATGGAGCGGCGCGCTAGGCGATCCCCCAGAACAATCGTCCATTGCCTTCTTCTTGTTGCTTGAACAACTCCCCGCGTGGGTCGTGGGGATTGTGCTAGTCATGACCATTGCGCTAAGCACGGCTGCGTTTGACAGTTTCCAGTCCGCCATGGTGAGCACCGGCTCCAACGACATTTTCCGGAACAAACTCAATCTCTGGGTATTGAGGGGCGCTGTGGTGCTCATCATCGTGCCCGTTGTGGTGGTGGCATTGAAGAGTCCGAGCGTATTGCAGATATATTTGATCAGTGATCTGATCTCTGCGAGCAGTATCCCTGTGCTGGTCATCGGGCTGAGTGATAGATGCTATGCGTGGAGGGGATTCGAGGTCGTAGTCGGCGGACTGGGCGGCATCTTCACGGTTTTCCTCTTTGGACTTGTTTTCTACCACGGCGACGCCACCCAAGCGGGGAACCTCTTGCTTTTGGAACAGGGGCTGTACGCCAACGATTGGAGCGCTTTCGGCGCCTTTGTCGCCGCTCCTGTTGGAGGGTTGCTATGGGCGGGAGGTGCGTTTGCGCTCAGGTTGAGTGTGCAGTGGTGCATTGCCAAGGTCAGGGGAACTCGGTTCGATGCGTTGGACAAGCCAGCGGCGCCGACCGCGGCCTTCTATACGGGAGGAGCTGCCATTGCCGGAGGCAGGCGAGATTCCCTCGGCAGGGAGAGCGAAAGGGAAGTTTATTCCGATGAGCAAGGCGTGGTTCGAAGCCACGTCGAAGTCAAAGGGAAGTTCTTCTAAGGAGGACAACGTCGAGGGGATGTGGAGGAAGTTGCCAATGACAAGTCGACGCCCGTGTCCCTCGCCGCGTCGACTAAGCAACGAGAGAACACTACACCACTGCGAAACAACAGCTTCAAATGAAGGGTGATATCGGTGGAAATGATCGCCTTCATCTCGAAGTGCCATCGGACAGAAAGACCCAGTCGGCGTGCTTCACGCCGTTGGAATTTGGGAAATATCAATCAACGAGTTCCCCTCACAGTAAGGACTACACCACCCTCAGCCCACGGGCTCACAAGCTGGAGAACTGGAGTTTCGGTCATGGAAACCATGATCGATACGCTCTATTCCCCGAGAGAGAAAATCGAGCTTGCGCAGGGATTAGGATATAGTACACACATACACACACTCATTTAAATTCTGAACTTGATCACCAATTTGAGGACTCTTTCTGCTCCGCTTTGTGATCCTCACTCTTCCGATTCCGATCCACGAATAAGTCAATTTCAAGCGGACAAGCACATTGATCAAGCAGCATTAACGTGCAAGCATACCGTGCCAGGTTCCACGTCTTCCACTCGACCTCAAACAAGGCTTGGACTTCGCAAGGCCAGACTTCATCCGAGTATCACCTGCCGCCACCATCACTATCAGCGTCAGTGTCGCACGAAAGTGTCAAAGCTCCGCCTGCTTCAACCCTTCCGTCACGCCCGCTACCTCGTCACGACGTGGCGCCTCGGCGAACATCTTGGCCAGTCGCTCGTCCAACCACTTGACGTCGTCCATGTTCCCCGGTGGCCCGCCGGCCCAGTGGCCCCAGATGGACGGGTAGACGTCGAGTCGGCCGACCCCGGGCGCCATGTTCTGCACTTCGTACTCTGAGTCTTCGGGGCTAGACGGGAGTATCAGCGTCGGATGCACGCACACACAGACACACACACGCGCGCGCGCGCGGCAACGCCTTAGACAGACTGGAGAGTGGATGACTCACGGAAAATACAAATCGGTTTTACTCGGCAGGACGAGCGTCTTGGCCTTGATGCTCGCCATGGCGGTCTCGAAGTCGCCGTTGTAGGGGTCCTGCTTGCTCACGTCGCCGGCCTGCCAGGTGTGCAGCATGACGAGTAGGTTCTCGGGGTCCTTGGACAGGGCCCAGGCTTCCCAGAAGGAGGTCATGAAGTCTTCGAGGGATTTGGCGCCTAAAGTGGTCGAGGTCAGCAAGTGAGGTTAGTCGAGGGGCCACCATTACCACAGATCTTATTGCGTTACGTGACGTGACGTGACGTGACGGGCATCCCGTCCCCATCGTGCGCATCACGGCATGCATTTCAACTGGATGGACTGCAACCTGCACGCTCACTCACTCACTCACTCACCGTATGCCTTCTCGTGCAGCTTCTCTCGGTAGAAGGCCTGGCTGAAGCCCCAGCCCGCGTAACCCCTACCGAAGGCCTTTAGCCCGACGGTCCGCTCCTCGTCTGTCCAGGTCCTGCTTTTCTTCGTGGCCGCGGCGTCGCCCTTGTCGGGCTCGACTCGGCCGAATGTACTGCCCCGGCTGGAGACGCGCTTGGCGGCCAACAGCGCCGACTTGACGCCCTCGAGGAAGACCTGGTTGTGGATGGACGTGCGCGCTGAGCCGCAGAACGGGACCGCGATGTCCAGGAAGTCCGGGAACTGGGTGGCCCACTGGAAGGTCTGGGCCGCGCCCATGGACCACCCCAGCACGGCGCGGAGGTGTCTCACGCCCAACTTCTCCGTCAGGAGACGGTGCTGGGCCTTGACGTTGTCGTAGAAGGTCACGTCCGGGAAGGGTACCATGTCGGGCGAATTGCTCGGGCTGGTGCTCTGGCCGTTGCCGAACAGGGCGGTGATGATGATGAAGTACTTGTCTGGGTTGAGGGTTTTGTCGCTCCCAATCAGCCACTCGTTGTCCGAGATCAGGCCTGAGTACCATGACGGGTAGAGCACTGCGGGGTTGGATGGGGATCCGAACGTCTTGTAGGCGATGAAGGCGTCGGGGATGGTTTTACCGCTTTGGAGGCAGAAGTCGCCTAGCTGGTAGGTTTCATAGTCGGTCGACATTGTGGTGGTGTCCGTGGTGGTGTCCGTGGCGGTGATTGATGCTGATAGTGCTAGGCAGCCAACAGTTACGGTTTGGTCCTCTGGGCTGCGTAGAGTTGAAGAGAAACAACTTGTCCTATCGTCGAGGGTGGCTTGACGAAGACCGTCTTGTCTTACCGTGGGTGTCTCGAAGCGCTCGAAAGAGGGAGGTTAACACACCAAACATTGTGCGAAGAACCACCCTCCGACCTAGTCTACCTATTGTATCAACGACATCGTATCACGAGCCGCGACCCCGCAAGTTGACGGTTATCTCCACATGCAGTCCCTCGTATACGAAGCGCGGACGAGCCCGACCCAAGGGCCTGGATCCATCATCTCCAGTGGTCCGAGTGTCGCGGTCTGGGCATCTACTGTAGAAAGCGATGGCGGTGGTGCTGATATCGAAAGGAGGACAAGTAGCTAAGGAACAGGTGTCGAGAAAGTGATGAACACAGTATGACGTAGTCGAGACGTATAGCACGGCGATTTCTGCATCAGCGAGATGATTTCAGAGGCAGAGGCACTTCGTCTGATCCGAGAAGCGTTGCCTCAGTCGCCCACAGTAACAGAAACCACGTACATCGCTTGACATTGACGAGCTCTACCGCGATCTAGCGACGTCGACATCGGATTTCTAAGCTCGAATCACCGTTTCTCGTTTACTTATCTGTTCTTAGGTAAGCCTTTCACTTGCAGTAGTTTACATGTACTCGACGCTGACTTCTACTCACAAGAGTCGGACAGCGATAAGAAGGCGAGCCCCAAAGACTGACCACGTTCTCACTTGTGACAGCCACTCGAACACTCAGCGCAACGTCGACATGTCAGCAGGCGAAGCCGACGGGCAAGAATCGCAACTCAAACACGACGCCGAGTCGTCCGTCAAGCGCAACCCGCACGGCGACTTCAGCAAGGTTCAAGCCTCGCGGCCGGACTGGGACGACGGCCGCTCATGGCACTTCACCAAAACGCGCAACCCGGAGTGGACGTACGGGTCTGGCGCGACCGTCAAATCCGACGCCCCGCACATCAGCATCGACCCGTACGGCGAGGGCAGGTTACCGGTGCAGAACTACAAGTTGCTGATCAGCGGCATCATACCCCGGCCGATTGGATTCCTGAGCACGCGCGCAAAGGACGGCACGAGCACGAATCTCAGCCCGTTCAGCTACACGCAGATGTTCAACCACGACCCGCCCATCTTCTGCGTCGGCTTCTCCGGCGGGTTCGACAACGAGAAGGACACGCTGAGGAATCTGGTCGAGAGTGGCGAGTGCGTGATCAATATGGTTAGTGATGATTTCGTCGAGGCGGCCAACGCCAGTGCGATTGATCTGCCCTACGGGATGAGTGAATGGGCTGTGTCCGGACTGACGGCCGCGGAATGCGAGGTCGTCAAGTGCTCGCGGGTCAAGGAGAGTGTGTTTGCCGTCGAGGGCAAGTTGGTGTCCACGCAGGAGTTTGAGTCCAAGAATCCAAACACGCCAGGGAAGAAGACGGGGGTATTGGCGATTATTGAGGGCGTGAGGTTCTGGGTGAGAGAGGATGCAATCAATGAGGACAGGACCTTGATTGATCCGGCGGTGCTGAGGCCCGTGGCAAGATTGGGCGGCATCACCTACTCGAGGGTTGTTGATGGGTTTGAAATACCCAGACCGGTTTTGAAGGACGAGAAGGAGTCGGGGAAGATTGGGGACGATCTGTTGAAGCGGAAGGTAGACGGACAGTGAGGGGGGGGTCAGTATTCAGCATTGGTAACGACTCGGTGGTATACATAGAGATACAAGGGTTAGAGCGTGGATTACATTGATCGCTGAATGCGAAATGCCGAATGACGAATGCTGCTGTGTCTGGAAATCACCTTGGCCACACTCCTGTTTCAATGGTCCAACCATGTCTAGCAGCAGAACTAATGCCAGCATCCAATCTTTGAGTGTCTCGAGTCAGCCTTGATATTGTGGCACTACCGCCATCGTTCCAAGCTTCCGCGAAGGCTCGAGCTGGTTTCTGAAGAGTGAAGTGCGGTCCAGGGCCAGGGCAGAGCACTTGCGAGGCTCTGGTTTGCTTTCTGGTTCCCGCAGAACACTCAGAGTCATTCACCACATGTCCCTTAGTCGTACGGTCGATCTGTCCAAGAGGTCGGAGCCGTATCGCCGAAGATGAGCCGCGGGTTCTTTGTTCGTAACAACTGGCGGACCGTCCCCAATCGGGGTTACATTGGCGGGATTGCTGCCAGATCAGGTTCCGGGTTGTAGCAATCCTAGGTCGTCAAGAGGTAACTAGGACAACTCCGACGCTGTATAAAACTGCGTGAAGACCGCAACACCTCACTGTTAGTCAGAAGCCACCCAAGTCAAGCCAACTCCATTGTTCGATCGCCCACCATGACATCTGATTTCAAGTCGGTCCATCTAGGGCATGAAATCCCTGATCTCGCTGGAGCATTTCAGATTACAGTCTCCCCCGGAACGGACATCTGGGACAAGCCACCATCGACCCATTCGTTCAACGCACCGATCATTTACCGAACCAGCACAGTGGGCAAATTCAAGTCAGCCCGAGTCACTGTCACAGCTGCGTGGAAAGACCAGTACGATCAGGGTGGTCTGTTTGTGGGTATTCAAACGACCGACACTCCTCGCTGGGTAAAGACAGGCATCGAGTTTCTGGACGGAGTGCCGTTGGTGGGCACGGTAGCTAAAGATCGATGGGCCGATTGGAGCCTCCGGCCCTTGCTGGCGGAGACACTCAGCATCGAGGGCGTCGCCATTATTGAGGTCGAGAATGCGAGTGACGGGAGTCTCTGGATCTGGCTCGTCAGTGAGGGTGGACAGAAGTTACCTTTGAGAGAAGTCACTTGGTGGGGTGATTTGGCGAAGGACACAGAGATTTGGATCGGCGTGTATGCAGCTAAGCCTGCACCACATGGCGAGAAAGGTGAATTGGTGGTGAAATTCGAGGGATTGCAGATACAGTAGGAGAGTGATTGATAAACATCGTGCCAATACAATCGATCTATGCGAAGTCTTCTCTGCTGAAGCCGAAGTGATCGGACAGTGAAATTCGACGCGTCGGGAAAGGACGCGTTCTTCCCCCCCCCCGCCGCCAGCATTTCGCATTCAACCACACACCACGTCACCAAGCGAGAATCTCCCAGCTCGACCTACGTGCTGCGCAAACGATCGTTGCATACTGACGACTCAGTCACCCTTGGTCATTAACAGACATGACCTCTGGCTCGTGACACAATCGCAACATGCCATCGCGGCTCCGCAACGCCGCAACAGCGGAGACTGCGCAGACAGAACACCGCTACGACATTCCCGGCCTACAGTTCAACGAGCCTCTCTCATGGCGCGCCGGCAAAGCGATTCCGGTTGGCGACCTGTTGACGCGACTGCAGAAGCTCGCGACCGAGTTGCGCAACTACGACTTGGACCAAGTCGACTCGCGCGCCTTCACCACGCTGTCGCAAGATCTGGCGAACGCGAATCTTCTGGCACACAAGGACAAGGGCGTGAGAGCATGGACGGTATCGTGCATCGTGGATGTACTCAAGATCTGCGCCCCTGATGCGCCGTTCATCGAGGGGCAATTGAAGGTGAGCAGCGCATCTGGTCCGTCTCCAGGGAAGAAGACTCAACTTACACAGAGCGTAGGACATCTTCACCGTCGTGATCAACTCGATTCTACCTGCTCTTGTCGACCCTACAAATGCCTACAATGCGCAACATGTCTACATCCTCAGCTCCTTAGCCGAGTCACAGAGCATTCTACTGGTCACCGACATCCCGAACCATGAGAACCTAATCGTCTCCCTCTTCACCACTGCCTTCGACATTGTGTCGGCTTCGGGAACCAATCCTTCCGGTGTCGAGATTTCGAAGAGTGTGGAATACCATCTCAAAAATCTACTTGCTGCAGTCGTCGACGAAGTTAGTCTCCCGCAAGAAGTGACCGACATCATCATCTCTCAGTTTATGCGCGTCGATGCTCGAAATCTCCAAGACCATGGCACCAAAGGCAAGAAGCGTGATGGTCAAGACAGCAAACAAGGAACCCTCCTTCTCAAGGGTTATCCACCGGCCTACAATATGGCAAAATCCCTCTGCACGACTTGCCCGGAGAAGATGACAGCTCATATCACACAATACTTTGGCACAGTCATTGTCGATGCAACTGCGGCCACATCCCTAAATGGCGCCTCCAAAGGCCATACTCGACGCGGCTCAGAATTGGTTGATGATGAGGAGGACAAAGAAAGCGTGGCAGATTTGCGCAAAGCCCACAGGTTACTCCGAGAGTTGTGGAGGGCTTGTCCGGATGTCCTGCTTAATGTCATCCCTCAAATCGAGGCTGAATTCAACGCTGATTCGGTGTCACTCCGTCAGCTCGCCACCGAGACCATCGGAGACATGACCGCTGGGATTGGCATTGCTGGATTTACCCCTTCTGCACCACTAGACCCTGCTGCATACCCATTGCCATCCATCACCCAGCAAGACGAATCTCCCTCACAGGTGGCGAATCCGGTCCTGGCCCCTGCGTCTCCGAAACCATTCATGGCCGTGCATGCCTCCGCTTATCAGTGCTTCCTCGGAAGGCGGAATGATAGGTCACATCTGGTCCGCGAAGCTTGGGCAAAGGCTGCCGCCCGAATTATGCGGACTTCGGCTGGAGGGATCGGCATGAGCTCTGAAGAGCTCGACAATCTCCTCGTCGGCTTTGCGCAGATGCTTCGCGACGTCGAGGAGCACGTACGTCTGGCGGCCGTCGTGGCCATGGACATGTTTACATATGACACCCTGATCAATGTCCTGGGCGCTGATTCCGGTCTTGCAGCACGCGACACTGTATTCTCATCATTAGCCGATCGAGTCACAGACAAGAAGCATCATGTTAGAGAAGCGGCAATGGAGCTCCTTGCTCGAATCTGGGGTGTTGCCTCGCGCGACATCGAACAAGGAAATGACGTGGTCAGAGGCGTGATAGGCGATATTCCCAATCGCCTTTTCGGTGCCTACTTTACGAACGAGCCACATGTCATTGCCGTGCTCGACAGAGTTCTCTACGAAAGCTTGCTGCCCCTCTCGTTTCCTCCGTCAAAGGTTAACACGTCTCGTGCCGACAGTCAGAAGCAGCGAGCCAAGGACAAAGAAGGCAGCTCACAGGAAGAGCCAGTATTCGACCCGGATGCTATCAGGGCGCGTCGTGTTCTCACACTTGTGCATAGTCTGGATACAAAACGGCGCCAGGTATTCTTCGGCATGCAGCATCGCCAAGTGCAGCTGAGCAAGGGAATGAAAGTCTTTCTGGACACATGCGAAGAATACAACGGAGGTGTGGTGGAAGACGACTCTTCGGAGGCGACACTTAAAGCCCGCCTTACCCGTATGATCGAAACGATCTCAAAAACTTTTCCCAATCCAGGTGCATTGTCCGATGACCTGTGGAAATTCGCCAAACAGCACGATCGTCGGTGCTATCAGCTGATACGATTTGCTACTGGTCCGGAGAACGAGTACCGCACAGTCACCAAGGCTATCAAGGAACTCAACAAACGGATGCGCGAAGGACCGGCGAACATGCACTCGCTTGTTGACACCATCCAGCCTATCCTATATCGATGTGCGTTACTTGCGTATAACCGCAGTCATATCCCGACGATCATGGAAATATCCAGGTCCGGTGAGAACGGCCTAGGAGAAGTCGCCCATGAAGTCTTGAGTCAGATCTCAGCGCGAAACCCAGAAGTATTAAGGTACCACATTCAAGCTCTGTGCAAAGAGCTCGAGGAAGAGGCGCCAACAGCAAAGAAGCCAGAAAAAGATGGAGCTGCTGCCACACTCAAAGCATGTGCAGGGTATGCTCGCAAGTACCCTTCGGATCTGCCCAAGGAGCGCAAGTTCATGACGGTCTTGACGCAATTCGCTTTGTTCTCCAGATCTCCCCGAGCAGCAAAGCATGCAGTATCGATTATCATGATGGTGGCTGACAAGAAGGAAATGTACGCAAGAGATCTACTGTCGAAGGCATTGCAAGCACAGGTTCCGTATTTCCTTGCTCGCCTCGCCACGATAGCACAACTTTGCCTGCTTGCGCCTGCCGCTGCGAACGTCGAGGCCGACGCAATTCACACCCTGGCTGTCCCAGAAATACTGCTGAAAAATCGACACCCAAGCCGCAATGACGATTCGAATGCGTGGGACGATACAGATGACGAGGAGACAATGTCGAAAGGTCTGGCATTGAAGATCCTGGTCAATCGTGCCCGAGCGCCGATTGAAAACCCCGAAAGTGATGAATCGGCATCACCGATAAAGGTGGCTTTCAAATACCTCACAGCGTTGATCAGGAACGCAGGCGAAATTACTGACTCGGCTGACACACCCCCCGCACAGAAGAACCGGTTGCGACTCACAGCCGTCCACTTCATCTTGAAGCTTTGTAATCACGGCAGGAAGTGCGAGGACCACATCGATGCACAGGAATTCAACAAGATCGCGCTGATCATGATACATCCTCCCAACCCGGTGCGCACTGGCTTCGTCAACTCGCTGAAGAAGTACCTCGGACGGAGCCTAGCTCCCAGATGGTTCACGGCTTTCTTCCTACTTGCGTTCGAGCCAGATGTGGAACTTCGTTCGTCGACAATAACATGGCTCCGAGCACGCGCGCAGTTGTTCCAGCGGCAGCAACTCTCAGCGAAGAATGAGGAGAAGAAGAAGCAACAACCCATTCTGGAACCGGTTTTCGCGCGTCTGATCAGCATCTTAGCCCACCACCCAGATTATCCGACACAGGACAGCGACGACCCCGACGGGGAGTTGCTGGACTTCGCCAAGTATATTGTGTTCTATCTTTGGAGCATGTCAAATGACGACAACTTGTCACTAATCTTTCACTTCGCGCAGCGTGTCAAAGATGTGAAAGATGGTGTCACAGGGACTGAGGAGGCGAGTGAAAGACTCTATGTACTCAGCGACCTGGCTCAGGCGGTCATTCGGAACTATGCCGACATTATGCCCGGCCATTCCAAAGGAGCCAGCAACCTTCAGACATATCCTGGTAAGGTGACGCTTCCAAAGGCTCTTTTCAAGCCATTAGCATCCCACGAGGCTGCGCGAGAAATTGCTGAAAAGAACTACTTGCCCGAGGAGGTAGCTGTTGGCCTTGAGAAAATGATAAGAACATACATCAAGGAATTGAAAACTGGCGTACAACCTCCCAAGCGCGCTCCGGCAGCGGGCAAGAAGAGGAAAAGCAACGCATCTGGTTTAGAGGGCGACAACGATGATCAAGAAGAGAAGCCGGCCAAAAAGGCGAAGAAGAGCACGCTTCCAATCCGGAAAACGCCGAAACACAAGCGGAAGAGTAGTGCGCCCCCTAGCAGCGCGACACTGCCTTCCCGGAAGAGTGGTCGTAACTCAAGGGTCACGACGTATGCAGAGTCCGACACTTCAGATGAAGATGCGGAGATGCAAGATGCGGATGAGGCCGCAAGCAGTCCTATAGCGGGGCGACCGAGAAAGGCGAAGCAGCAAGAGCCGGAAGCGGTGCATGAGGAACCCACCGAAGACGAAAACAACGCTCTCGACCAGGAGGCCGAAGACGAGGCCGTTGATGAAGTAGACGTGCACGAAGACCATGATGCCGCTGTCAATGGAAATGATACAGGAACGGTCGAGGAGGAAGAGAGATCGCCACCGCTGAAGGAGAAGCAGAACGCTGCTACGAGACGAGGGCGGGGGAAAGGTGGAGGGAGCAAAAAGACGACTCCAGCAAATAAAAGTACACCACCTCAAAAGCTACTTGAACAACCAGCAAGGACGACCAGACAGACGCGCAGAGCGAAAGGGTAGCTGGGAGAACAGCCGCCGCATTCGTTGTTACTGACGAGACTTGAACTGTGCGGCTCCTGGTTGGAAAGCTGACGGTAAGGATCTATGATTGCTGGTTCCGAGTGGCGGGTCAGCCCTGGCGACTTTATGTGTATGGACAAAGGATGAAGGTTGTTTCCTGCTGCCGAGTCTCGTCAAGGTTCCAGGCCCGGGGCAGATACCGGACCCTATACGGCATGCCTAGCTATTGAACCAGGCAACAGCGTTATTCTACTCGGCCGGTCTTCATCAACGCCGGACCAAACTTCGGGCGCCTGTTCTCGGCTCAACATCTGTCCATCTCCCTCTTCTCTGCTTGAGCCTTCCCATAAGTAGTAAGTGTTGATCTCTGACGATTGGTGCACATGGTTCAGTGGCCCGGCATTCTGACGCTGTGGAGAGTTGGTGGCGCCTCTTGTCTACTGTACATTTGATGACTTCGAAATGTCAGACAGCCCTGACCTCGGAGCTCAAAAGGTGCTCCTACCGCTCTGTGCCGTCTTCTGGATTCCGCATCTCAGCCTTGAGCAGCTCATCCTCATCAGTCCGCCCCAGCTGTATCACCGCGCACCAGAAACGCCTGACCTGCAAGGTGTCTAAAGCGTCAAGACAGCCGACCCACCCATTCCGATGCCAGCACAAGCACTTACTTCGGTCGTCATCAACGCCCCTGCCCAACAAGTCTGGGATGTCCTTACCGACTTCGACCGTTGGCCGGACTGGAATACATGGTTTACAGCCATGCACGCGCACTCAATGCCACCACAACTAGGAACGCAGGTCACGTTCACAAATCGCATGTCCGAGACGGCCAAGCCAGGCACATACACCGCACGCATCACGACCTGGAAGCCCGAGGCCCATGAATTCGCATGGAAAGGGGGTCCACTGCCTGAGATGATGGGATGGTTGCTCATGGGGAACCATTCGTTCAGACTTGTTGAGCAAGACGGAGGAAAGAGAACGCTGTTCCATCACGGTGAGGGCGTGGAAGGCATCCTTGGGGTATTGGTGCCGCAGAGTTTGGTTAAAGACTTGGTCACCATGTTGGACAAGTTCAATGCAGAATTGAAGAGACGTATCGAGGTGGGCGTGCAGATGGTTTGACAGTGTTCTACGGCTCATCAATGCGTTATGGTTTCCGAACTGAAGCTGGCCGTCTGGACGACCAGCTACTCTGCCGCTAGAATTCCTCTTTGTCCTGTGGTATGTTGACCTTGATAGCAGCAAGCCAACGTCGTTCCCATCCGCCGTGGTCCTTTTCATGGAGGGACCTAAGGTGTCAATTGAGTTGCGGCTTTCTGATTGCTTCCACAGCTCCCCCGTGTTAGTGCTCTTGAGAATCAACAAACGCTTACAAACAGGTTGCAGGTCGCCGTGCTCAAGGCTCAAACAGCAGGATCTAGCAACCGGGCATAACACAATGACGGCTTGCTTCTGCGACAAACGCAAGTAGGCTGATGGATCAATCAGCCTAGAACCAGCCGGGTTTCGTTCATTTAATGCATATGTTCTCCACGCTGGTGGTTTCACTTCTCTTACCATCATCGTTTCCCCTACAACTTTATCTCACTTCACCGAACATGGACAGCAACAACCGAGAAACCTCACAACCTCCTCGTGGCGCTAGCCGTGGGAGAGGCTCTGCTGGCGGCAGAGGTGACCACCAACGAGGCCGCGGCAGCAACCATGGTAGCGGTTGGTCGGACAGTCCACGTCGCGGCAGCAGTGCTAGCATTGGGTATGGACAAGGTCTGGACAAGGTCAACATTTCTGCCGAGCGAGCACGAACCACCAACGAGGCAACAGCAACTCTGGTTATGGTCGCGGCCAGCATCATTCCCAAGGTCAACCCAACATTTCATCCCTGGATGCGCGAGCCCCCAGTTTCGTCCCCAGCTACAACGATCTTCAGAACCAAACCCCCTTAGACACCCGCCGCAGCAGCACTATAGGCCTGCCCCACGGTCCTGGTGGCTTGCATAACCCTGCCAACGACGGCTTTGGTCGCGGTCGTGGTCGTGGCCGCAGCCTAGCTGGCAATCATGGCTATACCAGCAGCTACCAGCCTTCGGGACCCGTCGATAATCGCCGCTCCAGTGTTCACGGTTACCAACAGGGTCAGCCGCAAAGCAGAGGTTTCAGTCCTTACAATCATGGCAGGGGTGCTTCCTGGAGCCGGGACGGTACAGCTCGGCGAGGATCGAAGATATCGAATCACGGCCAAGCTCCTCAAGGCCAACCAGAACTCGCACACGGTACAGTGACACATTTGCTTGCAAACTACTTTCACATCACTGTTGGTGCCATCAAGACCCTCTACCAGTACGACATATCAATCATCCAAGTGGACAGAGACGGTAAGCCTGTGAACAAGGAGGGCGGCGGGAAGGGCAAACAAGAAAGCACCCAGCAACCTTCGACCACGAATAGCCAGGGAAAGAAGAAGCGATCTGGGATTCCTGGCCTGAAGAAGAGGAGATTGATTGCTCTGGCGCTGCAGGAATTTCAACAGCCCCAATACTTTGATCCAGAGGTCCCAATCGCGACGGATTACCACCAGAAACTCATCGCTGGGGCCAAGTTGAGCTTTGATGACGAGGCCACAAAGCACAGAGTATACATCGACGAGGGGATCGGTAGCCGATGCACCATCCACGTTGATTACTATGATGAATTCTGCTCCCGTGCAGACAGCCAGGAACGATACGCCGTGACTGTCTCTGGACCCGTCGAGCTTCCTTTGGAACCCTTCCTCCGCCATCTCCAGGCGGCTCCGCCCGCGACCGACGCGACAGCAGAGGCCCTTCAGGAGCCTGTCCTCGATGCCCTCAACGTCATCTTCAGCTACCGTCCCTTCCAGCAATGTTTCAGGGCTGGTCAGGATGAATTGCCTAACATGGCCACGACCAATGGCAAGAAGTTTTTCGGAGTTCCAAACAAGCCTCGTCCTGGTACCATGACATCCACGGGAGCGACGCTCGCAGACGGGAGTAGCGGTATCGGTGGTGGTGGCCAGGACAGTGTTCCTGGTTTTGCCAGAAGTGTGCGGGCAGTGCGCTCGAGGGCCAACAATCTGCTGTTGAACGTCCACTCGATGACGTCTCTTTTGTACCACCTTACCCTTGTTCAGGACCTTATCGAACTTTGGATTGTCAAACATGGACACCCATGGACTCGGACCGACCTCGACGAGTTAGCCGATTTCCTCACCAATCTTTCTGTCAGGAGTCTACCGCATGGATCCTTCCATAGAATCACTAAACTGCCTCGGCACGAGATAAATGGCCGTCCCGTCCTTCCTACGGTCTGGAACACGGTGATAAGGCCACAAGATCGAGACAATCCTGGCTCGAGCGTTGCAGATTACTTCTCGCTGCATCATGGGGCCTCGTACCCGGACGACGGCAAAGAAACCTATGTTGTCACTGTTGGAGAAGATGCCGCTGCGCAAACCATGCCAGCTGATCGTCTGATGGTGATGCCAGGCCAGCGATACACGAATCCCAAAGAGCTTCCGTTCGGCGCCACACGACGTCCCAACGACAATCGAGATCGTGTCCTACAGACCGGCAGAGGCATTTTCTTCGGCACCCACCCAGACGCAAAAGGTGCTGTCCAGTTTGAACTCGATCTCGGAAGAGAGCTCTTGCCGGTCCCGTTCATCCAGCTCGACTTACCAAGCGTACAGTATCGCAACTCTGTCAATCCGGACGTTCTCGTCAACCTCCCGCGGCAGCACGGACCTCGAGATGGCAGATGGGATCTCCTAGGCCAGCACTCCATACGCACGTCGCCTGATGAGCAGCGGTGGACCTACCTCGAAATCCAGGAGCACAGTGGCCGCACATCCGATCCAAGCCAATGTCCGCGGTTTCGAGCAGGCCTCGAGAATGCTCTTACCGAGACCGGAATGTCCAAATTTGTCTTCGTACCCTGGCCGAATTACTCGCTGACTCTCCCAGACCTCAACCGCTTTGGAAAGGAGGATCGCTTCGACAAGCTGTGTGAAAGCGTCAGGCAGAAATTCAAGGAGTTCGAGGGCAAAGTCGATATCCTACTCGTCATTCTGCCGAATCAGAAGGTGGACATCTACAGCGCCGTCAAGATCGTGGGGGACCAGGTCCTGGGCATACCGACGGTATGCTCTATCTTGAAGAAGGGCAAATTCAAACCCAACGGTGCGCTCAATAAGGATTTCCCCGCCAATTTGACCATGAAGATGAATCTGAAGACGAGCACGACTGCCGTGAACCACCAACTCGCTGTTCGGCCACCGATTCTGACGCCAAAGACCATGATCATTGGCATCGACGTCACGCACAAACCTGCGACGGCTCTCAAAGATGCACCTAGCATTGCCGCCGTGGTTGGCAGTGTTGATGACCAGTTCGCCCAGTGGCCTGTGAGTCTGCGTCTCGATCCTGTGCAGGACGTGGAGGAGAGTGAAGCTGGTCCGGCGAATGATGAGAATCCAGGGAACGACAAGGCTGAGACGAGTAACACGTCCAAGCCATCTGCCACGGCTAAGAGTGACGCCCCTAAATCCAAGCCAGATGAAACAACCAAAATGGACGCCCCCAAATCCAAGCTAGACAAGGAACAAGCGCGAGAGAAAGTCCTCGACCTCGAAGCCATGGTGTTTGAACGACTCGTCGACTGCTGGGAACACAACCAAGCCATGCCCGACCAGATCATCATCTACCGGGACGGCCTCTCCGAGGGACAATTCGAAATGTGCAGGAACGAAGAACTTCCCAAGATCAAGCGCGCCATTGAAAGCCTGAAATGCCACCGTCGCGAGGAACACGTCAACAAGAATCGAGGAGACACCACTGCGGAGCTGCTCCAAGATGATGACAACGCCACCATCGCAGTGATCCTGATCTGCGCGGTCAAGAGAAACCACACGCGTTTCTTCCCGGCCGATAGCACCATCAAGAACGACGACGTCTACTGTGGTGTTGATAATCACGGGAATTACAACTTCAACCCCCGGCCCGACACGCTGATTGAGCAGGGCGTGACGTACGGCGACGGCCAGGACTCTTTCCTCATCAGCCAAAAAGGCCGTAATTGGCACGGCCAGACCGACGCACTAGGTAATCTTGGCCAATGAGTCCAATCGCAATTTCTGGACCCTGCTCCCCTGACCCCCCGACCTCCTTACCCCGTGACACTGCCAGTTGTCTGCCAGTTGTGTGCTGGGTAGTAGGTCCCCAAGGGGTTTGGTGGCCGAATGTATAATGACTGTACTGACGACTCATCCTCTCAAGCAGACCCATAAGCTGTGTTTCCTCTTCGGTTGCTCGCCGCGGTCCGTCGGCGTGTGTCCGCCTGTCTATTACGCCGACTTGGCTGCTGGGCGCGCACAACGCTATGCACGTGGCATCTACAATGCGCCGGCCCGGAGAGTCCGATACGACGACAGCATACATCGGCTCGAGCTGCAGGTCCACGGCAACCTCAAGAAGAAGATGTTCTACATGTGAGTGGGAAGTCGTAGGGCTCGTTGCGGTCGAAGGACGCCCTTGGGCTGTCATTAGTCCGTATCATAGGCGCCATTAATCCGTGTTTTATACCCGGCCGCACTTTTCATTAGTCTGTATAATTGCATTATTCCGTATAATCACTCTGATTGGTTCGGACTCACTAGCGTCCTCGGCACCTGCCGTGCACGACCTGTTAGTCCGTGTAAAGGCCTCTTGAGGCCTTTGAACCAGCGGAGGGCGCAAAAAGAAGTATAACCTTTTACAGAGCACTAGAGAGGGTTCGTAGCCTCTCCCGAGGGTACCTAAGATGAACTTGATGAAGAACGATATTCTACAGATAGTGCGCACCAAGATTAAGTACAGTAAGAGAGGACGAGTAGGGTAGAAGTGCTAAGAGTGATGTCGTGGACCCAAACGACGTACATTAAACCACACACCGTGTATTACTCGGCGTGGCGTTCCTCGGGTCACCCACCGTTTAGACGAGTAGTACTGTCATTGCATGAGTGCGTCATTAATTATACGGACTAATAAAGCCGTTCCGGTGGCGGTGGTGGCGTCGCTGATTATACGGAATAATGGGTGTTGCATCGACCGGCTTGTTGTTTTACACGGACTAATGCAAACTTTATACGGAATCGTAAATCCGGTCCTAGGCCTTACACGGACTAATGGCAGCCACGCCCTTGCAAGGGGACAGAAGTCAACTTTCCAGAGATTTAGATTTGGATTCGATTTTGATGGGATGGCGGTCAGCGCAGTTTTGTTTTGTTTCCGTGCGCCATCGTTGCCCTCGAAAGAAAGTCTGCTTGAAACTGACTGTGGATTCACTGGGCTATCGGATCTAGCGGAAGCGTCTAAAGGGACTTCGATCAGGAACACAGGGAGATTTCCGTCACCTGGGATGAAGTCTCATAGAGGTCACTCGAATATGCCTTGCTCATGTCCAGAACAACTCCACCGTGGGTCCAAGAACATGTCTCTAGCTGTACCAGCCTGAATATCGCCATGTGACGGTGTCAGGACGTGCGAGCTAATCAACCGCTGCGCCTGTGTTGCTTATACTCCACACTTGTGTTGTTTCGGACGCTTCCGAGGAAGTGTGAGGGAGGATACCAGCGTCATCTCCGTGAGATAGTTTGCAACGACGGAGTCTGTTGTTCCACGTCTTACTGGCACGACGGGCTTACACCATGGCTCGATGTTCCTGCCGGCCTGTTCCTCTAGATGTCCCCCGCTTGATGTGAATGGATCGCAGGGGCGATCGAATCTCAGCATCCGTCTGTGTACAGACTGGCAATGATCCAGCACTAAGACCTCAGAGTGAGTTTTGCGCGATGATCTCGCGGGGACATCCATCAGCAGTCATCGTTCTCGCCCGAGACTGCGTCGTGCTGTACAGCAATTTTCTCGTCTGATAGTGTGTTACGTAGGGGATGGATATTGTTCTCGCCCGAGACTGCGTTGTGCTGTACAGCAATTTTCTCGTCCAATAGTGTGTTATGTAGGGGATCGTTATTCTATATATATGGTGATGTCTTCGGACCTCAGCAGTGAGGAATCAGAGCCAGAGCCGTCAACTTGGTCCGTGTACACAACAGAGAAGCCCAGCCAACAAACTCGAGATAGCCAACTCTTTGCCCTCTTAGGCCGGGAACCCTACCGTTACAACGATGTCTACCAAAGCTTTGATCCAGTTCTTCTGTATATTGTCGATGACGCTAGGAGTGCTATCCAACACTTTATCCATTGGACTTGTTTGCGTCGGCGGCGGCGCATTAGGAGTCGTGGACGTTTTGGGTTGCGGGCTTAATGTGGTAGCGGGAAGCGACAATCAATGCGGCAACCTGGCTAATATAGCAGTCAGTGCCGGGGGGGAAAACGTCTACCAAGACGGACTCCTCGAGCCCTGCCCAAATTTCCAAAGTTCTGTGGCGCATATGTCCAACGGTGCCACAGTAACCATGAATGGCTGTGCTTCAGAACAGTTTATGAACATTGTCTATCGCACTTCAGATGGACGCTCATACAACGATCAATGCGCTTATTTTGGCCCTACCTGCCAATCCAACAATGAAATTGGGAATGGCGCCTTTTTCTACCAGTGCAGCAACGCATTCTATACCGGGTAACTCTAAAAGAGTTCCCGAAAAGATGGCACCCTTCGCCCGGCCAAGACCGCACACTCTCAGGAGCCTCGTTGGTCGGGATGGCAAGGCTGACCTCTTCCGGAAATGAGCATTGCTTTTTCAACAAAAGCACCATCGAAATGCAACAATCTTTCATTCCACCACTACGAACCGGGTCACGGCCTCAACTGTGGGTCGAAAATACTCCATCCACGCTGGCATTTGGCCCTCACGATCCTTTGGCACGCGGAAGAGAACATTGAGCCAGAGAACCAGTGCCTGCGCGGGCTAGGTTAAGACAATGCCAACAATGTGCAAAATCCAGTGGCTGCAACGTTCAACACGTGCCAGCAGGGCCGGATTGCAGAACGGGCATGTGTGATATTGGGCGTCCAACGAGCCACCTCAACCTCTACGCCGCATACCTCAGGGAGAACGCCCTTTTTGTGTACTTAGAACTTGGCGATAGTGCTGTTATCGCGTCCACTCATTTCGAATCAGATTATTTTCCAATACTCATACTCATACAGTCTACTGCTGATGCATTGCCATCACCATCTCTGCATTAAGATCGATGATTGAAGGATGTCCTAATATAGTAAGGCATAGGTGTTCCCGGCGTGATTGGCCATCCAGAAACGATCACGGAGCAACCAGTAACATCAGGCCCTACGGTAGAGCCAATGGCCCACGGCAAGGCATTCTAGGCATTGGCCTCCTCGGGGTTAGACGTTTCAAGCCTTGTACCAAGCAGCGCTACGTTGAGAGGTTGAGGCTGCGCCTACGCGAGGTTCGATCTTGTGATCTTCAGGAGACTCTTTCAAGAAACTCGACTGTTGACCGGGTCGAGTCGCTAGGATCGGCATCAGCAAGCCGTAGCCGGAGTAGATCCTCTGAAATACGAATCCCATGCGTCTTAGCCAGTGTGTTGTGCCGGACCAGGACGGACAAAGTTGCTAGTCGTGATGTCGAAGCCCAATCCATCCTTCAATCATCGATCTTACGGGGGACGAGCGCGGGCAATTTCTCAGAACCTGCTCTTCCGCGATGCGGACGACTTCCTCGTCGGCGTCACCCAGGAGGGGAGTGGGCCGCCCGGGGGAAGCAGACGTACGAGTAACAATCCGAACATACAGACTTCGCCGGGTACGGCCCCGTTACTGCCGAACAGTGTCATGTTCGCCCGTTGAAGCATGGTGCTGGAGAAGTGGAGACGGCTGACGAGTTTTGGGAGAGCCGAGATTGACAAGATTGTCACAGGGGTGGGAGATGGGATATGTATGGCGTTACTTCATTGGCAATTCTTTGGGGGCATGGTTGGCACAAGGGCAATCCGTGTAGATTGGAATAGCTATTGACCCTGGCTCTGCTGCCCGCCGCAGGAAGGGGAGGCAGGGAATATATGGCATTGGGATTTATCTGAGTGTCCGTCTCCCGGCTTCATCCGGCCACCATGTTCAGGATCTCCAAGATCTGCGACTTATCCACGATCTTGACCGGGTTGGCCATGGTACAGAAGTCATCGAGACTGTTGACGGCGAGGGCGTCGAAATGCTCGGGTCCAACGCCGACGTCCTTCAATGTGCTCGGCATGCCCAGGGCGTCAAAGATGGCCCGCAACGAACTCGACGCGTCGGCCGTGGACTCTTCCAGCCCGGCGTCGGTCAAGACGCGCCTGACCTCGTCGCCGCCGTCGCGCCAGATGAGGTCCTTCACGTGCACCTGCTTCTCTCGCTGCCCGGGCTCGGCGAGATTGAACTTCAACACGGCCGGCAACAAGACGCAGCTGGTGTGTCCGTGCCCGACACCCAACGGACCCAGCTGATGCCCGATCCCGTGGCTGCAGCCGCTGAAGATGCGCGGGACGTACATCAACTTGACGGTGATTCGGCTCGCGGCGACCATGGCGTCGAGCCGGGGCTGGAGCAGCGTCGGGTCCCGTTTCGTCCGAAGCAGGGTCGTCACGAGCGTCGGCAGGGATGTGTCTGCGGCGGTCCGGATGATGGCGGGTAAGTCCTTGGTGCAGAGGGCCTCGACGCAGTGGTCGATGGCGCGCACGCCGGTCGAGAGCCAGACCCATTCGGGCGTCGTGGTGGTCAACGCGGGATCCAGGATGACCAGGCGCGCGTACGTCTTGTCGTGCTTCATCACGGGCTTGTGGTGCGTCGTCGGGTTGGCGGAGCCGGCGAGCGACGAGTATTCGCCGGCCGAGAGGGTCGTGGGGATGAACACCATGGGCACGGTCGGGTCGTGGCCCTGGCCGTTGCGGTTGCGGACGTGCGCGGCCGCGCCCCCTGCGCCTTTATCCTCGTCGGACGAGGCCAGGATCTTTTCGAGGTCGGCAACCTGGCCGACCCCGTTCGCCAGCGCATACACAATCACTTTGGCCCCGTCGGCGAGCGAGCCGCCGCCCAGCGTGACCAGCAGGTCCGGGTTCAGCGCGCGCATGTCGTTGATGATCGGGACCAGGTCGTCCCAGGGCGAGTGCGGCCGGATGCCACGCCATGTCTTGACGTGGCGTGGCCCCAGGGCCTTTTCGAGATCCGACACATCCGATGTCTTGTGCGAGAGTGTCGTCGACGCGATGATGTACACTCGTTTCGCGTCGAAGGTGCCCTCGACGTGCCGCGCACAGGCGTCGGTATATTTCAGTCCATATGAGATATATGTCGGCGAAGGGTTGGGCACATCGGGATAGACGAGACGGTATGTCTCTTGTGGCGCGATCATGTTGTCCGCGTGTCGTCTTTCGAGGAGGGCAGGAAAAGGATTGAAGGTGGGTGATGTGGTGTGATTTCTCGCCCAACGTTCACATGTCTGAAATAAACACCTACTAGTAGTGGTCTCTCCAGAATCTAGTGTAGGGAGTTAAGAAGTGTAATGGGCCCCCATTGGGAGGCCACCGGCAGGGACAGCCGTTGAGATTAGCGAAGAAGAGCAAGACACGCGGCGGGTTCGGCAATGAGGCGAGCGAGCAGGGGGGGAGTTCGGGGGCGTTTGGAGGGGAGGTGGGGGTGCGGGGGAATTACGGGGAAATAACCGGGTCTACAGGGGTGCGAAGCGGTGGGACGAGGCTAGTGTGCTTGTGCATTGCCGATTGCCGACTGTCGTCAATCCACTCCGAGGCCCTACGGCATCATCTCACCAGTTTCAGTGCCTCAAGGCGAGCCAGATTCTAATTAGCTTGTGTGAGGTCTCTCGTACCGGTCCCTCTATCTCTTGTCATGAGTTTTTGTGTGACAACACATCCCATTGCTGCTCGTCCGATTCCTCTATGGTCGTCACAGATTCCTCCACACCTCGTCCTAATGTAAAATCCCAAGAAAAGCCGGCCCTGGCTCAATAGTAGAGGTACTTCCAATTCGTGTCCGTCACAAACCAAGTATCGTCCAGATCATCCAGGTCCCCTTCCTCCGGATTCCACCCTTCGACCGTCCCCGGGTCGTAAATGCCCATCTCCCGGCGCGAGAACCCATTGCCCAGATAGGCAAAGCGATTGTCCTCTTCGTAGTCGTAGTCGAAATCTTCAAACTTGGGTCTCTCCATCATGTGGAACCAATGCACCCGGCTCCCCGGGTGGATCGCGGTGACGGGCCCGCTCACTTGACCACCTTTGAACCAAGAACGACACTGGGCGGCCCAGGTCGTGCGAGGCATGAAGTGATGGACGTGGGTCATGAAGTCGTTGCAGGCGGACTGTTTGACGGCGATGGCCCGAATGCCTTCCGTCTGGGCCTTGGTGATCATTTGAAGCAAATACTTGGAGCAGTGCTCCGTCACGGCGAGGACGGATCCGTGGGCGATGGGAGCGTTAGGTCCGAGAAGAACTACCGTCGACGGGTTAGTGCAAGGCCGTAAGTGAATGTAACAGGATGGATGGTGCACGTGAGCCTACCGAAGTAATTCGGGAACTGTGGAATACATGTCGACAAGTAAGCGAAAGGGATGTTGGGTTTCGACCAGACGTCCTTCAGGCTGATACCTTGGCGGCCAGTGATCGGGAATCGAGGAGTAAACGAGACGTCGAATCCGGTGGCACACACAATGGCGTCCACCTCGATATGCTCGCCGTTCTCTAGTCGAATGCCTTTCTCGTCGACCTGTTGAATCTTTGCGTTCGCAATCACCCTCACATTCGGCCGGGAAAATGATTCCAGATAACCCAAGCCTGGAGTGATCCGGCGACAGCCGACAGGAAAGTCGGGGATGATCTCCTTTGCGTACCGCGCCGCGGCCTCGGGTCCTAGTCGGTCGACCATGGCCTGGTAGTTGGCTTGGGTGGCATCTCGTTGTTTCTGGCTGTTCTGCAGCAGGAGAGGGAATCGCTTGTTCGTCTCCCGCTCAATCTCGATTCGAAACCGGAGGTAGACTTCTGGGTCGTTTCGGAAACTCTCCTTTTGCTCATCCGAGAAGATATCGGGCATGGGCCGTCCTAACAAGGCCGCATACCGTGCGGGTGCCGAGGGCGTGACCCACGTCGCCGAACGCACCAGATGGACCAGTTCCTTGACACGGGGCTGCATGGTGGGCACGATTTGAATGCCCGACGACCCGTTCCCCAGCACGGCAACTCTCAAGCCTTCATAGTCCCAATCCATCGGCCAGTTCGCACTGTGAACCAGCCGGCCTCTGAAGTCGTGTAACCCGGGGATGTCTGGCCACTTCCAATTGTTGAGAATTCCGCCGGCGTTGACGAAAAAGTCGCACGTGTCTTCAAAGGTCTCGTTCGTAAGGTGGTTGCGGACACTGATGTGCCATTTGTCGGTGGCCTCCTCCCATCTCGCGCCCACGACGCTGTGGCTCAGTTTGAAATACCCCCCCAGGTTGTGCTTGTCCACGCATTTCTGTAGATACGCCCGAATCTCGGACGAGGTCGAGAACATCTCCGTCCAGTCCGGGTTGGGCTCCCATGAGAATTGGTAGTTGTGAGAAGCTGGTGGCGCCTGGTCAGCTCCAGCTCGTGAAACGGGCCGTTTTCTTCCCTTCAACTTACGGATGTCACACTTGCAACCCGGATACCGATTCTCATACCACGTCCCTCCGATCGCGGGGTTCTTCTCGTAGACCACGAGTTCGGTCTTCTTCAATCGCTGTTGAACCTGATACGCCAAATTGACACCGCTGGCACCAGCACCCAAACAGATGATTCGAATCGGACGGATCCATCCCAAAGGCCGCTCCTTGACATGATATTGTGTCGAGATGTCCAGCCGTGGAATTTGGGGCGGCGTAGTCGAGGGATGACAGTCTGGACTCGCTATCGGATCGTCATGATTCGTGACTTCGATCTCGGTCACCTTCTGACCATTCAACTTGTACTCTGTGGACAGGTGCTTGCCCACATCCGAGTCCAAGACAGCAATGTCCTCAGGAATGATGGCGGAAGGAGACATTGAGACTACGGGTCTAGCTCAGTCACCGCCTGCCAACGATGCTTATTGCGCGGTCTGCGCCGGGACTCTGCTTCTCGAGGAACGCCGTCGATGGAATGGTTAAGAGGCATGGCTGACGGGTACGACATCTTCGGTGGGATCTCCAGACAATCACCCGCCTCGGCTTTGCGCCTCAGCTGTTGGTGGTAGGAAGTGGACATCCTCCGCCGGGGCTGGGCATCCAGCCAGACGATAGCCGGTTGCCGAAGCGCGAGGCATGCCAACGCCGTCCTGTCCCACCGGCGGGCAGCTTGCCGATTGCCGGCTGCCGAAGACGAGGAGATCACCGGGGGTGTGTTTGTCATTTCCGGTAACGATGGGCTGATGGTCCCAATGCGTATGAAGCGAGATCGAGGTTGTGAGACGTTCGAGTCGGACCCTTCTCTGGACCGAGAAGAGACGTGGACGTTCGAAGGCCCTTCCGCTCACGGCGATGGCCACACCGTTCGCGCTGGACGCCGACTTCGAGGAATGCCTGAAAGCCAACGGGCTCGAAGAGTTCGTTGGCGGCCCCCCGTTCCCGCCCGGCGACATCGATCAGCGCCGGGAACGGCTCAAGAACTTATCGTCGCGAAGACCGCGTCCTACCGTCGACACGAGCGGCGTTGACATCTCCGACCACTATACTTCCAGCGAGGACGGCCACCGCGTCCTGCTGAGGTGGTACCGTCCTCGCAGTGCGGCAGTCAATGGATCGCACACGGCCACTTCGCCGACTACGACGACAACGACGACAAGGACAACGACAACAGCAACAACAAAACCGGCCGTGATATACATCCACGGCGGTGGGTTAATATGCAGCACGATTGACGATTACGACGTCCTCGTCGCATCGCTCGTGTCAATGACACGGACCCCATTCCTCGCCGTCGAGTACCGCCTGGCCCCGGAGCACCGGTACCCCGCCGCCCTGCACGACGTGTACGCCGCTCTGGCGTGGCTGCACGCTCGCGCGCACGACCTGCATGTCGACCAGACCCGGATCGCGATCATGGGGAGCAGTGCGGGCGCGGGACTCGGTGCGGCCACGGCGATATTGGCACGCCGTCGTGGAGGAGGGCTGTCCATCGCGAAACAGATCTTCACGGCGCCGATGATCGACTGTCGCAACGTCAGGCCACACGATCCGAGACTGGCACCGCTGCTGTCGTGGAATCACTTGGACAATGCGACAGGGTGGTCGTCGTACCTCGGCCAGGAGGTACTCGACGGCCACGAGGAGGGTGATGGCATCCCGGACACCGCGTCCCCGTCTCGACTCGACTCGGCCGAGGGCATGCCTCCACTATACCTGGAAGTCGGGAGTCTCGACATCTTCGTGCAGGAAGGGATCGAGTACGCGTCGAAGCATGTGCGAGCCGGGGTCCCCGTCGAATTACACGTCTATCCCGGTCTACCGCATTCATACGATTCCCTCGCGGGTCAGTGCCAGCTGGCGCGGATGGCAAAGGCACATCGAGTCCGGACCATCACTTCTCTGCGAGGAGAATAACAAGACTTGGGGAAATTCGGTACAGCTAGATGGTGTCATGCTAGCTTGCTGCATACCCATATCCTAGTACTAGAGAGATTAATACAAAACCACGGTCAGATATGCCACCGAATCATACATTTAATCGATCCCGGATTCCCATATTGTTCCCAAGCAAGCAAGTTCTGTGCATCGGGCATGCCTCAGAGTCGAGTATCTAACAAGAGACACAGTCAGTCCATCGATCTCCTCCCCCGGTCCCCTTTCACCACAACTCACAAATCCCCCCTCGCTCTTCCCTTCCATCCGCCTGCAGCGGACTCCATATCCTTGTAATCACCAGGTATATCGGAATCCCATGGCGCCTTCGATGATCTTCTTCCCTGCGTTGGCCTTCTTATTTGCACGCCAGAGGAAGAACGACGTCAGAATGCTCACAACGAACCCCGCGGAGAGAATGGCAATGATCGCCGCCAGGCCAGGTACATAGTCCGGCGCATCCTATGGAATGAGAGAGAGTATTCCGTCAGATACAATTTCCATGGGGTCTTTGATCCAACCGAATGAAAAAAGGGGAGGAATCAATGTACGTACCTGTTGTCGGAACACGAGCGAGGAATAGATCGCACCCACGGCGGCAGATCCGACGTGGATCGAGGAAAGCACGGCCCGGGCCCCATCGCTCCGGATGTTGTTGTGACCCCAGGCCACGCAGGTGACGATGTACGCGTTGGTGCCGATCTCGCCGACCCAGATGCCAGCATACCGGGCCACCGGGGACTCGGCGAATCCAACCATGGCGACGCCCGCAAGTCCGACGGCGGTGCCAAACCAGCAGACCGGCCCTCGGACGCGCCATCTGTCAGCGTACCTCGAGACGATCAATGTCGTGATCGTGGAGAACACCGCGGGCGGGACGGTCAACATGTACGCCGAGACCAGACTATAGCCCATGCTGTTTCGAAGGATGATGGGGTTGAAAATGATCCAGGTGTAGGATCCGGCGGCGGCGGCCAGGTAGAGGAAAGAACTGATTGTTTGACCAGTCCGTCAGCCCACAAAGTCTGCGTATGATCGGGGACAGAGCATTCGGATACTCACATGCTTATGACGTGCCACTGAGAGAACGTGTAGACGATGACCTTCCACGTAATCTTCTCGCCTTCGAACTCTCCACGCTCGGTCATGATTCTTTGCTTGATGATCTCCTTCTCTGCTGGGGAGAGGAATTTATTGCCAGTCGACGAGGGCAGGTCGACCACGACGAAGAAGAGGACAAGCGCAATCCCGATCGTGATGGCCCCTTCCACGATGAAGATCCATTTCCACCCGTCCACCTCGGGCTCGTCGGCAATTTGAGTCAGGCCGTACGCCAGGGCGTTGGAAAACGACGAGATGACAAACGTGCTTTGGATGAAGTACGACAGCCTGGATTGGCGGTCAGCGAGAAACTTACTATGCCTCCGGAGTGGTAGGGGGCCTTTTCGCTGACCTTCGTTGAATTTCATACTTGCGGTACCAAGAGGTCATTAGGTAGAAGCAACCCGGTAGCAGACCCTGGGAAGACTTAGTCTCCGGTGCAAGATCAGGGAAAGAGGAACTCACCGCCTCGAAGACGCCCAAGAATGCTCTGACAGCAGCAAGAGCTCCCCACGTCTTGACCAGCCCGGAGGCGATAGTCAGGATTCCGAAACACAGGCCCAGAGTCGACAGCCAGATTCGAGGGCCAAACTTCTTCAAAAGGATATTCGAAGGCAACTCGAACAGGATGTATCCGACAAAGAGAATCATCACTGGAAAAAAAAATGTCATGAGCTTTTTGGAACGGGAGACCTTTCGCGGGGGGCAATGGCTTGCTTACAGGCGACGGAGGCGCGGTTGCCGACATCAAGATGAAGAGCCTCGTCCATACCCGCGATCCGGGCACCACCATAGTTTGTTCGGTCAATCAACGAGAAAGCATAGATGGCGGTGACGACGGGCAAAAGACGCCAGTCAACTTTTCGCCTTGCGTGATGGTCAGCAGGTGGAAAGCGCTCCAGCGGCACGACAAACATACATGACCTTCTTCTCGAGGACAGGATCAATCTCCGCGTCGCTATCCACGATGGCGTCGACCTTGTTCTCCTGGACCACGGACCCCCCTGCCTTTCCCATCTCCATCTCGTCTCCCTTCTCGCTGTGGAAGTATTCGACTTTGGTCGGATCTCCACTTGTCATGGTCATACTTCGCGCGGTGCAAGGTCAAGTGATTTTTCGTCAGGAGATATCTGGTCGAAGATCACCTTATCCCCAAAAGAATGTTTACAGCTGGGGGAGAGAGGGGCCTGGGCTCGTTATGTCCTCCTGCTCCCCATGGGGAAGAGTGTCAAGAGACGTGCTAGGAAGCGGAGCCAAACCGAATGGGAGAGACGCCATGTGGCGTCGGTAGTAGAGTTTCTGCCCCCCCTCGGCAATGATAAGGCGTTAAAGTGGTCGAGGCGGCAAACGGCAATCCAGACAGTTCCGCCGACAACCTTATTCCAGAGCGTGGATTCGCGACGGAGCACAGGACGGTGCAATGAGACTCCCTAACCGCGGGGGAATGGTGCGGAGTCTGGAGAAATCGGTTCTTGCGGCACAGATAAGGGGGAAGACTCGTTTAGACCGGTTGAATCATTGCTAATCAAACTTGAACTAACGGCAAGTTCGGAGGCCAGGAAGGGTTCAGAGCCTTCGGGGTCCATATCAATTATTTCGGTGGTGCTCCCGTATGAACGGCTAACAAGCAGCCGGAAAGCCAAAGGTCCCGTTCATGCCCTCAAACGTTTGATCAAAAAGATCCATGACAGAAGTACTGAAATCAGCAGGCCACGCCAGATTCATCAGCACATCTGCTGCCTCGTCGGCATAGAAGACGCCGAATAGCTTGCTCGTCTGCGCGGTGTGCCCTGGGAAGAAGCCGAGAAGGTCCACTCCGTCGCTGGACGCGAGATCGCTCCAGGCCGATGATGTGGTCCCCGGATCTCCCTGCAGGGTGTCGGCACTGGGATTGCCCCTGGCCTCCTCGCTCTGTCCCTTGACATGCTTCTCTAGCGCACGGAGAAACATTTCCGCAGAATACCATGACTTTGCAATCTCACGCAGGGCGATCATCAGAACATCAATCTGCTCGTTCGCGCAGTCGCGTAAGGCCGGTATCTGACTGCCATGAAGTAGCGCCAGGATCGCCACCGTCATGTACCAGCCCCCAATGCCAGACACGAAATTGATGGAGCCGCGTGCTAGAAAATCTTGAAAGATCCTGGCGACGCACGACGCAGCAAGCAACGCCGTTGCAGAGGCTTTGGGTAAAGCGTGAGACGAGGAATTCATGTAGAGTAGCATGATGGCGGTCAAGTAGGGCAAGTGCAATTGGTGCACGTCTCTGCGGAAATCCCGGGTCGCAGTTCTGGCGGCACCGAATGGCAGAAGCAGATGCTGAGGCAAGGATTGCACCCAATTCTGCAGCTCAAATATGATGTCGAGCGCTGGTGCAGATCGGTCACTTCCGAGACTCAGTCGCCTGCTCAAACGGCCGATGATCTCTGACAAGCGTACGTAATGGATGAATATTTCCCCCTGAGCAGCCTGGTCAGCGGGGAAATCAGTCAGGGTCGGCTGTTGGATATCGCAGTCCTCTAGATGGACGAGGCATGGGCGACCCTGACAAAGGGAGAACACTCGTTCGCGAGCCTGTCAACGTCGTGAGAAGAACGACACTCGCATCGGTCACGACCAACAACACTTACGAATAAAGCCCAGAAGATCCGTCGTCGCAGTCCAAACGTTTCACCGAGCTTCAACGAGTGATTCCTCGTGGGTTCACGGTAAAGGCCAATCTCGTGCGCCAACCGAATGGCGACGCCCGTCCAGAAGTACTGACTGTCCAGACTGACCACGTTGGGCGGGCCTGCGCTCCACCACTGCAAGAAAATGATGGCGATGATGCGAATCAGAGGGTTCGGTTCATGACTCATGTAGAACAATGTCTTGGCACGACGGTAGTAGAGCGAAGGGTGGTCGTGCTGGATGACGGGCGGGTTCACCCTGGTGCCCAGGACGGCAAGGGCTTGCTGGAGCAGCACACTTCCCGCGAATGGGTCGTCGCCGGAGTGATTCAGCTTGTCGAGAATAGGACAAAACGGGTAGCAATATTCGTGATGAGTTTCTTCAAAGGCCTGCAGGAGGAGCGGTGACATGGAAAGCGTCTCTGCCCGAAGACCGGGGATGATCGAGCTCGTGGGTAGATAGGTGGTGGTTTGACCTTGGCGAAATATTTGCATGAACCCAGACTCTCCCATGTAGCCTCGACTCAGCGAAACTTCGGGAGAAGCATCACCGGCGCCCGAGTCATGCGAATGCGTCCAAGATTCCTCGGGAAATGATTCTCGGATACCGGCTTGTGATGGCTCGGAGGCGCTGACGTCGTTGATGGCAGCAGGCATCGCCATCAGCGACGAGTCCAAATTTGCGGTCTTCAAGTCCACATTGTATTGACCGTCGTCGTTGTTCAACACGGTGTGATGAGATTCCAGGCCCTGGTCCGGCCTCGAGCCAGACATTTCATGGCTCAGCGGAACAGCCCCGCTCGTAGATGTCGATGTTACCTGAGGTAGAGACGGATACGCTGCCTGTGCTCGTCGCGCTGCACCTCCCCTCCTTGACGGTCTCAGCCTAGAGTTGCTGTGAGAAAATGCCCTGAGTAGCAAGACAAATGCCACAGCTCACCGACACACAGTACCATCACGGACGCACTTTGAACATCGGCCTGCAGCCTGAGATTCAGGGCTTTGGAGATCGCATTTGATCTAGACTCTTCAGTACGGCGACGTTCTTGGAACGACCACGATCAGTACCTTTCTGGCATGACAGGCCGTGCACACAAGGCGGGCACGCCTTGCTGGCCTTGGCCCTGAAACATCACCGACACCCTCATGCTCCATCTCAAATGCTGCAAGATCCGGAGATCCACCGTGAGTGGAGGCATCAGGTATCTTCGCGGCTGTCTACCATGGCACGGTGCAGCCTGCAGCGTCGGCTTTGCGGTAATCGGGGATGGAAAAAGAATGAAAGAGAGATTTCGGTGGTCAGCAGTTGGGACTGGTGAGAGCTGCAGAGAGCCCTCCTCCCTACTCTGGGCTTCGTAGCCGGATGCCGATATTGCCGTTGCCGTTGCCGTTCGAGCCGAGAGCCGAGCAACACGGGATGAGGCAAAGGGGGGGGGGGGTGTGGGGAGGAGGGAGGGGAAGACTGTTCAGCTTGGAATCTGATGCTCCATTCCATTGATGAGGATAACAAACTCGAAAGGGACGCTATTGCATCAAGATGATCCTATGATTGGGCCGCTCTGACAACCGAGAGTGACAACGTCGTTCTTCTATCACCTTCATAATTCAGCACCCACTGTCCCGCGTAGCCCGTCATGAAGGCTGGGAATACCGAGTCCCAGAGCCGCTGTGGCTCCAGCATCAACCGGGAGTATTGCCCCTTGACCCGTGGTCAGCAGGTGCACAACGCCACAGATCTCAACGACACTCACCCGTGATCCAGCGGGCACAGTCCGACGACAGGAACCGCACGGCTGCGCCAATATCCCAACCAGAACCCTCGGTTTTCAAAATGCTTCGTGAGGCCCGGGCTTGTCTTTCAGCCATTGACATGCCACCTTTGATGCTGAGAAATGAAATTAGCACATGCACGCAGAGCTTGGTGGCGCAACCTCACTCTACCATGGGCGTGAACACCATTCCTGCAGGGACGGTGGTCAGCTCAGGTCCACGGGAACCGAAACAGATTGAGACATCTCTCTCGCTCTGCGGATGACTAACCTGGACAGACACAATTCACCCTGATGCGATCTTTCCCGTGATGTGTAGCCTGCGCGATTTTTCCCCCGGCGTGAGATCGGGCGCAATCGAAGAATGGACCTGTGAGAAAACGTACCATTGCACGAGTGAGGTTAGGGATGGCTCCTTTGGATGTAGGATAGAAGATCGCCGGGTGACCACCCTTCAAGGACGCCGTGCTTCCAAGATTCACGATACTTCCAGCCCACTGTCCGGGATTTTTGCACATCTGGGGGATGGCATATTTGGCCATGAGGATCATCGATCCCACGTTGACTTCCAGCCCCTTGTAAAACGCCGCAATGTCAACTTCCGTCGTCGTGCCCATGGATCCATTGATCCCCACGTTATTGACGAGGATATCCAGTCGACCGTATCGCTCAATGCATGCGCGCACAACGTTTCGACATTCCTCTTCTTTGGTGACATCTGCTGCGAACGCAATGGCCGAACCCTGGACTTCATCTCGGATCATGTGCACAGTCTTCTGAGCGAGATCCAGATTCAAGTCGACACAGACAACTGAACAGCCATCCTCGGCCAGCAAGATTGCTGCTGCTCGCCCGTTTCCGATGCCGTCTGCTAATGATCCTGCCCCAGTAACGATGGCGACTCTCCCTTGCAGGCCCCTTTCAGGTCTGGAGTGTGTCATGGCAGCAAATATTGGTTTGGCTCCTTTTGGTGATGTAGACGTAAGATCTGTGCTCTGAACCCGTCGTGATACTGAGACGGGGATCCGGGAGATCATATCCTTGCTCTGGAACGAGATAGCCGCAAGCCGTGACGCTACGGCTGTCCGGGTACAGTCGGCTGAGCAGGGAGTTTTAGTAGCTCTTGGGGGCTTTTAGTTAGATTTCTGAAGGTTATCTGCATTCCGGGTGTTCCTGAGACTCCAGTAGTTGAAAATGGGTTGTGATTGTTGATACAAACCAGAGAGTAGGAATTTAAGTGGCTTCCATCTTCCCTATATCGAATCTGTAAATACGAGACCCATTCAACACGCCTCCCACTTTAATGACAATCCAGCGACCGGCTCAACGCGAAGTAGTGAAGAAGACCCTTGCAACATTTATCGACAGATGGAAGTACGTCCGGAAACCTCTGAAGTTCACCCTAGACTCTGAAACGGCAGACAGCTTATCAGGCTTGTCAGTCATGCCACGCTTTTCTCGTGGCAAGTGAGTCTCCATCACGCCAAAGAATTTGAGAACTTCGTCCTCGATCCTGCTCCGGTCGTCCCATTCCGGGAAATGAAATCTGAATTCGCCGGAATACGACAGTCCATCCCAGGGAAGCACCAAGCCCTGTAGGTGATCCAAATCGACCAGTACCATCCAGATCCACACTAGGCAATCAGCGCTCGCCGGGTCTTTGTGTTTGAAGACATAAGAAGTGCATAGGCCATCCTGGTCCTCGATATAGTGTGAGACAAGATACCAGCTACATAATTAGGCGAGATACTCCATCCCATGTGAGCATGACATAATTATACCAGCATCCGGCACTTCTCCAAGCTCAGTTCCGTAGTGATGAGGTACAGGTTGGACATAGCAAAGACGCCGAACTGCTCTTCTGGCTTTTGGAACGGCGGCCAGGCTGTACTTACAGGCGTGTGCAAACCGAGCCACGAGATATCGCGTATTCGACAATAGTGCAATATTCGTCACCAACCTCTCGAATCCCACCAGCAGCTTATTCCTGCTATTATAGCCTTTACGGACTTCGGGACGACTAAACGGAGATATCACTACCGCTTGGTTCTCCCGGCCAGGCAGAAATCCAAGCACATTCGGCCGACCCTCGAGCAGGTCCATCCAACAACAGAATCTGGACAAAGAAGATTAGCACCGTTCGGACAACAAATGCGGCTGACTTGAGTGTGACAGTAAGCCACCCCTTCCCGAGTCTCCTGTCGACCTTGGATCGGTGTATCCGGCTAGGAAAAGATCCGAGTATCTTCCTTGACGCTTAACGATAGAGTACTTTCTTTTTTAATCACCTCGGAATCGTCGCGATATCACTCGGTGCTAGTACCACACTCAAAGGACGGTTTAGGACCCTCACAGCAAGGAAACTCAAGAGGAAAATGGTGTTGATCGCAGACGGTTGATTGGCTGTTGTCTTTCGGGACGCAACCTCCTCCATGAGCAGGGCAATCGCCGAACCATTGTGTGTGAACGGTTATCTCTCTCGGGCAGACGGACTAGTAGTGGCAGTGATAGCCGCCGACTTAGCCTGGGAATCTAGCATGCGCTTTCTCTTCGCCAGCGCCTCGCGAAGAGTAAGCGGTCTCTCGGTCTTGCTGCTGTGGAGGTCGAAGAACAAATCTGCCGCTCCCTACTCTCTGCTCACCAACTGAACCCACCATGTGAAAGGCCTGTGCCAAAGAGTCCACAGATGAGTTCGATGCGCCGGTCACAAGTATTCGATGACGTTTCCCATGGTCGAGAAAGGACGGGGTAAGCGCTTGGATGACAGAATGGCTCTTGCCAGTCCCGAGGGGCTCCCTGGCAGATCATCAAACCACCAGGAGCAGCGCCCTCCATGCGAATAGCAACTTTCTGGCTTTCATTCAGTTGCAAAGCATCTTCACATGCAAAGGAGACATCAGCTAGACCTCCGTAGACGTTGCTGTCTGGGATACTGTCGAGATGATGTCCCGATAAAAGCTGTACGGGGCCTTGTTTCTTAACAAGGCGCGATCCATTGTCGTGTGATTGCTTGAGGAACACATGGGAAGACCCTGTGCCTATTTTCTGGCACGATGTTTGCCCAGACAGGTCAACTATCCAGGATGTGCCAGACTATACGGTATGTGACTATAGTCATCTCGGCATTAGTCGCTGGCATACAACCATAGGCATCCCAGTATCGAAATTCGGAACATCTCTAGGAGAACCATGGAAGCTATCTTCACGTACCTTTCAAGCCTGGGAGACCCCAGATAGACCACTATTCTTACAGTACCAAGATAAGCGCTCGCCCTTTCGCACTCGCCCTGGTTTTCCGTCTAGGGATCCGAGAGGAACCCACGGACTGTGAAGGCTAGGACTTTTGCTTCGGGCGACGCGCAGAATGCAGCCTGACACACAATTCAAACGCAATGCTACTCGGATGCCACTGCTTTCTCGGAAGAATGCGAGTCGACAGGCAGCAGCAGTCATATCGAAGTGCACGCCACCCAGCCCACCAACTCATGTGCCCGACGGTCCTGTGGTAAGCGCATTTCTCACGTCCACACCCTTGTCAGATGCCAGATTTATCAGGCCTATTATCCAACCAAGTACTGGTGTGATTCTAGACCTCCGCGTGGGCACAGCAGCGTGAGGACATACATGACACGCCGTTGAATACTCCGTACAAGGCGGTCCGTTCCATTCCAGTCCATCCACAGGATCGAATGTCCTTGCTCAGCTACAGAACTACCGACTTCAAGGTGGCTTTCACGCCACATCACTTCTAATCATCAAAAGACGCGCTCTGGTTACACCTCGAAGATATCCTCTCCAACTCTCTCCCTCACCATCCTGACCCAGTCTCTCACACTGTTTTCGACGTCCTCATCGTCGTCTTCTAGCATTTCGTTCACGTAAACCATCGTCTCTCCACTTCCGCCGACTGCGACTCCACCGTCAGCCGCGGAGATGGATGATTGCCCTAGCACCACGTTCTGAAGCCACTCCTCGCCCAGGTCCTCGGATTCTGTCAGCGAGATGTGGGTTTTGATCGAGGCCAGACGCACGGCGGCGTGCTCGTGGTGCCGAAGCTGGCAGAGGAGGTGGTTCAGGGTGTGGTGGTGGGCCGGGACGTCTTGAACGGCCGTGGCCAGTGCAACGACTGCCTTGAGAATAGGTTCCCTGATGGGACTCCGCGTGAAATCTCGCGACAGAGACTTGGTGTTCTTGTGGCTTGCAAGAAGCTCGTACTGTCCGATGAGGAGCGTGGCGAGTGGTTGAAAGTGCGAGGGAGAGGTAAAGAAGCCGTCAGCGTCGTGCTTCGCCACTGTCGACAACAGGCTCAGTGCCTCAGTGTAGACCTCTTGATCTTGATGATCGACCTCGGGCCGAAGGCGTAGAGTTCTTGCTCCCTGTGTGTCGTGGTTGCCGATCGCCGCTCTCAGAACCTCGTTACACTCTGGCAGAATGTAACTTGCGTAGCTTGTAACGATGCTCTTGAGGCTTTCGAAGAAATGCGAGGCAAGGGAGAACAGACTGCCTAGCCTCGCTATTCGTCCGCTATTCTTGCGATCTGACATTTTGTCGGTGTCTTCACTCTCGGGTCCATCCCCGGGGGATTCGCTCCGGGACCACTCGACCCAGCTCTCGAAGATAGGTCTGAAGGTAGTGTCATTGAGCTTGTAGATGAGCGCTTCACTCAGGTTGAACAGATTGTTTTCAATATTTCGCAGCTCGTCGGCTTGAAGGAGGTCGCCCGTAGCATTGCCCGCGTTCACGAGGGCGTTGACCCTGTTGACTCGTCGAAGATCCATTACCTGTAGAATAAAGTTCGACAGATCTTCTACAGCCCTGCTCACTGTAGACTTGGAATTTCGCTTGATGGCTCGTGACAACATATCCAACCACTCACCGATGGCATCTGCGTTGACCACACTTGCCTGCCAGGCCTGGCGCAAACTGGCAACGAGTGAAGCCAGCTCGACCTTGTCGGCGACAAGATTCAACAGGTCAATACGGGATTCTTCCCAAGAAGTCCGTGGCTCCAGGGTACTTCTCACTTCTCCCAGATATGTCGCCATAATCTGAGACATTCCTATGCAAGATTTGCAGGACGACTCAAAGATTTCCACCAAGTTTTCGTCGGATATTATGAAGGGGACATGCATGACGAAGGAAGAAAGAAGCATGTAGCAGGTATTGTGAAGCTCCACCTTTCCATCCTTGGGGCCTTTCGGTCCCTTCAGATCCTCCAAGCTTGAATACAATAGTCGGAAAACCTTCGGTATCGCTACCAATACGATCGGCACAGATGCTTCTTTGAGTACTTCCGTTGCAGTCGTCAAACAGAGCAGCGACATGATTTGTGTCCTCTCATCTTTCGATTCGAGGCCTTGACCGCCGTCATCTGTGAGTGTAGAAGAGGCCGAGACAACCGCGTCCGGGTGCTTTCGGCCATACAGCTCAAGGATGCGGTCGAGGCATTCGATTGCTGCGTGTCGCAGGTTCTCGTCGTCCGTGCTCTTGACAATGACCCCGAGAGTAGGGAGGACCGAGATCGCGCTGGACTGGCTCTTTTTGTCCTTGGACGCGGGGCCAGGTTGATGTAGTTGCGAAGCTAACACACGGAGCGCCAAGGGCTTCAGATCCGCGTGCTCAGTTTGCTCAAGCTCATCGAGAAGAGTTGGCATAATATCAAGTAAGTCTGCAAGAGAAGGTAACTCGAGCAAGGCGCTGAGACATTTCTTCGTCGGCGGTGCCAGACTCTTGTGCTGCGTCTTCTGAGACTTAAGCATGTTGAGGAGACGGGAGATGCAAAGTTTGAACTCGGTCCAGAAGGGAGTCTCATCAGGTCGGTCAGGCTTGGTGAGTCGAGCAATTCGTGTCTTGAGTGCCTTTGGAGCCAGCAGTCGAGCGGCCACTTGGAGCAGGTCCGAGGCTACTGCCTCTCTCTTGTCAATTGGTGTGACCCTTGTGATATCTAGGAGGGTTTCAGCGTCGTGCGGCTTCTCGCTGAAGGTGTCGAGAGTCAAGTCCAAGATCTTTCGAAAGGTCAGAACTTGAGTGGAAGCCGGAAACTCCGCTGTTAGTCTTGTGAGGAATGTCCACATGTCTTCAGTATTTCTCCTGGAAGTAAGCAGTGCGATGACCGCGAATGAGAAATCATCAGCACCGAGCCTGCTCAATAGCCGCTGGTAGAACGATACTCTCCTGTGCTGAGGAACATGTTCGTAAGCCGTGACGAAGCTCGATAGGAGATTTGAGGTGGAGTGGATGAGGTGCTTAGCATCTTGCTTTTTCAAGCTCGCCACCAAAGGAGGAATGATCTCGTCAATGGCACGATTGGTGACGTAGATGGACCGTTCGTCGTCTTTCGACAAAATGCTTCTGCCCTTGAAAGTGAAGATTGGCATGATTGTGTGCAATATCCGATCCGGAGCAAGCGCTGCCAGAGAAGCGGAGAGGAGGAGCGCCGTGCTTTGCACTTGCACATTGTCCGATGATCGCACGCACTCAGTCACCAGGTCGGCACGAATGCTTGTCATGTCAATATTTGGCTTGCGAGCTTGCCGGGCCTTGTCAACGATGGCCAGTATGTTGCTGAGGCAGAGGCAGAGCAAATACGGCGACTCGGACGCAGTCTTGTCCCTCAGGCGATTCAAGCCTATCAAGACTTCGAACAAGCCGCCAAGCAGTTGAGGATGGTTTTCGGGTTGAGAGTCCTCCACCAGCTCAATTGCCAAGGTCATTCTTGCTCCGCTGGAATTCCGCTCCCCGGCTAGTTCCTTTGGGATGCTCTCGCGGCCATGACTCAGCCGCCGCCGCTTCTTGGGAGGGACGTCTGTCGGTATTTGAGCAAGACCGGATAAAGATTGATCGAGGATAGCAGCCAGGTTTTCAGTGGTGAGCGCAACAGTATGCAAAACATGGCGGCTACCGGCTGCATAGGTCGCATTTTCTGAGAAGGACATCTCGAAAAGACGTACAACTACAGCATTCTGAGACTCGCGGCGCAGGATATCCCAAATGGCAGCGATATGATCGAAGAAAATTGTCGCTAAAGAAGGACGTGGCTGGAACTTTCCCTCGGCGAGCATGTCCAGAATGTGCTCAACAGCTTCCTTGTCTTGTGGAGCGATCAGTTGGATAGCAAGGGCATCAATTTGTGGCACGGCCAGACCTTCCGCGGATGCCGCAGCCTCCGCATCAGCCGGTGACAGCGAGGCCCATCTGTCAAGAACAGGCGCAAGAGTCTTACTCGTCGCTGCAGCACCAACCTTATGTACTCCCATAAGCAGCTGCGTGATGCCCATTTTGATCCTCAAAAGAGGGCAGGCTAGTGCGCAACCAGTCAGAAGGTCAAACAAAGCTTGCTTCGAAGTCTTCTTCAGCTCGGTATCAGATGTCTTTGACGGTGTGGCATGATCATGACCATCCAAAGCCGCCGTCAATACTTTGCGCATCTCGGATGGATCTAGGATGTACTCCTCCAAGTGAGGGAGATACAGCTGGTTCAGAAGCTTGTCCGCTTGCGCTAGAGATATTCGCTTGACATTGGTCATGGTAAGCGCGTCGTAAGTTGTGGTTCCACTTTGATGTTGCTCTTGCTCTTGTTGCAGATTCTGGGAGATGGATTTCTGTATAACTAAAACACAGGCCGCAGCAGCCCTTCTGACAGGTTGAGCGGAGTCGGAAAGGAGGACGGTGATGTAAGGGATGAGTAACTGCGTGTCAAGTGGGAATCCTTGGTTGAGTGACTTCGAGAGACCTTGGATGGCAACACACCGCTCCATGGTTGAGAAGGGCCCTAGGGATATTCTCAGCAGAAAACTAATGTAGAAAATTGAAGCTGCTTTCGGCTTTTGTCTCCATAAGGGAAGCTCTTCGAACTCGGTCAAAGACCGCTCATTTCGGCAACAGTGGGTGAACGCTCGGGCAAGCTGGTCAAAAAGTGGTGAAGGCCCGTGTGCAAGACAGGACAGCTCCGCGGTTTGAGCAGGGAAAGATGCTATCATTGCCTTTACTGTGTCCTCGGTGGGTGTTGAATCGGCTCCACGATCGTCAAAGTCACTGGGGGCCGACTCAATCAGGCCGGATGGCTGCGGAGATTCAATGGTACTCTCTAACAAGTGCTCGACCAACGACTGAGAGAGGCCTGCTAGTGTCGAGGCCTGGGAGAATGCCGGTGAGAAATCTGGAGAGTCGTTCAGGGCTTTTAAAAGTCGAGTGAGATGAGTCTGAAGAGGTGAGTCGACCGGAAGTGAGGCGTCGGTATGTGGCAGCTTTCGAAGTAGAATAGCAACCAGCTGGCTTTTTATCGGTGGCGGAAAAACCCTTCCAGCCAGATCAAATATTGTTTCGACAAATTGAAACCTTACATGAAGGTTCTTCTGCTTTACTCCCGAGAGTGCTGACGTGACAAGCGCCGCACACAGTGACGCCACCGACACCTCTTTATGCAGATCCAACAAGGACGCCGTGAGGTCTTTGGCTCGCAAGAAAACCTCGAGAACATCCTTCGGCACTCTGCTGTCAAGCTTCTTCGTAACAAGCATCGCCAGACATGCCAGAGCAGATTTTGAATCAGCCTCGTCGTTTGCGATAAAAGGTGCAATGGCTTTCATCAAGGCATCAATCACATGATCCTCGAGGTCCGCGTTAGCAGCCAGAACAAGCGAGATCGTGAAGCAAGCAAGGGTCAATTCTGGACAGCCCCTCAGCTCAAGTCCCTCATTCAGCAATGGCAAGATCTTTAGCAGCACGTCTTCAGTTCGTTGCTTTTGTACCTCTTTTCTCCCACTCTTGAGTTGGTTCAGTCTCCCTGTGATTGCCTCGAGAACGACGCTGCTCCAGAAGCGCAGGAGCTGAGGATAAGCTGCGCCTTCCTGGCAGACACGAAGGGTATGGTTGTTGAAGTACGAGGAAAAGGCATCGTTGTGTGTGGCGCTATAGACTATGCTGTGCCGGGGAACGTTGACTGCGTCTTTGTGATAAGGGCCCAAGAATTTCCATTCGCTAGCAATCCTGTTGGCGGGAACTATGCTTAGGACATTCCTAAACACAGTCGTCTCGTGGTATGGTAGGAACGTTGCGAGCAAGGCGTTTGTGTTGTAGACATGCACTCGGAATCTTCTTATAAGCCATTCGACTGCTTTGATGCCCGGACGCAGCATTACTTTCGACCCCAAAAGCCCTAGACATCGCTCAAGGACCACATCTAGTGCTTCATTTTGCGGCTTGCTCATATGTTCTCGATCTTGGTCCTTGGCCAGGGGACTGTACAGATTTTGTTCGAACTCGCGCAACCTCGAGTCTAGCAGACACGTCTCTCGGAAGCCCTCGAGGCATATTTGGAAGATTGTCTCCCAGTCTTGTTTGATGGCGACGTTCCGTTCAAATATCAGGGACTCGGCGTGGGCATCTCGTCGGGCTCGAAGGTCGAGTTCGTTGGTCGAGTTTGCGGCGATGTTGCGCAGCTGCGCAGCGAATGTCGATGTCATGGCCACCGGTGTAGGGAGAGATCAGGCAATGACTGCAGTGATTCCATCAGCGCTGCGGCATACGACGGCAGCTACAAATTGTGGGCAGTGCCTGGCGAGCCTGGTCTCGAAAAATTCACTGTTCAGTTAATCGACGCAGGAAAAAAAGTTGGAGATCGGACATTGCGGGGTTTATTTCATGCAAAGAAAGTGGATTCATTCAGCCTCGTCATTGCAGCCTTGTTACCACTGCGTCATCAAGGCTAGTACAAAACATCAGAGATGTCTATGTGAAGCCGCATGCCTCGATCAGCCATGTTTTGATACACCCATTTCAATGCCTCATCGCCAAGAGCACTTCTCAGAGTGGAATCAGTGAATGCCAGCATGCATAAATTCTTCGACCACGGACATGCTCGTAGCGATGCGTACAAGGCCTCTCGAGCTTGGCTTGCCAATGTCGCCAGATCCTCTTTCGAGGGAGGCCTGATGCCGCCGGTACTGCTGCGATTCGACCCACCTTGCCGGACAACGAGAGATGCCTCCCATAGAACAAATGCCTCCCACAGCTCTACACTATCGTGTCCTGGTGAGCCGACTCGAGTAGCACGCTTGAATGCCGAGCGAATGCTGTGAACAGTGCGTCCCGAGTATGCAGGTCTGGTGAGTTCTACTAGAACATCAAAGATGCACGGAACTACGCTTCCTGTCGTGTTGGTGTCCTGTTCTAACCTTGCCACCGAGTCGACTTGGCGCAAACGGTCAATAGCTCCAGCTTTCCGCGAAAAATAAGAATTGAGTATCAGGAGAATGAGGTTGTCTGAGAAAGTTCGCACGGATTGTGCTAAGATGGCGTTAAGCACGCGCGGTTTGAAGTCCTTTTTGAAAATGACCGCATGCGCATAGATGAATCGTGCTTGTTGTTCGTGTATTGCTTCATTCAGAGCGGATTTCGATTTCGAGACACCCGTATGCGGTTTGAGACAATCCTGGTAGGTGTCCAGAGCCACTTCGAGCCGCAAGCCGCTATTAAGGTATCGGTGATATGCCAACACATCGACCATGGCACGCAATGATACAGAGTCACCTTTTAAGCCAGTAATCTCGATTTGTCGCTTGATGTGTTGCTCAACCTTGATCTGTGCCGCTGCAGAAGATGCCTGAATGTTCAAGTTCTCCGCTTTGAATCTTGCCAAGTCGAAGACTTGGTCGGCCAGCATGCTGAGCAATGTCCTCGCCTGGGTGAAGTGTCCCCGGCACATATGGGAGTAGGCCCAATTCCGCCACATGTAGAAGACATGCATGCGTCCATCCCCGTCAAACGACGTCCTCATCGAAAGCGCGGTGGACCACACTTTCTCCGCTGACTCGAAGTTCCCAAGTTGAGCTTCCAGCAAGGCAAATGCGTCGTAAAGCCTGAGACTATCACCTTTGTCCTTGAGAAATGATCTTGCCTGCTTCCTGGCACCTTTGAGGTCAATACCTGCGTCAAAAGCAACAGCATATTCCATGATCCCCGCGAGCATTTCTCCATCATTTGGCAACCCCGCGAGCTGAGCAATAACCCTACGCAAGAACTCGGGACTTGAGTCCAGAAGTCTTCCAGAGCGAGGTCCTAGGTTTTCAGGTAATCGACATGCACGTTGCTTGACGGCGAAAGACACTTCGTCGTAGTGCATATATATACCGATTCGTTCGTCTCCTTGCTCAACCAGGTCTACAAGATTGGAACCGCTGGGGGATTGGTTGCAGATGAATGGATCACCCTTCCACGCGCTGCCGTCGTCGAATGACGTGATCGGAGGCAGGCCTGCAAACAGCAAGAAGCCGTCGACTAGCAACCCGAGAGCAGAGTCGGAAGAGGGGCGAAAGAGTAACTCTTCGATGTCTGCAAAGAGAACGATGCGGTACGAATCATCCTCGCCGACTTCGTCGAGGGATCTTGCAGGTAAGCTTGCAGTCTGTTCGAGCTCCGTTTCGGCCGCGGCCCACTGCTGGATGTCCATATTTTCGGTTTGGAATGACCTGTCTGTTATAGGAACTGGCTCAAAAGCTGGATCTGAGACCCAGCCCTTGGAACCTTCCTCGCCGATGCGCGCAACCTCTCTATCCCAAAAGGCTCGGAACAGTGACATGGAGTCATTCGATTGTAGATGTTGAGGTTGAGGCTGGAAACAGTTCCATTCGAGAAGTGCCTGCCAAATCCCCACCGCTCGTTCAGTAAATCCCGTCTGCCATAAGAGCATAGTCAAGCGTAGTAGTATATAGACACAATTCGAGTCTCTCTGGCGATCCGTTGTCCCCGGCCTAGGCACCCGAAACGTCTTGAGCCAATTCAGGTGGGCTTGGAGACAGTCTTCAACGCTGAATCTGACTGAGTTGGTCTGGACAAAGTCGACATAGAGCTTCCACAGATCGAATGAGGCACCGTCGCCAAGAAATGCCCTCCACCTTGAGGCATGCTTGTCTACATCCCAGACTGCCCTTGCCTCTCGCATCAGGCCGACAATCAGGGCATGCCGGCCGTCTTGGGATTTAACATGCGACAAAGCCTGCTCATATAGGGATATTTTGCGTTCGCTGAGGTCCCTGGGTGATGGCGAGTTGCCCAGGTTGTCGTAAAGAAGATCTTTTTGAAACTCGATCAAGGCGAGCCATGGCGAGGCAGAATCAGGTTGCTCTTTCGTAGCTTTGGATAGTTCGAGATGTCTTTGGTGGATAGGACTTTTCTTATAGGCTTCAAAGGGGTCCTCCGCGACTGCTGCTTCTGCTACATCCGGCTCGGACTCTTCACTTTCCTCTGCCTCTGCAGCTATTCGTAAATGATCTATTCCAAGCCCTCTCCTCTTCCGGCGCTGACCAGGCTCGAGCACGAGAAAGTCTTGCTCCAGATCGGTCCAGGTGCTGGGTTTATCGTGAATAATTGTCGTGGCGGCATCGTTATCAACAAACTTTGTAAGTAGAGTCTCCTTGCGTGATTTTCGCGTCGAATCGCTCTCTGCATCTTCCACCCGAAGTGCTGTCTCAGATCTAGACGTAATGCGATACTTTGGGTCGAGTCCTAATATGCGACCGCGACCGGCTGGTCGATAGCGTGGGACCGAGTTGCGATGTAAGGACCCATAGGCTAAAATCTGCATATCCCCTTTACGGTCTTCGACAAAGATAGAGGATTGACTGTTGGTGCGGGGTTCCCGTCGAGCCGTCGGTACGTTTGTTGCGGTGATAGCCGAAGAAGAACGTTGATATACATGATGTGAGTTTTTCTGATGGGCAGATGGGATGTCATATTGCGAGCGAGACATGATGGGCCAGAGAGACCTACCGGGGAGAATGTTGCTGGCCGCCAAGCTTAGGCGGAGTGCAAGTCATACATGGGATGAAACGTACATCTTGCTGTACCAGCAGCGGAGTCGAAAATTGACCTCGCCCAATGTGAGTCTCTCGAAGAGGTGAAGTGAGGATGAAGTGAAGACGGCAGCTTCCCGGCACGGTCAAGCATATGCCAAGCGCGCTATTCCTCTTACGGAAATGGGTTAGCACGCTCGGCGGGCGCCACGCTCAGCGCATCCCGTTGGTGCCGTGTCCCTTTGAAGGTCGTTCGGCTCACCTGCAACGGCGAAGCCAGGCCGAAAGACTTCTACACTGTCCTTGTGAACTCGTACCACGCGCTGGGATGTCCACTATTCTGCCGAAACTTTAGCAGCGTCGCATGTGCCGCCGGAAGATTAGTCCCTACATCCTGGCAAAAGATTGTAGCTCTGAAGAGCCGCTCGTTTTCTAGTTTGTCGGTCCTGGTGGCAAGCTGACTGCAGTTGTTTGTTCATGAATCGCAGATTTCTTCACACCGTGTCCGTATAATGACACGCCGTAACATACACTCCAGCGCTGCTAGCACTGTCACAACTGGACCAGCGTCAACCGCAAGCCGACGGGAAACAGCCTCGTCAGCATCTGGCCGCTGATCGCAAAGGGTCTGAATGTGCTGACTGACTCCGAGTGAGCATCGAGGTACCTTTCGGTGGACAGCGGCTTGCAACCTCGCCTGCGCAGCATGATAACGCCTGCCAGCCTACCCTCTCCTCTGCCACATGTCTCCTGCCAAAAAGGCCGACAAAATCGTCTTCATCAACGTGCCAGGTGACAAGAATGCCCTGTCACAGCGTGATCGCGAATTGCAGGCAGCGGCAGCACGTGCGCACGCTGCTCGAGTATCCAGACGTCCTCCTCAAAAGTCTGGGATTGTGAAGCATGAACCAGGCGGCCATCCAGGAATCACGTTGTCGGCATTGCTCGGTTCGCCCAGTGCCGTTGCCATACGACCGTCGCGTGGGAAAGCCAAGCGATGGCCCAAGGTCCTGGAGGAGGCAGGTGAAGACTATGATACTCTATTGAACAAAAGAAGAATATATGCTGTCTCAGCGTCCAGCTTGGGTCAGGGTCAAGTCGATCCTTTCGACAGTGCGCCGGTAAAGGGCCTGGACAATTTTATTTACTCAATTCTCGACTTTGGTATGTTTCCATTGGGCAAGGTTCTTGTGCAGGATACTGATTACACCCTTGCAGCATACGACTATGCGTTCCCCTCGTTCGTCCCAGCTGCTCCTACCAAAGCTTTACCCACTCACCGTGCCAATCGGCGCAGGCTCGGTCGACAATTTGGGTTCCTTCTCGAAGCTCAGATAGTGGCGGCTGCTAAATTCCAATTGAGTCCTATGATATCGTTGACGGAACAAAACCGAAGACGTGTACAAGCAATCAACGAAGTCCACGAGAAGAGAGCCGTAAACCTCCTCGATCAGGAGCTTCGGCGCCTGGGCACCACTCCCTCTGATACCGTAATCTATGCTTCAGCCCTTCTGGCCTACGTTTCAGGGCCTAGCTATGACCGGACCTCGACTCGACATCCTAAATCACCGCTGGCGACAGCCCAGAACCTTCACGCTATGGGCCACCTTGACATCATTCCAGAGCGCGTTCAGGGCGTGCGGACATTAGTACAGCGGAGGGGCGGTATTGACGCGCTAAGCATGCCGTTTCAGCGCATCGTCTTGACATAGTAAGTCGCTCAAAATCCCCGAAACCAAATCTACCCACAGTAACATTACTACAGTCTCGACACCATTGTGTCTACTAGACTAGGCGTGCGGCCAGGTTGGACGTGGCCTGCGGCGGTCCCAGAATCCCTACGACATACCGGCGAGCATATCCTCGATCAGACAGCCGCCCAATTGATGCAGGTGATGGGCTCTGGTTTCAGCGAGTTGCAGCATGAACAGATGCGTCAGACGCTCTTTCTGATGTGCGAAGCCACTGCGGCACTTGATCACTGTCACCGAGGGGGACCATCTCCTCCTTCGATGTAGGTTGTCCCCTGTATGGGTCACTCCAGGTATTGATATCTACGTAAGCTAATGGGGATCAACAGTTGGGACGTTGCCCGGATCAGGCTTGCGGTGCAGCACAGATTATGCTCGTTCGACCCGCTTACCCCAGAGCAGATCAGCTTAGCTGACCTACAGTTTGAGCTCTGCCGACTGTCGGCACTGATCTACAGTGATCTGGTACTGTTTCCCATTCCCGAACAATCAGACGTCAAGCCCCCACTCTTCTACGACCTTGGTCGCACGCTGGACAAATACGAGTCTGTTGCAGAACCCTCACAGATTGACCGAGATTTCCTGGCGTGGTGTGTCCTGCTCGCAGCGGCCGCCTCGATCTCTTACCCAGTCTTCCGAACTCAGTTTATCCAGCGGCTTGAAGGGCTCGTTGGCTCCGATGAAAGATTACGAGACTGGGAGTTCTACGAGGGCGTGGTAAAAAGGTATCTTTGGTGGGGTTATTTGCTTGATCCACCAGCCAAAGAAGCGTTCGCTGCGATCTCGTGGCCGGACACTGTTACAAATGGGGTTGGTCTTTCCCTTGATCGCCAACAGGGCCGTCATATCAAGCAGCCTTACCGGTGTGATTCTCCTGGAGGTTAAAATCAAATCTTGAGCACAGTTTTTAAGACTCTACGCTTGACGCAAACTATAACGCCTTTCAGTCCAAACATAGACAGCCAGAGGTGTATCATTGAGGCTTCATCTATCCTCCCGGCCATCTAGGACCAGCACAGGCGAGCATTGTTGTAGTCCCTGAGTGTCACTATGGTGGAGTCGACCGTAGCAGTGAGCATTGGTCTGTCGTGGTGTCGCGCCGAAAGTGCAAATGACTCAGAGGAACCATCACGTTAAGAGTTCACGTGGCGCATGACTCAGGTTACTCGAATAGTTGGCAAAGATAACTTCATTTTTGGCCTCAGGAAGAGCTTAAGAATCAATGCAATTGTCAAAGTCCTGTACCTAGGATCGAGGCCACCGCCTAGGTAACTCGGCAGGCTACTTTAGGCGCCAACTCTCCATAAGCTTTCCGACGGGCACTGGGGCTACTATGGACAGGCTGCGGGCTGCGGAATACCGGCTAGAGTAAACTACCCAGTACATGTAGACTTGCAGTTCGGCTATTATCGATGTGCCCCCACAAGCCTAGATTTCATGTTTTCCCTAGAAATCCCCATTGGGCATCCCTCGGTGCATCCCCGCGAGCTTCCCTGACTGCGTCACGGCGGCTTCCCTGCCTCCCCCAGGCCAGTTTTGGTGCCGCACCTGCATCGAAGCAGGAGAGAAGCCATGCGTGATCGATGATGGCGATCGCGACACGCCCACCAACAATCGTACTCGTTGCGTCACGCATTTGACAATTCCTGCGACGTTAACTAGCGAGTTGACATGCGCTTGCTGCGCGGTACTTGCCATTTGTCCTCTTTCTGGGGACGTGTCACACCCAGTTGAGGTCGGTTCTCGTCAGCACGTCCTCCCATGGACACGACTTCTTCTAAGAGGCAGACTCCTTCCTCCTCCACCACCGATGACAGTGCTCCCCCGGCGAAGAAGATCAAGACCGTCGCCGAAGTCCCGGCCCAATACAGCGATGCGGTCCGAAAGAAGCTGGCGGCCACCTCGCGGACCGGCCAGGCCTGCGATCGGTGTAAAGAGAGAAAGATGAAATGTGATAGTGATCCCGTGGCATGTCAACCTTGTCGCCAGAAAGGGCTTCGGTGCTACACGACCGACCGAGTTACAGGCCACGCGCGCGAAAGAGGAGAATCGGATCGCACAGAAAACGAGCTGTCGTTCCTGAGAGACCAATTGGCGGCGTACCAGCAAAGGTACGGCCCCATACAGCCGGGTGAGCCAAGTGGTGTCGGGCACGCGACGACCTCCAGCGTGTCGATACCGCAGCCCACGTTGTATTCGGCCTCGTCCGCAGCATCGGTGCCAGACGCGAAGTATGTTGGGTGGCCTGCGCCTGATCATTCTGAGCCGCTCCATTCGGGCCCAGTCAAAGGCACAGTCGTCGACATCATGGATGGGACCATCGACATTGCCGACTGGGAGTGTGACATGATGAGAGAATACCCGGGAGAAATGGTGAACAAATTCAACCTCTCCAAGACGTCCATTGTCAACACCATCTACGGCTACCAACGAGTCGACGATCCCAAGCTACCACCGAAAGAGGAGGCACTGCGCGACTCGAATCATTTCCTGGTCATCATGTCACAATACGTGCCAGTTGTCCATCGCCCCAGCTTTATGGATCTGGTCAATAGGTTTTACGACCAGCCGGAGACACTGTCCGCGGCTGAGCGCGTCCAGGTGGTTATCGTTTTTGCAGTCATCGCACATCAGACGGCCGTTCGAAACCACCTTCATTCGGCCGAGAAGTTTGAGGAGTCGCATCGCTACTTCCACTACGCTCTAGGGTATTACCGTGAATTGCTTCATGACCAGTCATTGGCGTCCATGCAGGCAATGGCCTTGATCATCGTTCACTTGCGCAACCTGCCCAAACCAGGAATATCATGGAAGTTCTGCCATGAGGTCCTCCTTCGGGCAATAGAACTCGACTACCATCGAGATCCAGACAAGACGCAGCTGCCCGACGACGAGACCGATCCACTGTCGAAAGAGCTGCGCAAGCGAGTCTTCCACTCGATACTGGGGGTCTGTGTCACGACAGGTTGCCGTGTCGGTCTGCCCGCACCGTGGCAGTTCCAGCACCTCGACTTGCCTCTGCCCAGGGCTATCAAAGATTCCGAGATATCCAGGCACGGCATTAACCCAGATCTGTCGGGGCAATGCGACTTCTGGCCCTGTCTACATCTGGCCAAACTCCTGCCGCTTCTGACAGAATTGCACAACCATATTGTCGCGGTGCGCAAGCCTGCTGCCGACTATCTCCGAACCGTCGAGGGGCTGAACGCAAAGATAATAGCCTGGAGACAGGACTGGGATGATTCCATGAGGTCTGAGCCTAACAGGCACGTCAATCTGGTGGTGGCAACTCTCCTCTTCGAGACGTGGGCCGCTGAATATCAATTAAATCTGCATCATCCTGTATGTTGCACCAGTGAAGATCCCGAGGTGATTGAGAGACATCTGGACGTGTGTCACAAGTCCGCCAAGCGGCTCCTGCAAAGCTTCCACATACTGTCGAGCAGGTATAAAGGCGTGGACTTCACGTGGCATTCGACATTGGCATATGCTACCGGCTTCGGCATCACACTCTACGTCTACCGAAGACGGAAAGGTCCCGTGACAATGGAGCAATTTGAGGCAATGAGGAATGAGCTGAAGGGCTGGACGTCTTTGATGGCGTATGCTGACCTGGTACTGAGTACGTCAAGGATTTGGACTGCGGTAGCACTGCCGTGACTGACTTATGCAGGAACGGGAAATCACCTCCAACGACAATTTCAGCCTCGCGTTCAAGCTCTCGAGGACGAATATCGGCGACTTATGGTGGACCAGCCTTCAAAGCCCAATGGTACTCACAAGCCCATCAGTCCAATCAATGGCTCCAATACCGGTCTCACCGTCAATGTCGAGCAGCCGGCCATGTCATTTCAAGAGCCCCCCAATCCCAATTCTCTCAAGCACAGGAACAGCTTGCCTCAATCCATGTTCATGCAGTCCCAGATCCTGCCTCCCAACCCGCCACAGTCTCCGTTAACCCATCAGCAGTCATGGCCACCAACATACACCCTTTTACCCCAACCACAAGCACAAGGACAGATCACTGGTCAAGGATCGGCTCTCACGTCGCCAATCTATCCGAGCTTCTCGCAAGCAGCCACGAGTGGTCTCTCGACCCCTGGAACCTATCCACCAATCCCGACATCTTTAGCGTCCTTGCTCAACGATTCCGGGAACTTCTACGTGGGCTATCAGACGCCACCACAGAACCAGAACAGTCTTGGGGGAACCGCCGCAGTTGGTGGAGGCGGCGATCCCTCAATGGCATTCTCTCCCAGTCACTACTTCGACGGTCCGGGGCCACTGACATGGCCTTTGATCAGTATGCCACCTGGCCAACAATCATGACGAGCCCACTATCTACTAATTTGCTGCAAGATTCAGCACCAGTCTGTGCAAGATTCCCTTTTACCATACAGCAGGATTTAATGATGCAAGGACGAAGAATTGTACATATTCACAAGAGGAATGTCATTGACTGTTTTCCTGCCGAAGCTCGTTGACAGTATTTGTGCTCCTGATGTTTATGCCCCTTGCCCTGCAATACTTCCTGGTATAACGCTGTATGTACCCAGCTCCGCGAGGTTATGCTGTCGGAACTGGGAGTCTTCAGTTGACGCATTGGCTGGTCTCCTCATTGCCACTTCTGCCGTCATACTTTTCTCGACGCGGATCAGCCTCAAACAGCCACTCATTCACCGGTCGCTCCTCGCCCAGCGATCGAAGAACCTCAACAGCCGGGTGTCTCCACGTTACAGTAGGTGCCGTTGCACGTTGAGATCCCTCACAAGGCTCGGATATAATCCGACTCCTCGATTTATACGGCCTTGGATCAGACAGTCCCAGTTTGGTCGACTCATCATTACACCAGGGGGTGCAGCTTACTGTGTACATGCGCTAGGACCGTGTCTCACATCATGTCTCCGCCTGAATTTTGGCCGCTGTGCCACTCTATGTACATACCACACCTCCGCTTTCCGGATCATAGTGGTTACGCGAGGGGCACGCGAGGAGTATGATGGTGACATTGTCTGGGCCACCACATTCACTGGTTTCGAGGTCAGCCCGTTCGTCATAGTGGTACGGGCGTCGCGGGTGCAAGCGCCTTCACTCTTTCGAAGCATTGTTCACGACGAGTACTTGGGGCCGGATGCGAATTCGTGGATTCGAAGACATTCTTCAAATCAGAGCAGCCTGAACTGGCCTCAACTCAGAGACTACAGATTTGTCTACTATTCCGATCAAATTCAATTCGTGTTCCTCGAATGTTCCAGTACGAGCTGGCCCCCGTGCAGCTGGAACCACAAGTTCACGCGGGAGACGAAGCGAGAAAGATGCTGCCCAGATTAGGTATCAAAGCAAACCCGCTCCTTTTCACTCTGAACAAGCTGAAAGGAGTGAGAGAAAAAGCGCGTGGAATGGCAACGACAAGGTGGTATGAATACTCGCAATCATTGAATCAGCACCGGAGATCTCTGCATCCGAGATTCATGGCAAGAACAAAGCATCGTCTACCAGGAAGATCAGCAACTTGCCACTGATCGTTCGTTTCGCGGACAAGATCCTGCTTCGCGCTTCCGAGTGTGTCGCCATCTCGGAGGTCGTATTCGCGGCACTCACTCACCCAGGTCATCTACACCCTGTGCGCAGCCCTCACTCTACATCTTTTACGGGCGGAAATAACGGGGCGTCAAAGCCGCAAAACGCACATCGCTTACGGAGTACTGGGTACAGTCTTGTAATTTGAGGGAGCAGGAACCCCAGCCTCGTTACGTTTTGGCAGGGACATCGGCTCATTCGCACGCAACTCAACGCGTCATCGTCCGGTGGTGATGGCAAGCTCGAATACACGTTCGCCCGAAGAGATGATCTGCCATGATGGTGTCGTCGGGTCATTCATCACAGTTTTTGGGCCCTGCTTTTGCACAGTGCGGACTTTACCTCCGTGGTCGGGGGCATCACGATCGGCATTCAGCATTCTCGACTGTCTAGGCAGGCACAGTCCTTTTCCTTCCCTTTGGGACATTGTCCTGTCGAGCGTCTCGAGCGTCTCATTGTGACCTACGCTCCCGTCGACGCCGCTGACCATTAAGTACTCAGCGGCTTGTCGCTACACGCTCGGGCGACGACCGATCCGTTCCAATGATTCGAGGCAGATGGCCGACCGGCCGGTTTCGGGTTCCGGATTGTCTTTAGAGCCCCGCCTGCCTTGTCAACGGTCACCACCTGCTGTCCGGCGTGTCCTTATTTTCTCATCGAGCAGTACTGTAGCAGGGTGTAGTATTTTCAAGCTGGTTCTTCTGACGCCGCATCCAAAGAGTTCATGTTAGCATAGTCCTCCTTGAGCAGTGTCAGCCAAGCAGAGTTCTCTCCTTGATACGCATTATCTGCCTGTGTGTTTCTAAGTCGAGAACTGTCTTTATCATACGCATATCGCCTGTATGTTTCTAAATCGGGCGGCTAAGTATGGAAATGACTCTTCCCGGCGGGCTTGGACTGTAACGACCTCTATGAACTGCCCTGCTTTCCTCTCTTACTTGGATGACAGGGAGGCAGCGAGGGAAAGAGCTCAACCCTCACGCATGTGCAATGACATCCCGTACTACCTGGTGCTCGGTACTCCTTACTCGGTTTATTTACTTGAGCTGAGCTTCTGCTGATACGCTGCCGCCACCTTTCCCTCCGCCTCCTCCTCCTCGTCGTGCTTCAACTCTGCCTGCCCAGACCCGGCTTCCCCACATCCAACACTTCTAATCTCAGATCAAGCATTGCAAGTCTGTATCTACCACGGCGGCGGCGCACACCCCGCGGCAGCGGCATCCGGGCCTGGATGCAGACAATTATCCCTCTGCGCCTCCGGCACCGTCACGCTCAGAATCACCTCGCTCAGCAATTCCGGCCAATTGCGGTACAATACGTTGGGCATATCGTTGGGGGCGAACCCGTGGCACGGGATCCCTGTAGCTTCCTCCCCCGTGGCATTCTGGTCCACCATGTTGGCGCACAGGTTGACTTGCGGCAGGGAGGGGCGGCCGAGCGAGGCATTCACGGTGGTGATGTTGACGTCGATGAACTTCAGGCCGGGGCAGGGCACGAGCGGCGAACAGTGGATGACGGAGGCGACGTCGAAGTGCGAGGTGCCCGTGATGTTTTCCCAGGTTACGTTGGAGATTTGGAGCTAGGGCAGAAGAAGCGAAAAGGGTGAGCAAGTATCTAGGTGCAGAGTGGGGTGAGTATGTTGGGAAAGTGAAATACGTCGGTAGTGTAAAAGTTGATGACAAGTTGTGTGTAGAGGCAGGTATCAGCAGGGGTCAAAATACTCACTTGACTCGTGTCACACACGCTCGAATCATGCCCGTACACGCACTGCGTGATGCTGATGGGCTGGCCGACGTTCTCGATTCGGAAATTGCGGTACGTGACGTTGGTGATGGAGCCGCCGCCTCCGCCGCCTGCTTGGCCGTTGTTGGTGATGTCCGTGGCTTTGCCTTGCCAGGCTTTGATCCACGCGCCGTTGGTCGAGTTGATGAGGTGCACGTCCTCGTAGACAATGTCCCGGACGAAATCCGGGTGGGTGGGATCCTGGCCGACGGATCCGATGGGCATGCCGTGGGTGCGGTAGCAGGTGATGTTGCGGGACACGATGTTGGTGCTGTTGCCTTTGATGGCGATGCAGTCGTCGCCACTATTGATTGGGATCAGTGAGTCAGCCAGAGGACAATGAAAGGGAGTGACTGTCAGTCTGGGCTACGGGGTGTGTCTGATCCTTACCCTTCCACCGTCCAGTTGTAGAAGAAAATATCCCTTGAATTCCACGTGTCGGTGCCGTCCGTGTTCACGGTGAACCACGTGTTGTTGCTCGTCGAGTTCATGTAGATGTTCGACATGGTGACGTTCTGCGAGTGCGACACGAACGAGTGCCAGAACTGGGCCTGACGCCAGGACACGCCGTCCATCCACAGATTCTTGGCATTGAGGATCGTAAATCCAATCGGCCGACCCGGTTGGTTGCTGTTGTTCCGATTCTCGTTGTACCACGCTTGTCCTAAGATATACCAACGTGATAAGTCCATGCTCCCCCCTGATAGTGCTGGAGGAGGGACTACGTTTGCCTACCGTTGCCGTAGAATTGGCCCTTCCCGAATCCTTTGAAAGTGACGTTCTCGCCGCCGAAAAACCACGCTGTCGATAGATTCGCGTACGTGACAGAATAGCTGTGGCCCAACCAGTACGGGATGTTGTCACTCCATCTCATCTCGCCGTGCAGCTCGACGTCGCAGTTGACCAGCCCGGTCGTGTTCATCACCTGGTTGATGTTGTACGTGTAGTTCTGAAAGATCACACTTCCATTGGTTCCACACAGCTCGAATGCATGCAGGATGGAAGGTGTGTCGTCAACGGGCTGCCCGAAATGGGTCAACGACTCGGGATAGACGTAGCAGGCCGTTCCGTTGTTCACCACGTACGCTGTCGCGGACGAGGCTACGCCCGCGAGGAGGACCAACGTCGACAACATTGTTCACTTAGAGGTCTGTCGAGACTCACTTGGGAAACAGGACTTGGTCTTCCATCGCCCGGTCTTCTCGTGCCCGGCTTTTGTAGCGACCGAGCATTGGGGAAGAAACGCGGTACTTTGTGGACTCGGCTACACCTCCGATGGTCTCCAACCGTTGTCTAGTCATGAGGCCGGCATCCGCTGTACGGTGTACGGTGTCGAACCCATGAGCTTGCCTCTTTCCCGGCTGGTACCATCTCTTGCGAGTCGCTGTTGAGGGGTTTGCGGGGAACCGTCGGGGTCCCCAGGTGGAAATCGTAGCCTATGCTCAAACCTGCGGTCTGGGTAAGTCGATATAGACTTGACGTCGCAGCGGAGATGTACAGAATACTCCATCCCCATGCAGTAGATGCAGGTGTTTTTAGGCTGAAGACGTAGAAGGCTGGAAATGATCTGCTCGGGAGAAACGCCACGGCGATACTCCGAGTGCCAAGTTGTGCTAAGCTTCGTTGGGACCTGGGTAGGGTTGACCAATGATCAGCATGAAGACGACCCACAGAAACTACCCCGCTCCCGCCGGCAACTATTACACCGTTATATTTTGTTTGTCCCGGAATCTACCTCAAAATCCATGGTGAGGTGGTGAGTAACATCGTCACCTAGCGAATGAAACTTGGGATGCTAACAAGTGTCCCTCAGGCCGAGTGGTTATGGCGCAAGTTTCAGGTATACCTGGAGCTCATGCTTCGGTTTTCAAGAAGTACTTGTGGGTAAAACCGCGTGGGTTCGAGTCCCACCCTCATCGTGAGTCTCTCCGGAAGTCTGTATCGTCCTTGACTGACTTAATGTAGATATAACCCAAGAACGGGGTCATTTTTTGATTTTTGTAGAGCCAGACATGAGGAAAGCGTATACAGGACTTTAGCCGCTTATAAGTGACTAAATCGCGCTAACGTAATTCGAGAGGTTCACTATATAGAAGCGTTATTCACCTAGGTATAGTAGGCCATCTACTGTAACGGGGCTGATGAAGTTGTGGTTTAGCAAGGGTGCCCGCCGAGGTGTGGATAGCTGGAACCATCGCATCGAGAGCGTGGAGGTCCATACGACACAATACGAGCACTGACTGCGACCCTCCGCCTGCGTTGAGTGCAAGTCGACATGATAATTGTAGGTATCCAGTACTACCAAAAAGGAAAATGAGGCATAGATCAAGGCAAATTGAGTCGCAGGCAGGGCGACGCACATACACACGACAGCGCCAAGATTGATGGCCAAAGCGCAATATCAACTCGCACCAAACCAGAAACCGGGGACACACATTCGCGTCTACTGCTCTCATTCCTCCGCCCTTTTCATGTTTCACGGTACGAACTTTAAGTGATGCGTTGCTGGCCCTGGCTGGTATCCAAGTTTCAAGAATGTCTAAACGTGCACGCGCATGCAGCACGGATCTGCTGATCACGGATCAGGTCCTCACAGACAGCTCATAAAGTCAAATCTCGATTCCTTTTGTTTGCGCTTCTCGCCTCTTCTGACACTCACCACGTATACGTGGTTGTTTTGAGACGCCCGAGGGGGTCCTAGGACATACTCCACCAAGCAGCACTTCCTCTGGACTTCTTCGCCATGGCGCCCAAGATTCCGACTCGACTGCTCATCATGTCTGATATGCACGGCGCTGACTTCAATTCTGAGAACAGACCTGACCAGCGTGCCGATGTCACTGTCCATTGCTGTGACCTCGCCGACGGCTCGAAGCTCGAAGAATTCCGCTCGGCCCTCGAACTGCTTGAAAGGATCGATGCGCCCCTCAAGTTGGCCATTGCAGGTAACCACGACTTTACCATGGACAAGGCTGCCTTCGAGACCAAGGTTGCTGAAGCAGTTCCCCCTCTAGACCCCGGACTCGTTGCTCGAGAATACGGCACTGTGGGGCAGGCAAGGGAACTATTTGACCATGCACAAGATGCAGGTATAGTGTTCTTGGACGAGAGAACCCATCGCTTTGACCTCGAGAATGGAGCCATGCTAACAGTCTATGCAAGTCCATATACGCCCTCCTTGGGCGCATGGGGCTTCCAATACCACCCGAACCAGGACCGTCATTTCGACATCCGCGACGGCACCGATCTCGTCATCACTCACGGGCCTCCGAGAGGCATCATGGACTTTACCTATGGTCGCGAGCGAGCCGGCTGCCCCGACCTTTTCACCGCCGTCGCTTGTGCCCGACCCCTCATCCACTGCTTCGGCCATATCCATGAGGGATGGGGCGCGAGGCTGGTAACTTGGAAAGACAGCGGCCGAGATAAGCAATCCCATTTTACCGCCATCGACAACGACAACTCGCTCGTCATCGAAGGTTAGCCGCCCTGAGAGAGAGCACACTGGACTCAGATGACATGGCGGAAGAGAAGCGACGGAAGCTGGAACGGCTGAGTCGCAGCAGATGCGCCATAACAAGCCACTGTGCTCAAGATGAGCATCCTCTCCCGGCTGGCAAGCAGACACTGTTTGTCAATGCCTCAATAATGGGCAGCGAAGACTTTGTGCAGAGGCCCTGGCTCATCGACATCGAGCTCCCAAGCGGAGCAGAGATTCAGAAGCAGTAGCCCCTTCGATGGGAATAGGACAGCAGAGCGGTACAGATAGGTGAATACAAGGGAAGTTTGGCCCTGAAGATGGACGTTCACCTGGCAACAACGAATTATTCCTCTGGAATCAGATGAACAAGCTGTGCTCTGGACGCATCAATCGAGGATCTCAAGCAAGGTGGCACCGTCTGTATCGTGCGCACGCTGACTCCGCCAGAGCCTTTGGAGCTGGTGATGCCGGTACTATTTGGACCCAAGACTCGTGAGTTGACGGGTCGGAGTGGCGCCATCACTTTTGTCGCAAGAGCTTTTGCCGATCTTGTCGACCGGAGAGAGGGATTCTGATCTTTAGTAAGAGAATGCTCGAGAACACGGTCACGTTAGCCGAAGAACACGATATCCACCCCCATACCGAAGAGTCCGGTGCATGAGAGGTCGCTCCTAGGGCCATTTGAGTGGCTGCAAGCCAGGACTTCGTGGGAAAGCTGTGGTCAAAGCGCGGGCGCGGGCTTTCGGATGAGGCAGAGGCGATGGCTGTGAAGCCCTGTTCCGGAGTTTCTGTCTCTCTCGCATTTCACAATGTGCATAGTTCCCGCATTTTGTTAGATCGCTGACGTGGTTCATGGCACGGTCCATGTATCACCGATGGGAGTCGAGATGATGGTACGCTGCACTTGCACTTGGCTTACGTCCTCGGACCACGTGTGGTTGGAATTCAGCGACAGTACTTCCCGCTCGCTACCTGCTTCTGACTCCTCCGTTGGGGGGCAAGACTTCCGCGCGAGGTACGACAGATTCGATCGCGCACAGAAGCGACAAATTCAACGGCACGAGGGCTCTCGGAACGCTGACTGGCAGGATTGCGTGTCGCGTAGCGGATATCGCTCTCTTCCGCTCGAGCTGCCATGTCTTGGCGATATGCCATCATTTACGGGATCGAGCACGCCATCCTTGACTCCCAATCCCATAGGATATAAACCTTGACGACAAGGCCGAGGCCAAGCAGCTCACTGAAAATATACGGCAAACTTGACCAGCCTCATCAACAGTTAATAGGCTCCGGGGTCGAGATCACTCGGCACACCGCCTCTTGGTACAGGCCGCGTCCTTGGTGGCAGTCATCCAAGCATCCAGCCGCCGTGGATTCCGCTTCTACGCTGTTCCGGTAGGCCTGTGCCACTAAACCCGTACGTCGTGAACGGACGTCGAAGACATTTCTTTGTAGTCTTGCCCATCTTGTCCAACATTTTGCACCACTACGGACAGCAGGCCAAGGCTGTCCCAGACTTTGTGGACATGGTTTCACCACTTTGCCCAGGAGTTTGCCGACGCCCAGGAAACCTAGACAAGGCGATGATGCTATGGTTCGGGGACCTCCAGGTAGGTTGAGGAGAGCTATGAATATGGAGCATCTTCCCTCCCAGGTAGGAACACTGGTCAAATCTTCACCAGCCGCAGAACGAAAACTTCGCCGTGACCAGCAACGATGTCGCCCTTTGACAAGAGATCTCCTGATCCAGACGGCTATCCTGAGCCTGGCCCAGATGAGGAGCCTCTCGCCCTCGAAGTCGACTGGACGCCAAAGGAGGAGGCAAATGCAAAACGAAAGTGAGAGCGGCGCCTGACACTCTTGAGAGGACGCCTGGGAGCATTGACTGACATGTATCGTCTGGTTCAGGCTGGACTTTATCATCATGCCGCTCCTGACTCTGGGCTTCTTTTGTTTGCGTGAGTAGCGTCGACTCGCCAACCCCCCCTGCTTCGACCTCCGATCTCATTCTCGGACGTCCAGAGCTCGACCGAGGAAACATCGCAAACGCCATCACGGACAACTTGATGGAAGACGTCGGGATCACCCAGAACCAGTTCAACGTCGGTCAGCAGATGCTGTCGCTTGGTATCGTGCTGTTCGAGATTCCTTCCAACATGGTTCTCTACCGCGTCGGCCCCGGCAAGTGGCTCACCCTGCAGCTCTTCCTCTTCGGCACCGTCAGTACCTTCCAGGCTTTCCAAAACAGCTATGGGTCGTTCATCGCGTCCCGATTCCTCCTCGGCATGACAGAGTCGGGCTTCATCCCTGGTGGCTTGTGGACCCTGTCGACCTGGTATACGCGCACGGAGACGGCCAAGAGAGTCATGTTCTTCTACTTTGGCAATCAGTTTGGCCAAGCCTCTTCCAAGCTCCTCGCATATGGCATCCTCCACATGCGGGGCGTCGCCGGCAAGGCGGGCTGGTTTTGGCTGTTCGTCATCATGGGCATCTTCACCATCGCAAGCGGGTTCGTCCTCGGCTTTTTCCTGCCCGACTCGTTCAAAAACCCTCACAGCACGTTCCTCCCTCGGGTCCGCATGTTCACTGACAGAGAGCTTCACATCCTTCGAACTCGGGTTTTGTTGGATGATCCCATGAAGGGCAAGAAGAAGAAACGGATTGGCCGGGCCGGGTTTAAGAAAGCGGTAAGTCCAGGGGCCAATCTCGTGAGCATCGATGCTGATGGAGATTCAACTTCCAGTTCACAAACTGGCGTCTGTACGTCCACGTCCTGGTGACACTGTGCAACAATGGCCCGCAGCGTGCCTTTGACACTTATGCACCGTCTCTGGTGAACGGCTTCGGCTTCGGTCAGTTGTCGAGCAATGCCTTGGCATCCGTCGGTCTGTTCCTGCAAATCCCGACTTCGTTCGCCTTCAGCTACGTCTCGGACCATTTGTAAGTTCTGGAAGTGGAAGAGTATTTGCTCCGGCCCCAGCACGCTGACGACTCTCGCGCAGTAATAAACGCGGACCGACCGTCATCACGGGTCTCAGCTGCCATCTCCTCGGCTACATCTTCAACCGTGGCTTCACGGAGCTCAACGGCAGCCGAGGAGCAAAGTACTTTGGCGTCATCTGGACACAAACGTTCGGGACCTTCTCACACCCGCTCAACATCGCCTGGATGTCCCTCACTTGTGAAGATTCCGAAGAACGAGCGCTCGCGATGGCCATGTGAGTTACTTTTTACCCCCAATTACCAACGACGATCCGTGGATACTGGGTCGTCGGTGTCTCCCGCTGACTCCGGTACCTAGGGTCATCATGGGCGCCAACATCGCCGGAATCTATGGCGCCCAGATCTTCCGCTCGGACGACCGACCGCGCTATCGCCGGGCCTTTAGCGTGAACATCGCCGTCCTGGCGTTTGGTCTGAGCCTCGCAATCGGGCGGTACATTGACGACCGACTGCTTCGGCGCAAGGGTCGCCGCCAGAGCACCCTCGGCCCCGTGAGGTCTCAGTCACGATCCCAATCGATGAGTGTCCAAGACTCGGAGAAGACGGGCACTCCGCCGATCGAGGAACAACGCAAGGTGGTGGTTGAGCTGCCCAAGTGAGAGGATTCAAGCGGTGTGTTGGGTCGTGGTGCCAGATAGAATGCGAGCACCATTATGGAACGTCACTCTTCCATCTTTTGAAGGATGTGCCTGATTCCCGAGGATCAGGTGGATGAGATCCCGATACACGAGCAGCAGATAGGTCCCTAGATAGGGTCGATGCAGTGAGATTACCGGTACGCGCGGCACTGCGTGCAACAGGTAGACGATATGCCATGTCGTTCCTTAGTGCCATAATACATACCTATACGAGAGGTAGATGCAGCCAAGGGGCACGGCACTAGAAGAAAGGCACACATGTTGCCCACGGACGACCATTCGATGTCGACGCGTACAAAAATATCGCGTGCTAACACACCGTTCTCACCTTCTGGCTGGTGTACGCTTGGTATATACACTTGATACAAACTATCTCAAAACAGTAAGGTACCCAGGTAAAGGTCTACGCACGGTTAAAGTCCACCAAGACCCAGCAAAGAAAGCAGTTTGAACTCCTGCCCGGGGCACTCTTCTTAGGTCTTTACAGAATAGCCATATGTTAGGGATGGCCTAATGAGATAGGCATGTTACGCTCATAGTAATTCAAGTACGAAACGTCCCTAGACGTACAGTCCGTACAGGTCTCGGAGTATGAGAGAAGGATGCTCCTCTCTCACGCGAGTCTCGGCTTATGTGTTTTTTGGCCTTGGCGAGGCTTGACGTTCCAGACACCATGGCGGCGTGCTCTACCCCTCTCACACTCAACCACACTACATCTCAAAGGCACGGTGCGATGTCTGCAGCCGAGTTGTCTGTATTGTCCTGTCTAGGAACTATCGAACGCAAAAGTAAAGAGGCGCAGCGTTGCGCCAAAGCTCCACCACTCAGAACGCCAGGTTGCTTCCCTGTAGATTTGTACAGAGAAACAGCACCCCCCACACAGCATCCGATTCTGCCACGAAAAGCAGCCAGCGATGCCGACACGAGAGCCGATACCTCAGAAGAACGACGGTAGTAGCAAGAACAATAGCGACCTCTGATAGAAAGACAAGAGGGAGAGGCGTAGGCGGCGCCCGGCCGTGGCGGATTTGAGCCAGAAACGTGTCACCAGGTCGAGCCCGACAGGCTGTTTCAATACTCGTTCACCGTCGTGACCGTGGAGGAGGACCGTTTCTAGCCTGTCAAGAGAAAGCCATGAAGGATTGATCCGAGCAGAATACTTACGACAGTGCCACTTGTACGCGGAAACCCAGGACCACGATCTCCTCTAGAGCCACTGCTCGGGGTGCAAGTCCACCGTTGACTTCGTCCAGGCGCGCGATATCCTGAACGACTTTGGAAACCAGTCCGGCTCCTTACCAGTGGTCATCATCGACACCAGAGCTTCTGCACTACGATACGCCATGGCCATCCCGTGACCATTCATGCCCACCGATGCCCAGAGACCCTTCTCACCGGGAATCTCGCCCACGAGCGGGAAGGTGTCCGGCGTGTAGCAGGTGATGCCTGACCAATCTCGGATCTCTACACTGTGGTCTCCCCACGTTTGCCGTCCGAAGACATCTGGCGCCGCACGCTTCAGGTATGCCGCTATTTCCGCATTGACGGTCGAATCGTCCGTGACTCCCATCTCCCTTGTCTTGGACACGCTCCGGCCGCCGCCGTACAGGACGTCGCCGTCACCTTTCAGACCCGGGGCGCGAGTCATGAAATAGTCACCCGAGCCCCGGTCGTTGACGCCGACGCTCTTGTGCCGAGCTTGATGGTTGGATAGATCCTCCTTGGGCCTGATGGCCGTGACTTGGCTTCTGGAGGGCGTCAGGAAACCGGTCTCGGAGATGCCTCGGTGCAGGGCATTCGTGTAGGCATTCGTGGCTAGAACCACCCGCTTGCCTTGAGCCGCGCCCCTGTGCGTGTGAACCTCCCATAGGGCAATGTCGTGGTCGGATACCGGTCTCACCGCAAGTGCAGGCGTGTTGGTTTGCAGATTGAGTCCTCTCTCCAGACTCAACTCCAGCATCCTACACACGAGGAGATATGGGTTCTGGGTGTGTGCCGGGTAAGTGACCGCCCCGAGGACATTGGGCAAGCCCAGATGTTCTCTCGCCGCCTGGCCGTGCCATACCCTTCTTTCGATAGATGATGGCACGTCGGGCCTTCTCTGACTCACCTCCTCCCTGTACCGCATCACATCAAGCACCTCGGCCCAGCCCCGCGCGGTGTAATAGGCATCCGCCGTCTCTACGTCCTGAAAATCACAGTCGACCTTGTGCTCCCGCACGAAACGGGCAATGTCGTGGACATTCTGCTCTTCCAGTCGCTCAAACTTGAGGGCCTCGTCCTCGCCAAAAGCGGTCGCGTACTCCTTAAAGTTCAGCCACCAGCCGGCGCGACAGTGGCCGCCGTTTCGCCCTGACGCACCCGAGGCCGCAGTTCGAGCTTCAAGCATTAGGATGGAGAGTGAGGGGTTGCCGGAGAGGAGCTTATGAGCGATTGCCGCCCCAGACACGCCGGATCCGATGATGACATAGTCGAACGTGGTTGATGTCGGCAGGGAAGGAGTCGTGCGGTGGTGGGCTATGGCATGGGGAGGGAGCTGCCAATAAGATGTCGTGGGGTTAGGCTGAGGGAAGCCCTTTGGGACTTCACCGCCGCCCATGCTGGAGTTAGACGGCGGACAAACCACCGGGTGGAGCCAACGAGCGTATTTATATGTGCAACCTGTGGCGGGAAATGTTGTATCATGGCGGGTGCTGTACTAGCCGGAGACTGGGTGTACAGGATAGTCCTCACATGTGACGCTATTGGTTGAATGTTGACCATTGATCATGTTGTTCAGGACTCGGTATGCACGTCTTGATAGAACGGGAAGCCCTGAAAGAGGACGTTTTGGGGTAACCGCGGGCCTCGCCTAGGGACGCCTACGGATTCTGTGTTAGCGGAACGGACACTCCGTATGTTGTAACCAATTAACCCGGTTACCCCCGCTACTCTGCCTTATCTGGTCTTATCAAGAATATGGCTGCCTGATTGTATTTTGATCTCAGGGGCCATGATCTTTGAAACAACCTGTCGCGGGAACGGTTGCAGCAAGTCTGGATAATGATGGAGAGCTTCCAGGAGGTACTCCGTATTCAGGTCATGATCGATCCAAAGATCTTAGGGAGAAGCAGTCTTCATTTTTTGATCTTTCGCAAAGGTTCACGATCAGTTCTCTCACGGCACAAGTGAAGCTTGCCTCAGTTGGAGTGATTTCCAGTACTCCCTAGACGGCGAAGGATGATGCCAGTGGGTCCGGATCTGGCGAGGTAGCATTGATTGTGACTGACAAGTGACCGAGCAAGAGGCTCAAAATACGATGGCGGAGGAACCGCCCTCAACGTCTCAAATTCCTGGGTGAGCGAACCCTCGACCGTCACTCGAGTTATTGACGTGTAACTCATACTCCGTACTCCGACTCGTCTCATACTTGCCCCCAAGCTGTGTCGTGAACTTGACGCTTTCGGCGGTTGCGCCCTGCCTCTGCTTACTCTCCAAACGTCGGCCCTGGCTAGGCACCTACTAGGCGACCGGGAACCGAGCCAATCGTCTTCCGCACATTGGTGGCCTCACCAAGGAAACGGGCTACTGGCACGATCCATGACAGGATTGTTCCCATGGATCAAGCTGCAGATAGTCAGCAACTGCTTTTGTGAGCTTTCTTGCACCACGAGTCGAGACGCCTTCTGTTCCACAGTATCTATAAATTCCGAGCCCTGGCGAACCTCAAGCCAAGGCTGTCCTTCATTGTCATTGACTTCACCGCCACCTGTTCATGACGGCACGTCGGGTATGGGAAGCAGCAATGTCAACTTTTCAGAATGTCATTGACGTTGGCCGCATTGGGACGCTGCTGGCGCTCGCCACTGCAGTTTACATCTCAATCAAAGCCTTCCACCGCATCCAGCAGACATACAGGGCTCGTCGTCGCTACCAGGATATCCCACAGTTGCCTCGACATCCAATATGGGGCCACCTGATCAACATGGGAGAGAAGCTCAACCCGGCCCTTCGGCGACATCCAGACTATGCCTTTGAAGAAATTTGGATTTCGCTCGGCAGGCCTCCTGCATTTCTGATGGACTTGCACCCCGTCGACCGCGCCTTCTTGATCGTGGCAGACCCGGCACTGGCCGAGGAAGTCTCACAGCCGAACTCAACCTTCAAGTACTCGCTCCCGAAGAGTGATACGCTCATGTCCATGTACCGCCTCATTGGCCTGGAGTCATTGATCACCGCCGAGGGCGAAGAATGGAAGACCCTCCGGCGGAGATTCAACAAGGGCTTTTCACCGCAGCATCTGCATACTCTGGATGGGCTGATCGTGTCCAAGACACGAGATTTCGTCGAGCGACTGAAACAGGCAGCCGAGAGCAAAGAGACATTCCTGCTCAAAGACTACGCCCAAGATTTGACCACGGATATCATCACCACCGTCGCCATCGAGAAGGACTACCGCGCGCAGACGCTGCCAGAGGGAGTCGGGTCGAAGAGCGCTTTCGGGATGCTGACCGCCTCGAGACTCCTCTCGAAGCTGGTCTTCCCCGTGGGCCGGGGGTTCAACCCGTTCGTCTACTTTGATCCGATCCGGCCTGCCAAGTCATGGTTCTATGAACAAGTCTTCAATCGCGAACTCGCCGCTCGGGTGCGGGAACAGGTCGCTCTGGAGCGGGCACAAACCAACGAGAAGTCCAACGGATCCACCGAGAGCATCGCGACAAAACAGAGGTCCATTACCCGCCTCGCACTCTCGGGACTAGATCCCGATGCGGCGTTGGTCCGAAACACGGTCTCGCAGATCAAAAGCTTCCTGTTCGCCGGGCAGGACACGACCGCCACGCTGATTCAATGGCTATGCTTCGAGCTCTCCAAAGCCTTGTGGTCCCCTCGCTCGGCGGCCATCCTGCAACGGCTCACCGCGGAGCATGATGCCGTGTTCGGGACGCGAGGCGGTCCCTTCAACGCTCTCGACGTCCTCGGCCGGACGGACGAAGCAGGACGAAAGGACACGGAGGCCATACTAGGCAGCCGCTTACCATACACGACGGCGTTCGTCAAGGAAACACTCCGAATGCACCCCCCTGCCGCCACCGCGCGACGCGTCCCCGAATTGTCGGCTCAGAACCCGACGCCCGTGACCATGAGGATACGCACATCCCGCGGCGACGAAAAGGACGTTCTCGTCAACGGCCTGAGGATTTACAGCGCACAGCACCTTATCCACCAACACAAAGATGTCTGGGGTCCCGACGCACATGTCTTTCGTCCCGACCGGTGGCTCGACGAACAGTACATGTCGAGACTGCCCACCGGCGCGTGGCGGCCCTTCGAGCGTGGTCCGAGGAACTGTATCGGACAGGAACTAGCGATGGTGGAGGCCAAGGTTGTACTCTGCGCCGTCGCACGGGGCTTCTCGTGGGAAAAGGTCGGCTACTCGGGGAGGAACCAGGCCGAGGGCATGGAGATACCGAGGGGTGATGGCACGGACGATCCGGAGCGAGAAGTGTGGAGCACCCACCAGGTCACGTCGATTCCAGTCGATGGCATGAAGATGAGGGTCCGTGTGATGGAGTAGAACGTGACAGGCGCGGATGATAAATACAATTTCAACAATCGTGGTGCAACAAGGCTGAACACGCGAGGCTGAGACGTTCTAGTCACGTGATGCCGGCGAGACTTTCACGCAGAAGCCGATGGACCGGCCGCGACGCGCACGTGACACGCCGATCTGCTCGTTTTCGCCTCCCAGGCTGCCAGATGTCAGTGTCACTCTAGGCAGCCGAGCATGATGAGAGTCCAGATCCCCTGGACGCGTACCATGGCCGACCTTCAGGGGTCACACCTGCCGTGCCACCTGGTCACTGGGAATCGTGTGCGTGCTGTGGCGTCCCACGCTTCTCGCAGCTTCTCGCGGCGTCGCGGGCTGTACGCTGATTCGCCCCTCGCAGGCCGAGAGACATACGAAATGTGTTTGCCTGGCCGCGGGGTCCAAACCATCACGAGGTGATCGATGTCTATAAGATCCCGCGTCCTGCTTTGTGGCTGGAACCTGCATTTGCTCTCGCCATCATTCCCCCATCGAACACTTTTCCTCTTCCATCGAGATTTTCCAAGCCATCATCTACACAGGATCGGCACGTTCCACACTCGACCGTACTGCGGAATCGGGCACGATGCCGAACATTTATTACCTCAACACACCGCCTCACCCGTTCTGGGACTTCGTCGCCGGGATCGAAGATCATCCCTTCTTCGCCCAACATCGCCGACCTGGTCCACCACCACAGCCGGCTCGGCCAGCTGGGCCGAATCAAGCCCGCGCTCACGCTCACGCTCACGCTCACGCCCACGCCAGCACCGCCACAAGCGACAAGGCCAAGGGCAAGCACGCCGAAACCAACGTTGAAGATCCACCAGAGGTCGACCCCTCGACCGTCCGCCCCGACCGCAAGGACATGCCATTCCGCGGGCGTGGTCGCTTCGCCCACGCCTTCGACGACAACCACGACAAAGAGAAGCACGACGGCGACAACGACGGCGAAGATCGCCACCGCGGCAAACGAGGCTGCCACGGACGCAGACGAGGTTTCGAGCACGGTCCGTGGGGTCGCCGCGGAGGTCCGCCATTTGGTCCCCCACCGTTCCTGTTCGGGCCCAACTTCCCGTTCGGCCCTCATGGTCCCTTTGGCCGTCCCAGCGGTGCGGGACAAGAAGAACACGAAGGGCAAGGCGAAGGTCAAGGTCAAGGTCACGGCCATGGACCTCATCCCGGTTTCCGTGGTCGCGGGGGCCCACACCGGGGTCGCTTTGGGCATCATCCCCATCACGGGCGTCCTGGAGGTCACGGACCCCAGTCCCAGTCGCCACCACGCGCGGGTCCTTTTGCCGGCGACCCATCGGGTTTTGACCTCCCTTCGTTCCTGGCCAACCTAGGGGAACGTCTTGGTGTGGACCTCAATTCCGCGGCGGAGGGCTTGGGACTCGATCTCGGCCAGAAGCATCCCCGCTCGGCCGACAGAGACTTCGAGCCCCGAACCGACATCTTCGACAGCCCTGAAGAATATACCGTGCACGTGTCCCTCCCCGGGGCGAAGAAATCCGACCTCGGCGTCGACTGGGATGGCGAACACTCGGTCCTCCGCATCGCCGGTGTGGTCCATCGACCGGGTGTGGATGAGGAGATGATGTCCCGGCTTGTTGTCGACGGCCGGAAGCGCGAGACCGGCGTCTTCGAGAAGACCATCCGCTTGGGCACGACCAAGGCTCCGGCAGCTGTCGACGTCGAGGGCATTTCTGCAAAGATGGTCGACGGGGTACTTGTCGTGCATGTCCCCAAGGTGGAGAAGCGGTTCACGAAGAAAGAGGTCCGCGTGGATTCATCTTCTCCTCCGGACAGACGCGACGAGACATACGCCGACGCGTATATGAATGACAAGGACAAGGAGAAGCAACAACATGATCTTCTGTTTGACGCTGACGAGGACATGTACAACGGCACACCACAGCCACGCAATCCCAGCGAGCCGGTCGAAGCTGAAGCCGAAGCAAAGGGTAAGGGCAAACAACGCGAGGCTGAGGAGGAAACAACCAGAGACAGAGATGACCGTTCCGAGACCATCGGGTTCGAGGATCTGCGTGCCAACGCCCCCGCCGAAACTCTTCCACGCTACCAAGTCGACGAGCCTGTCGAGAGTAAGTTGGCAAAGAGCGCAGGAAGTCAAAGCCACGAGGACAAGGCAGAACATGACGTCAAAGACGCGGATGACAACATGAGCGACTGGGAGAGAGATGACTCTGACGTTGACCCGGAGGACGAGGACGAGGGAGAGTACGAATACGTCAAGATCAATGTTGATTGAGTGAGTGGTGAGTGAGTGAGAGAGTGGCATATATTCAACTTGCTCGGTCCGTCAATCATTCAGTCGGTCGGTGATATCGACAGTGGTGTGTGTAATCATGGAAGGGAAACTCTGGAGACAGGTCAACCATACACTCGTTCAGTTATTCAAGGTCATGGAGAGAGTGTCGTATCTACGAAAACGCAGTGTGTAGCTGAGTACGGATTACGGCAGCTGTCAATCAATCTACCATTTCAGGACTCCTTCTTACCCGCCGCCACGGGGTCAGTCATGGCACATCGGTGCGGGCGGGGTTGTAGGGCATGGTAGTCGGTATTTCGAACCCAATGGATGCTCATTCGTGTTTTCTTCATTCCTGCATGTACTTTTGCTTGTACCTGTGCGTCTACTTGTCCTTGTACTTGTCCTTGTACTTCTGCTTCTGCTTTCACGTTACCTTCTCTTTCTTGTTTCTATCTGGGTTTTCGGCTTGGACAGATCGATGAGCGTGATCTTGCTTGGTTGTGCGCTTGCTTGGTTGTGCGCTTGCTTGGTTGTGCGCTTGCTTGGTTGTGTGCTTGCTTGGTTGTGTGCTTGCGCGCGTTACTTACTTACTAGTACCTAGCTAACAAGCTCTCTACTTACCGGACGTGACGACAGACAGGTCGATGAGCTTGATCATGCTTGACCGCCTATTCAAGCACTGGAGTAAGTACATTAGCGAGCTGGCTGGCTAGCTACAGTAGCTACAATAGCGACTTAGTTACGTGGCCGAGTATCTTGTATGTTGGAGTAGCGCGGGTGCTATCGAATGAGACGGTTGCGATGAGGGTAAAAATGTAGAAGGAAGAGAAAAGGGTGGTCTACCGGGTGAGGCCTTAGTACAGGTAGGTACCAGAAGAGCATATCTCAGGACTGTCTATGGGTTGGGACAGGCTTAGGGACACGAATATTCATTGTGGGCGAACTATCGAGAGTACCTATATGAGGAGCTGCTCTGTAGGTTACAGTACACAAGGTCAAGACTCTCTTGGTTTCCCTGTTGTCCTGCCTCCCTGCTCAATGGTCCCTCACTGTTCTTCTCCCATGAATCGCCACTGCAGTTGCATCTGGCCTCTACTGTACCATGCTCTCTGCCTAGTCTTCCCTGCATTGCGGATGAAGGATCGTATCACGACACGACTACAGTAGCCCATCACGTCGCTATGTCAGTCACTAATGTACCAATTCGTCGAGGTCCAATGCAGGACGTACTGTATTTCACCTCGCTCTAAACTCATCTTTCGTACCGTTGTACCGTTATACCATAGTACCGTGATCAACGAAATACCTCAAGGAAATATGTGCTTGGGAAAGCCAGTGTAATTACTCCGTAGCTGATTCGTCTATCCAACACAGTCCAAGGCTCAATAACTAATATAACTGCAAGACACCCACGTCTCCATTCGTGCCACCTCCCCTCCCATCTCACGTTGGCGTAGTTTCTTTTTCGTTTTCTTTCTCTTCTTTTTCGCATTTCTCTTCTCCATCATCATGTGCGAGAGAGTCGCACCGGCACCCGCACCCGCACCCGCTCCCGCCCGAAAACTCCCCTTCTGCATTCTTTCCTCTCCTCTCCTCTCCAAATAGCCATGCTTCTCCTAGTCTACACTCAACTTTCTCGCATCCCTCCTTCTCCTACCCTACACTCAACTTTCTCGCACCCCCGCCTTCTCCTGGCCCCCGCCCCGCCCCGCTTCCCTCTCACCCTCTTCCCTCACACTTTGATGTCCACGCGCACACTACGCAAAGACCTGCTTGACAACCTCCGCAAACGTGGCGTTGATGCCGTCATTCCCCACCCCCGTCGCACTAATTTCCTGGTACGCCCCGTCCCAGAACATGGCGCCGGCAAGGTTCGGCAGATCGAGCCCTCTCACGCGCTGCATCATGGTCTTGTAGGTCGGGACATCGACGTAGCCGGACCCAGCCCCCGCAAAGGCAGGTGTGCCGATCAACAGTCTCGGAGAGTCGATGCCGTTGTTGATGTTCTGGAATCCCACGGATCGGGGGCTAGAACGGGTCATGACTCGAGAACCCGAGACCAGGGACCCGAGAGCGAGGAGGTCGTTCGACCAGTCTTGCAGGGAGGAGAAGAAGCCTTCGTTCGCGACTGTGGGTGGTTGGCCGGGCTGGCCGGGCTGGCCGAGCTGGCAGGAGGGGTTGTTGTAGAATTGCACGGCGAAGAAGTCCATGTACGGCAGGAGGGCCGGGACCGGGACCGAGGCGTCCGGGCGGGGACATTGCGGCGCGGCGGAGAGGTAGTACGGTTTAGGCGCCGTGGACATCAGCTGTCGAAGGGTGCGGGCTAGGGTGGGGAGGTAGATTGAGCCGGAGGGAGATTCGTTGTCTGTGGCGAGTCAGTTAAAAGACATAAGAGCAGGCGAGCGCGGCAGGAGGAAACCTTACCAATGTCGATGCCGTCCAGGACGACGTTCCCGTACGGTCTCAAGGGTGCGCTTGTTGGATTTGTCCCGCCCAGGAATAGATCCCACAGGGTGTTGGCAACTTGCTCGGCCTGGGCGTCGCTGCTCACGGACAAATCTCCTACGGACCCGCCCAGACTCAGCATGACTTTCTTGCCTTGCTGTTGACAACGGGCAATCTTGCTGGCAAAGCCGTCGCCCACGCAGTCCAGAAGACCCGTCGCTCCAGCTGCCTGTTGCGCCGCATTCGGGGCCCAGCAATTCGAAGCCATGTTCATTGCTGGATAGCCGCCATCGGAGACGAGGTGCGTGACAAAGGCGAGGATGACCATGTCGATTGCAGGGTCGTCGCATACTTCCGTCAGAGAGATCACAGGTGTAAGGTCGGTCTGGGAGTAGTACACCACATTAAGATCGGTGGCGCGGGGGTTGAAGGTGTACGTTGCTGACGGTGGAGCGGACGTCGACGTATATAGGGGGCGATCGGGAACAATGTTTCGGGAGGTAGTTGTCGCCGTGGGAGGCGTGTTGAGGTTCGTTATGGGCAATATTGATGGTTGAGCTGTAGTGGGCGACGCGACTGGAGGTGAAGAGGCGGAGGTGCTGATCAGTAGGCCTCCGATGTTGTCGAACTGCGAAGCCAGCAACTCGATGAGCTGTTGCACGGCGCTGCCGATCTCGTCGATCAGGTCGTGCAGCTGTCTTGAGAAGTCGTCGGAGGCATCAAGACGTTGATTGGCAGCCAGAGGTTGCCAATAGCCTGCCGGACCGGTTCGAAAAGTCGAGTCTCGTCTGGAGTGCCGGTTTGTCACTTGCGCAAGGTATTGCTTGTGGGACAGCTGGAGCACGTCCAACGTGCTGCGCAAGGTGGCTGCGACATGTTGCCAGTCCTGAGATGGAGCCGATGCGAAGACGGAGCTAATAAACACGGAAAATGAAAAGAGGGTGAGTAACCTGAACATTACCGCCATCGGATGATTGATGAAAGACCGAGACTCCTTGAAATGAAGCGACTTGGACTTATACTTTGAAGATACACATGGCGAGTAGCTCCCAGACACCCCCATGCCAATCGAATACTGGAGGGACAAGTCTCAGATTCGAGTATGTAGTTGTTCGAGGCACGGAATGTGGAGGGCTGGTTGCCCCCTCCGCTGCGTTGTGGCCAGAGCATTGTTGCATTCCACCGACCTCGTCGCCAAGGCATATGCCAGCACGTACTTCCTGGAAGGCGCGTCCTGCTCATACAGCGAGAGGCTCGAGGTCAAGACGCCGTAGCGACGAGTTGAGAGCAATGTCACGGCGGCAGCATGATCACCGTTCCAATGATGTCGGCGAGACGCAAATACAGGCGTCAATTGGATTCAAAAAACACAGGACCACTCGATGATGAACGAAGGCATCTCGCCGTTGACTCCTTACTGTGCACCTTGAAGGAAGACGAAGAGACGAAAATACTCATTTGTGTGCCGCGAAAAGCGTCTGTCAGACCGCTGATTTTACACGGCGAAAGCGGCAACTAAGCGCCACCTATCTCGTCAGACTACGGCACAGCTCTGTGCTGTCTGACACCGAGACTTGCATACGGCACTGTTCGTGAGACGGTCGTCAGACAGGGCGAGTTTCAGCGGGGGAGGTCGAAGACGATCGCCCGGGGACGCAGCAGATCATCTTTAGCTTCCCCGTCGCTCGTTCTGGTCTCGTCTGCCAAAGGCTTTGCCGCTGGCCAGAGCCGTCTTAATGATAGTCGATAGTCAGAGCTGCACACGCATCGCCCAAGACCAGACCAGCCAACAGCGTCAAGTGTCGGAGGACCTTGGCGCGACCGGCGGCCACCGTACTGTGTACTGCGTGCTCGTGCCGCGCATCGGACTTCTGCCGTCAGCAAGACTGGAGACGTTCTCGGAAGGAAGTAATGGCCCCAAATGGCAGCTGTGCTTCGAAACGCCCGATCGATGCAGTCGCCGAGCTTGCCTCTGGTGAACGCATTGCCAAATCTTTCTGGCCGCAGCTCCTTGGCCGACTAACGTGCAGGTGCAGGTGCAGCTCGATAGTACGAGTAACCTGATCCGCTGCGGACGTGGCCTTTTCGGTAGCTTCCCGGCGGCTCTCGGCCTCGACGCCATGGAGAAAACCGGAGAGAGATCGACAGCAGCAGGCAGTGGCTCCGCTTTCTTTTGGGGATTAGTGGATGAATGAACAGAGTATCCTCAGGTGCAGGGCACAGTGATCGTGTGATCCCTCGTATTGCGCAATCCAACAACAAAAGCACCAGACCACTTCGTGTCAGCAAATCGCCCTAGATCCTCCGGCCGCCCACATATCATGCTCATAAGCTGAGAAGAGATGACTGCTGCTACATCCTTGGGGCCAGCAGCGATGCGGGCTAGCACGGCGCATGTAGGCGAAGAGGTCGGCATGCGATAGTCCGAAGCTTGTTTCGGAGACGTGCAGCGCGCTGATGCAGGTGCAATCCTCTCCAAGCAGGTACTCGGTCGAGGTCGTGTGTAGGATCGGCCTGTATTCGCCGCTGACTGTGCAAAGGTGCCCAAGCTCGAATGCGGCAGACCCCGGGACGAGGCCTTCCCCCCCAGCAGCAGAATGCATGGTGCCGTGCTCAGGTGATTTGGGAATTCTGCTTGGGAGGAGTTCACCTGTCTGGGCCTTCTTCCACCTGAATCTGCCCCAAACTCTCTCGAGGTGTGTTGACGGCTCCCATGGCCGCGCACGTGATGCCACAGCCTTGCCTCTGTCCTGGGTGCGAGCATGACAGTCACATCGGAACAGAAAGCCACCATTGCCAAGTAACCGCTTCTCTCATGCGGCTGGCGGCTTGGGCTTGCACGGATAGTCGTCGACGTCGCCGCTGGCGACCCGGGGGTATTTCAGAGCGTGTCCATGTTACACGACCCGGATCCGAACGCCGCATTCGATGGTGTTAACTGGCGGCATGGTATTGTGGGTACGTTGACGGGAGCCGTTGACCTCGACGCCAGGGGAACTAAGGCACGAGCGGCATTGGCGGAAGGCCGGGCGGGTATAAAGCAGGCAACAGCCCCGAGCCGTCCCGAATGAGATGGTTACACAAGACACAACGTCGAGAGCTTGTCGGAGCAGGGATGTATTGCAGATGTTGCACAGCAGTAGTGCCGTTGCACTTGCACTTGCAGTCGAGGGAGTCGCCAACCCGGCTAGATCGAATGCAGAAGTGCACGAAGAGCGAATCATGGCCCATCCTACCAGGGTGTCGCTAAGTGGCTGGGATCAGAAATACTCGCAAGGTCTCGAACGTCGTGGCAGCGGTGCGTACAGGTCGGTCGCAAGCTAACGACGCTCTAGGCCGGACCGACAAGCTACTGGGACAGGATGGGAATGCATGAATGTCAATGGACAGATCCGGGAATAGAAAGTCGGAACCGTGGAAGGAAAGGAGTCCTGTCCCATGCCATCCTCGCCCAAAAGGCCTGCCAACAACACAGCTCAGCTCGAGGTGCAGTGCCCGACGCGGTTGCAGCTCCAGCGACATGCAGTGGACCATCTCCGAATCACTGGCTGTGGGTATCTCACTTTCACACGAAAGGACGGCCCAACTCGCTGTGGCCATGGTCCGATCTTCATGTGCTCACAACCAACGTCTAGCGGTGGGCGATCGTAGAGCGACCAGGTAGGGGGTCTGCCGGGATGATTGGAAGCTCCCTACTATCAAAGTAGGTACCCACTCGAAGAGAGCACAGGCCACGTCTACGGTCCTGACCTGCAAGCCACACTCAGGCCATCACCAGTTGGTACTGGCCAACGCTTGGATGAACCCCCTTCCAATGACTTCAAGCCAGGTGTTTTTGCAGTCCTGACATGAAGCAGGACGATGCGTTGCTCAAATCCCTGCCAGACTGTCCGGTAACAGAGCCATGCAGGCTATCCAAGGGGCCTTCCGCAACACTCTCCGGCGTCGTCACCAAGTGTGAGGCGCGGCTGGTTGGACGGCAGGAGACGTGATGCACGGCCCTATTTGACCGATCCCTCGTCACAGGCACCGGAATCGAAGTTCCTTCCGCTCACGCACCGCCGTCGCTGTCTCCGAACTCCCCCCGGCATGTTTCAGCGTCCAATATGGTCCCTGCATCTGACTGCCGGCCGCGCAAGCGCCGGGCAGTTAGCCTCGCCTACGCAAGTAGACAGAGTTCTGCCAGAACCCCGAGCTTGCAGGACGCATGAACAGCTGGCGTCTGTCCCCTACTGTGTCCAGTTAGACCTGGGAACAGGCAACGGCAAAGAAAGGCCAGACAGCCTCGAAGCGAAAAAGAAACATGAAAGGCCATAGCTGTGGGCACGGCGGAAAACCACGACTGCGTCATGCTGTACAACCCTCCAGGGAACTACACGAGCCTCGCGTCGGTGCGTTATACGCTCACAACCCTCCCAAATCCCAGCCCGGCGTCCAAGAGCCCGGCACTTTGTCATCCCTCTTGATCCCGACGCGTGGATAACGCAGCAGCAGCACGCACGAACGCACGCACAATACACACGTTTCCCTTCATCGACGAGTCGACAGGCTTCCAGCCCGAGTTTCACGCCCCACGTCACACAGATCAGCATGGCCCACCACCACATTCATTCTTCGCCCGAACTTTCGGCCCTCGAGTAAATGGCGTCAAAGCCCGCGGTGACACAGCAGCCGTGTCCATCCCCGGGTTGACAACGCACAGATCAAAATAAACATCCCGGACATGCCTGCTACCCATGGCCGCCAAGGGTTACACAGCAGCGGCAACGCCTACTTAGTGAACACGAGCTGCAAAGGGACGTCGAGCGAAGGAGGAAAAGGGTTTCCTTTCCTCGCCTAAGCGACGAAGGTTTTTCCAAGATCGCCACAGCAATCTCAGATGCGTCCGTCAAACGCGTGGGAAATCTCGATCGAGCTTTGATCAGATCCGTGACGGCGACCAAGGACAAAAGGACAAGGCTGAAAGAATGGTCAACCACACACACACACATCACACATCACACATCACACACACACGCCCGTACCGTAGGGTAGCAATTTCACAGACTCCGCTCCAAAGCGCATGTCAACGCAGTTCATTCAGTGGGAAAACAACAACTGTATTGTTATCCCAGGAAGGCCTCGCTGTGCGTGAGCCGCTCCAGGTGCGCCATCGCGTGGAAGCCACGAGCCCTCTTCTGTTCTCTCTCTCACTGCGGCCTCATTGAAGTTTTCATCCCACCAACGTCACGTTGGGCGAGGGGAAGTCGATGACGCTCACAAAAGTCAAAACTCGTTCGCTAGAACATGGCAGCAGGTCGAATCTGACTTTTCCCTCTGTCGGCCACCAGAGTTTGACGCAGCCAACTCCCCTCTCTGGGCGCCTGGTGGAACAGCGCCTCCATATCCGGCTAAAAGAGCTCGTCACGAGCAGCAGCGTGCCATTCACGGCAGGTATCACTTGGCACTGGAGACTCCAAGCACATTTTGATGTAAGGCATTAACAAGCTCAAAAGCACTATTAGCCGCCCAATCTGATCGTCTCTCATGGTCATGGTGGAGAAAATGACAAGGTCCAAACTCGCTCTCGCTCTCAAGTCTTCATAATGAATGCCATGCCATGTCCCGCAATGAACCATGTCCCGTGAAGCTTCATCTCGTCGTTGCCCAACCGTGTAGTTCAGGAGTGTAAGAATTAGAGTCCGCCGCCCATTTCGTTCTGTCCAGCCGAGTTCATGCCCTCATATCCCGTGTCAAGCGCAAAATCATCATGCTATGAAGCAAAAACACGCTATGTACATTTAAACCCCTGAAAGAAGACTCCCACTCTCCGTGCTATGCTAGTGCAAGATACAAAGACCTCAGAAAGCCCTCTTTCTAGGTCCTTGTCGGGGGTCAATCCGGACGCGAAGACGGTGAGGTGTCTTGGTTCCGGCAAACGAGCGTTCAGGCTTTGTTGCTTGAAAACCCCTGTCGTAGGCCGAAAGG